ATGCAATATCAATGACGATAATCTGCTGCCGCTTACAACCGCCCGTGGATCGCTGCTGCATGCAACCTGGCGTCAATACTTTTTTGGCCTCCCCCTTAATCAATACCTAGAATCAATAGCAGCTGGATAACCCTAAAGAAGTAGAAAGAATACTCGACACTGCATTACATACGTAATTTATACGAACTACTGCTACGCGGTTAACGGGCTTACGCAGTCACATGAGTTCACATGTACGAGGATAAATGCCCCGGAGCCGCCCGTTAACAGGAAATCTGGCGAGAAAAAATACATGTTGATACATTGTCACGATCTTAGATACGGCTCAGGTGGGCTTCTGGAAATACCGAGTAGGGATCACTTACAGATCCGACGGTTGAAAGTTACAGGTCATATAACACAACATGTTTACGTTTGTGAATAAGCAAATTCTCCTTTCTTTTTTTTTTTTCTCTCCCTTCTTCTTTTTCCACTTGTACTCTGTTCGGCACGAAATACCTAATCTTAGTACCTTACTAAGCCTTATTTACTTACATTTACATAGTTGTCAAGCGATATGGCAGCATGGTTACACCCATTAACCCTCCATTCTACCCACGCCGTTGGGCTGGGACTGCGGGCAGGGGTCCGGGATGAATAGAATTCCTTACGAATCTAGCTCCCAAGCAGCCAACTTGCGTTGGCCCGATGCATTTTGCGATGATGTACATTAGGTACATACATACAAGCAACCACCTTGGCGCATACGTAGGGGGCTATTCTCTACCAGTCCATTCAGAGTAATAAGCTTCGACTCGACAGGTTATTTTCTGGCGGGGTTATAGATCTTAATGGCGCTTATCGTACGTCTGAAGTTTCGTAGATCACCCGAGTAGATCCTTCGGGATAGCTAGCTGGGTTAAGAAGCTCTAGCTGCTGTGAATATTTAAAGTAACTACATACAGGTCTATAGTACAATACATAGACGTCAAGTTCAATACAACTTGAGTAGCATTCTCGTTTGTCTCCGAACTATACCCTCTGATACCACCATTAAATGACCAATAGCACTTTAGATACTATGGAAATACCTATCTACCTAACCTCTTATGCACAAACTTTATCTCCCATACGCCATAGCTAGGTGTTAATGTCGATCATGGATTACCCCCTTCCACCTCGGCTCCATCCGGTAGGATCTGTCAGCTTTTGTATAATGACACTGACAGCCCTGATTTATATTGCGGCAAGCTCGGTATTGGCTGGACTTATAGGATAGATGACCCGAACGAAGTAACAGTCACCCATCCCCAAAAGGCGACATAATCCGTAAGGTCACTAGGGCTCCCTGGGCTTTTTCCCCAAGGCTTTTCCCAACCTAAGCTCCCGAGATTAGCATATTTCGTTGGCGCAAAGCTGCAGCCTCCCGTAAAGGGGGCGAGCTGAAGCATCATCCCATGGCCCCCGCTGCTGGGAGCCGCCAGTCTTGACCATACTTGTCATGGCCTGATTTATTACATGATCAGCCTGTTCCCCGGACTCGTCACGCGGCAATGTGGTCGGTGGCTGGGCCGCGTTCGAGGTATAAGCAAAAAGCAAAGAGCTTTTTATTTTTTGCGACCGGGGAAAAGCTACGCCTCATATCCCAAAGAGGTATAAACCCTCTCTGGTATCGATCTTGATCAGTATCCGCCTACAGTATCCAGGCGTTCCATCTACCATGTATTGTACCTTACCCTTAGCTCTCACCGGAACATACCTGAGCGCCTCTCAGCGCTAAGAAGAGAACCCAACGTCTAATGTTACTCACGTGGCTGACGGGATCATCTTCCCAAACCCTTGTTTATCGGATCTAATATCTCCTCTGCCTATGTTTCATATACGCGTGCGCCCACTGCCCAAAACTCCAGAAGCGCAAATAGCCTCGATCTCCTTGCTTCTTGTGTCTTCACCTAATAAGCGGTAGACACGAGTTTTCGACGAGACAATGCGAAACGCATTAAAAATAAAAGTAGCATTTATGACAGATCGATAAGCGTATCCCAGGTGGCATGACCTTAATTTCACTTCCTCTGGCCATTCCATATTTGTGCATGGATTTACGTGCCTCGGTGTCGATGACGTTTTGAATCGGCTTAACGAATCCCTTTTCAACTCACTCACACCTAGGTAGGTATTGTCGACCTCACGCGCGCGTCATCACGGGCCTCGCTAGAGCTTTTCAGCTTTACGGGAACTTTTGGAGGAAAGTCATATAGGTAATATACGTAGAATATTATAACCTACCTTACTCTACCCTAGTTGCCACATGTTATATTAATGTTTAGCTTTTTTTTCGCAAATCATTTAGACTAGCTTGGTAAATGAAGCGGGTAGATAGACTACATTCCGCCACTTTCTGCAAGCAATCACATCTAGATCGACCGACCAAGGAAGGGGACAGGGGAGAAGGGGAGTAGGGGGAGGAGAGGGGGATAGGAAGCTGGGTTACTGACACGCACGGCACGGCGCGGGCTAACCTTGAGTTACTTCAAGATAGTGGCGAGGCGAAAGGCGGCTCGGAAGGCTCTCTCCTATGGACGCCTGCCAGCGTGTGAGCATAAACCTACCTACTTACCGGATGCAGCCTTCCTATGCGTCGTCCCCTACACCCGGGACGCCGATCCTCCATCCCGCGCTTTTTGGCTGACTACCTACCTAACCTAAGGTTCTCGACGACGATCAGTAGGTAGCAGGCGGTAGATTTTTTGCTGTCGCGCACAACTTCTCCTCGGCCGTGCCTACGGGACTTTATTCCACGTGTCGATCATCTATCTGGGCAAGTAATTAGGTAGGTAGCCTCAGAGCAGCATCAGCCAGTGGGGGAGTTCCGTAGCTCAAAGGAAGCCTGAAGTTCGTATCACGGCAAATGGTTTCGCTGCGTTACCCTAGCATGGGGGGAGGGGAAAACTCACGTAGCTTTCTCGCTGCGTATAAATGACGCCGATCCTGTCTCATAAGTGTAATTCTCGTATATTACTAACGGAATCATACTGATATGCCGTAAATTATATACATATCGTCAGCGGATCTTCTTTTTGTTCGCTATGGCTATGTCGGTAGCCCTATCTCCACAAAGGGGCGAAAGAGGTACCTAGATGTGTGCAATATCAGAAGCATTGTATATGGCTTCGCGTTAATCTATGACAAGTTAACTCCGAGGCTTCTTTTAGCCTCTCCCCCCACCATATAACACATGCTCTACGCCATCTGTCCGAACGTTGTTCTATTTTGAGGGGGAATAGAGGTAGATTCTATAGCCCCCCCTTTACCGCCGACTGGTAAAGCATCTTCCATGACAACGTTGATTATCACGTAGCATTTATAGCGGGATTTGGATTCAGCCACGCTGAACCGACTGCCGGTGTACGCTTTCCTTTCCCCTTGTCGTAATCATGGAAACCGGTGTGAGAAGCTCGTTTCCCAACCGCCAGTCAGTTGGAAGCCTAACCTTTAGGTTAGGTAGGTACCTTAGGTAACTATCTACATTTCTGCCTAACCTAGTAGCTAGCAAACTAAACATAGGCGAGATGCAACTCGGTAAATATACCCATGCCTAAAGAATGAAAAGAGAATCAATAATAATGAGGAAACTACCTCCTATGCCGCCGAATCACAATCACGCATATGTCTCTAATTCAAGCGGCTACGAAGTAGGTATTTCCCACGGGCCAATCTGGCGGAAGGTACTTGGCAAATAAACCGGGTTTGGGCACCCGGTATTATACCTAGAGCTGGGGCTGTCTAACGACGATTCTATTTCCCGATAGAAAAGGTGCCGTATCCTTTTCTTCTCAAGCAACCTCCTTCGGCCCTAGCCAATTATTATGAACGACTTCAAGCAGATGATGAACGACCGGCGGCGAGGGCGGGACTTGGCGGGGACATGGCTTCTTATTTTTTTGCAACCCTAAAACCTGGCAAGCATGCAGGTAGCTAGGTAGCTAGCATCTTTGATCTTGAAGAGGCATTGTCATACGCTAGAAATGGTAGGCTGAAATACAACACATAGCGAGGACCCAGTGGACTGCTAGGTAAGTACAGTAGATGGTTCATGCAGTGGGAGGTATGTATTGTACTTTGGTTGATCCATGCAAGTTGTAGAGAAACCACGGACGATGCTTGCTACTAGGTACGTGATGATTCAATTTAGCTTCGAAATGACCAGCTCCCTTCAGTCAAGATTAATACCTACTGGTTCCAACATATCTTATAACTGCGGGGGGTTGCGTATGCTTTTGCTTGGCCACAAACACCTTTGGTATCCCTTGACTCCAAAATAAAAGTTCATGGATAAAGCTTCTAGAGCTTAGAACTAGGAATACCTCATAACGAAAAGATCATGAAAGGTATATACCTCTCACAGTTGCAACGGAGGTGGAGCGCCGTGAACGTCTAGCTACTCTAACGATTAAATTATGATAGATAAATAAATTCTAGTCTTGATACCGTAACTAGCATGGTAAATAGGACGTAGCCATTCAAACTTAGGTACCTATTAAGCCGGGCACCTACATACCTAAGAGACAACTGTACTCCTTACAGGGGCTTCCCAGCCTAGATCAGTCAACCGATCCATCCTAGTCATCCATCAACTTTGTCCAACCCCTATTATGTGTATTCCCAACATACGTACTTATCTAAAGTAGGCTAGAGGCGCGGCAGGGTCTCACACACCGTGAAGATGCTGCCAGGAACCAAGTATTCACTAGACCTTCATATCATTCAATGTTTAGCAAACGCTAGACTAGAGCTGGTATGGCTACCTCCTATACACCAATAGCATGAAGGTAGCACTTACCTGGGAATGTAGCGTAGTTCATCTATGATAGGAGGTGCCTCAGGTACTCACTCATGTCACATACTGCTAGGCTGCGAGGAATGTAAACAACCTCAAGGCATGAGCACCTTAGGTAAGTGTTCTAAGACAACAGAGTTCGATATCATATCCAGAATCTATTCCTCTAGTGCTAGCTCTGCTTCTACGCATCTAGTTTTAGTTTCTCTAACACTCTATCAATCTTCTGCAGCAGAAGCTGGTAGTTTATAGCATCCGACGCGAACTCGTCTTCGACGAGCTCTCCATCAAGAGTTCTAACCACACCAGCTGGACTTGCCAAGGCCTCTGCTATGCCAACCTTAGCAGAAATGGTTTCAGGATTCTCTACTTCGACGATGCCGTTCGCGCCCTTGTCTTCCGCAGCGATGTCGTTTGCCTGCGCCGCCAGCACTTCTGCCGCCTCTGCGCTAATCTCACCGTTCTCGTCCATCATTTCGTCTAGCCCGGCGTCCTCGAATCGTAGCCTAAAGCGTTCGGATAAGTAATAACGAATATCGTCCAGCAGCTCGATCGTATCCGTCTCTTCTCTGGTCTTCAGCCTCGAGGCACTTTCCTGGATCAATTCGGTGAATTCTTCCTCGTCGATGTAGTCCTCCAACCGGTATGCAAGATATCGAGCAGCAAACTCTTCTAGTCGCTGAACTCGCAAGTCCCAAGCCGCATGTGTAACGTCGTATACGTTGATAGGTTCGACCTCAATTTCGACAGTTTCTTCACCTTCGTGGGCATGTGTCCGATCAACTAGGACGTTGTTGTTGCCGCTTCCTAGCGTGCTGATAACGACGGCCGCTTTGTTCTTCAACTTATCTAGGAACAACATATCGGATGCGTAAAGCAGATCAAGGCCAAGCTCGAGAGGACATTCGGCTTTCTCGGTATAGAGAAATGTCAGAATGAGCTCAAGTATCTCCGGTCGACAATCTATCTTGATAATATGTAGGTGCTCCGATGTTTGGGCTTCGCGAAATTGGCTCGAAAACATGGTCTCGAAATACGGTGAGCGGATGAGCATAGCCTTGTGCGCAGGATACAGAACAGACTTCCTGATTCTCTTAACGCCATTTCCTTTTCGTTGTTCAGCACCTGGTCCAATGGGAATTCCGTGCGATTCCTCTTGTTTGTCGAGGTCCTCGTCATCACCACCCTCCTCATCGGATCGTAGGAGACAGTCTGCAAATATAGAATTGTCGTGTGGCCACTTTACGTCCTTGACCAACCTGGTGTCCACTACCATCTTATGCCTGAGGACCTTTTCCTGGAAAAAGGTTTGGACTTGTTGTTGGGCTCGATTAACCTCATCTTGATGTCTCTGTCGTGCTAATCGCCTATCACTCGCCGACAGGATAGCTTCCCATAACTTGTCAATTTCTAACTGCTTACTGATCTTATCAATACCGGTTAGGATCTCTTCTTCGGAGCTACTGCTTCTTGCATCAACCAACTCCTTTGGAATATCACCTAGATACAGATATCGTAATACGACCTTGAAAGACTCGATTGGTATCGATTGAGGTAGCCTCCATGTTTCTAACGCGGGCGCCTCCGTGAGTTTCCTTCTGAAATAGGGCGACCTAGCAGAAAGAAGGAACTTGTGAAGCTCGAACGACTCGGATCCAGCTATCAACGTTATATCAGAGGTTTTGGGTGTATCTCTTGTCAGCAATGCGCTGATATGAGCCGCCCATGGTTGTAAGGGGTCAGTAGACTTCGAGTAGTCGTACTTTAGCAGCAGATTCCGGATCTTGTCATTAAGCGCATTGTAGATGCATCGTTCTCCTTGGAACGTGTCTCGCTCTGCTAGAGCACCTGACTCGACTGCAGCAGCTAGGGTCAGTATGGGCTTCAAAAGCATTTAGAAACATGTAACATTTTTGGAACAGCGTAAGGTCATATGGCATATAGAGACTCATGATTTTGGTTCGGATACATACTCAACAGTTCAACTAACTCATAATGCCCGCACAGACTTGCCTAGACAGTAGTCAGCTGCCTGTGATCACCAAGTGCAACAAACAGGAAGACAAGCCGTACTCACAACGATAAGAGGAGTATAATCGAACTTGTCTTTACCGTTTATATTGACACCGGCAGAAATCAGCTCTTGAGTTCGCTTCAGATCGCCTCTTCGACATGCTTCTAATAGCTCACTAAACTCTTCACTCAGATCCAGGGGGTTCTCATCGCGCAGTACGCCACTGCGAACTAATTCAATATCATCCTTTAGCTTTGCTTCTAATTCGTGTTTTCGAAGAACCATGGTCGACCAGAGCACAAAGATAATAAAATAAGGACAATGTCAAGTGATCAAGTGAATATTTTCAAAGAATCGTCAAGTCCGTTATCTCCGACCACATAACTAATGGGCGGTGGTGGTGGTGATGCATGGCTTGGAATTGGTAGACGGCAACAATTGGAACTAAAGAGGTACCTTAGGTAACTTAAGGAAATGCGATTCAACCATTGGATAAGTCAGATGTATGTCATCAAGCGGCGATACGGGGAAAAAAGAAGTGAATCAGCAATCATCACGTGCCGACTAGATCAAGGTACGTACATCAAGTAACATCTTACCTTATCTAACCCGAGATTCACCTGCCTTCGGTTAGGTAATCGACCCATTGTAACTATTGTAACTATTGTAACTATCGATAAGGGTATGAAGCAAACGCTAATAACCAATTCAAGCTAAGCGACTAATGAAGTTGGACCGTTATTCCTTGTAGCCCCACCCCGAGGTAGCGCAGTTGCTGTGGCCACGAGTGGGTTTGTTGACTACATACACGCAATGTTACATAAGATACAAAAAAGACCACTGAAACTTGCCCTACGGTGAAGTATCTACTGGGGTGTCCTGTGCAATTGCTGGGATCCATCACATGGATGGCCATTTTCTGATTTTCCTTTCTTTTCCTGCCCATGCCTGTGCAGTTTCCAGAACCATTCCCAGAACCTAATTCCCAGAACCCAATTCTTCGTCCAACAACAAGCAGCAGCAAGATAATCAATCCTCCAAAAGAAATAATCATCCCCCCCCCTCTCAAGTCCCAAAGCTGGAGCAGCATCAAGTAGCTCTAGCTTATCCCACCCCCAATTCCCTCCAATAGCTTTGACTTTCCAAATTTCTTTAGCTTCTTTCTTACTTTTGTTGTCTATGGCATAGTCATAAATCATTAAACCCCCCAATAGTGCCTCGCAATTCAGTTCACTATGGCAGAATCTATCAGTGATCAGTACGAAACTTTAGAGAAGATAGGTATGTTTCCGCTAGCTTTGACAAACCCTTCGTCCACTCTACACTATCGCTGTTTTCGTTTTCATACTTTTCCCTGTGACCGCAGTCTAACGTGGTCAATATAGGACATGGCTCCTTCGGCGTCATTCGCAAGGTCCGACGAAAGGCAGACGGCAAGATCCTCTGCCGAAAGGAGATCAGCTACCTGAAAATGTCGCAAAAGGAACGTGAACAGCTTCATGCGGAGTTTCAGATCCTCTCTACCCTTCGACACCCCAACATTGTTGGTTACTACCATCGCGAACATCTCAAACAGACTCAGGACTTGTATCTTTATATGGAATATTGTGGTAATGGCGACCTCGGCCGGGTGATTAAGGGTCTAATAAGCCGGAAAGAGTACGCCGAAGAACAATTCGTATGGGAGATATTCTCACAATTGATCACCGCCTTGTACCGGTGTCATTACGGTGTAAACCCTCCGTCGGTGGGCAAGAATGTCCTTGAGATAGTGACCATGGGCAAGACGAAGGCGCCACAAGGAGCTGTGACAATTCTCCACCGAGATCTGAAGCCTGAGAACGGTAAGTGAGATGAAGGCAGACAATCTGGAATAGGAGATGCGTGCTAACCTGCGATAGTCTTCCTCGGAGAGAACAATTCTGTCAAGCTTGGCGACTTTGGTCTATCCAAGATGATACAGTCGCACGATTTTGCGTCAACATACGTTGGAACCCCGTTCTACATGTCTCCCGAGATATGCGCCGCCGAGAGGTATACTCTCAAGTCAGACATCTGGTCACTGGGCTGCATAATATACGAGCTCTGCGCGCGTGAACCTCCATTCAATGCCAAAACTCACTTTCAGCTCGTTCAAAAGATCAAGGAGGGAAAGGTCCCACCACTTCCTAGAGTTTACTCAGGAGAGCTTATGGCCGTTATTAAAGATTGTCTCAGAGTCAATCCGGATCAACGCCCCGATACGGCAACTTTGCTTAACCTTCCGGTTGTGCGTCTAATGCGCAAAGAACGGGAGGCCGTAGAGTTCAAGATGGAGTTAGAATCGCGCAATAACGTGCTGAGCAATAAGCTGAAGCAAGTCGAAGAAAAGCTGGCCAGCCTTGAAGCTGATAAGTTGAACTATCGACAAGAGATCGACTCTCAACTGCGACGCGAATGGGAGGTCAAAGCCCGATTAGAAATTGACCGACTTGTAAATGAGGAAATTGAACAACTCCAACGACGCTTCGAAGCCGAAGTAGAAGCACGAGTACAAGAAGAATTACAAAAGAAGAGAGTCTCATTTGGGCCAGTCGAGACTCACGAATTCACATCATCACAAGTATCCAGGAATAATTTCTTCCTGTCCATGGCCGGTAGTACCGACAGCGAGTTCCCCTCTACCACAGATATTACCGAATTCTCCGTTAACTCTCCCGAAGAACAACCTCTTAAGCGCAGTCTACGTGCGCCATTTGGCCGCGCTCAAACCATGTTCGAGCGAAATCCCGGAACGCCCATGTCAATGGACGTCGACATGGCATCCCCATCCCCGATGGTTGCCATTGCATCCTTGTCCCTATCACCACGACGAAACATCGCTACTAAGGCTCCAACCGCAAACAAGCCACCCATATTTGACCCCGAGGACGACGAAGACCTCCGAGGCAGGAGAGATATATTCTCATCCGATTCCGATGACGACGATGACCACATCATCCCATCTCCCACTCGCCCGCCACGATCACACAAGAACCCCTTTGGGCCCCAACGCCCGATTCTCCCATCTACGAAGACAGCCCCTATTAATCGCCTAAGAAACCAAAACGCCATGGGCCTTAACAAGCCAAGTCCGCCCCTACCCACTTCTGCCCCCGAGTTCCGCATTCGTACCCAGCCCAGCAACGGAGCCTTGAGAGAGAAGGGCGACTCTCCCAACCGACGGCTCAGCAAGATCCCCTCGGTTGCGAACCTCAGCATGCAAAACGCGGAGAACGGCGGACAGCGTAAGACGTCGCTAAAGAAGGACCCCGAACCCACGACCACCAAGGTGGTCACGAAGAACAATATCAAGGGCCGAACTCTCGTCGAGCTCCAGCAGGCCCGGGCCGGCGGTCGACCCGTGGAGTCCATGAATGTTAGCCCCAAGCGTAGCTCCAAGGACCGATTCGCCGAGCCGGCCGTGTGGGATCCGGAGAGGGACGAGATGCCCAGTCCGTTCCTGGTGCGGAAGAAGCAGCCGTCGAGGGTATAGGCTACCTGGTGAACAAAAAAAGAAAAGGGAATTAAAAAGGAAGAATGAAAGAAAGATGAAAAAAACAAAGCCTCGCTCTCCTCAACCCCTTGCTTTTCCTCTCTGAGTTAATATACCAAAGTAAACGAAGTCCCACGATGATATACCGCCACTACCACCACCACACCAAACCTGGCTTTGGTGTGGGCACGACAGCGTTGCACGTTTCGTGTCCGAACCCTACCCAACCTTCCCCCCGCGTACTCTATTTTCTCTCTCTTTTTCCTTTGTTTCATATCCCAAGACGGCGGCTCAATTCGGAAAGGTGTCCGGAGGTTTTTTTAATGATGACGTTTTCTTTTTTACGGTGTCGCAAAGCATTTTAATCGCGCGTCGTTGAGAAATTTGGCATGGCATGGGGTGTGCGGGAAGGGGGGGGGAGGCTCTGGTTTTTTTTACTACAGAACTGGCGTTTTTATTTTCGATACAGAGGAGAGGAAGCTTTTCGCCTGTTTTTATTCCCTTTTATTTTTCTTTTCTCTCGTTTCCCATTTTTCGGCGTAAAATTGGCTGAGTTCTGAGTTTGAGCTTGAGTTGAGGAGGGGTTTTTCCCCCAGGCATTAAACCACATAAAACTTGTGTATAAACTCGTTCTGCGAAATGTCCATTTATGCTTTTACGAATTCTCTCTAACTAGTGCTACTACTACTACTACTACTACTACTACTAAACTAAAAGACAGAACTACGTGCGCGATGCTATTGCTCGTCGCTATTATTCAATACCGCCTGCTTCAGAACCCGGATGATGCCATGCCGTCTGTCCCTTGCTCGGGATACAAAGCTTGGAGTAAGGGGAGGGAGGTGGTGTACCCCTAGGCTGAGCGGACTAGTTATGATTTATGATTGTTTCTTTTTAGATGTATTTATTGGTCACCTAAGTACCTGCTAATTATATGCTACACGTTACTATTAAAGAGAGTCCTTGATCTCGCTTCTTTTTGTTTGTGCTAAGTTCTCCCCGTGACTTATCAGATATGCCTCACCCAATCCACTAACCCCTATCCTAACTCCTGGATAGCCCGTGAAGTATGATGCGAAGTCGCAATTAACCTCACACTAGAATGCCGTGTCTCAGTCCTGGCTGAGAGGCTTGCCCCCTAAGGACTGAGGAGGTTATGGATGACAAGCTGATAAGCCCCCTATCATTGTAGTTGCGAGCTAATCCATAATAAACCAGTATGACACCCACCCCTCCCCATTCATTCGCAGAAATATAGAAATTCGCCGTCGTCTTCAAAAGGCTGGTTTACTGCCATGCATTGGTCTGGTTCGCGTTAGCCAGCTTCTAACCTAGAACTGACACAGACTACCGGTAGGTTACGATCGCTCCCCCCACCCCCGCCGCCTCTTGCTAGCATGAAGTGAGGAGGAAGTGAAAAGCAAACTCACCATGTTGGTTGTCGCAGTCTTGCACGCTGAAATCCTTGTTATTGCCGCTATTCGCGGAATCGGCGCAGTCGTTCTTCTGGTCGTCGCATACGCGCTTAGATGCGGTGCCGAAGTCGTTCTATGGGATGTTAGTTTGGTTAGGTAAGTTAAATATAGATAGCTGATGAGATGTTGGATAAGGGGCGATATATTAAGGGATGGGCGGGAAGAATCATGAGGCTGGTCCTCTAGTTCATGGATATGGCATTCAGGGAGGGTTGTCACATACAAACGTCTGGCCTTCTGATAAACGGCTGTTGGTTATTTTGAAAGGCTTCTCTGTATTGCTCGGGTCAAACTCTATCTATGGATACGTTGTCAGTTATATATATCAACTCCATACTAATAGTCATTTATTCGTATAACTAGAAGAAACCTTTGTTCGTCTATCTTGCGTAGATCAATGCATGAGGAGCCCACGTACTTTTGCTGCAGCTTTGCCTCCCAAAGGACCACTCGGATTGAATTGCTATATACGATAAGTCAGACAAACCAAATGGGATAATTCAATAATAACTTCAAGCCAGGCGGCAATGCATAAGTGACGAACCTGGATATCATTGATTTCTTGCCGCGCGAACAAGCCCATCTGGAAATTCCGTCGTATCTCGTCGACGAAATTGCCGGCCATGACCCCGACGAGTAATTCCGGCACTAGCAACAGGGGCAGGGTAACGGCGCCTCGGCACCTCATTTTGTTTTCCTCTTCTCGCGGTATATATATCTCCGATGCTCGTAAAATGAAATGAAATTACGCAGTGCGCGATCTCGCCGAGGGAGTCGACGCGAAGCCGAAATGATTCAAAACCAAATACTTGAGATATGAAAGAATCTCTTCACTTCGAATAAAATTACTTTACCTTAGGCTAGGTCAGGTTCGTTAGGTGCCTGTTATCTCTCGTACACGACCACCTAACACAAGATATGTCAGACATATTTCCTAGCTAGCGGTCGTCATAAAAGTAATGTAGTGTAGACACCTGATATATAGCAATAGCACTTTCACGGCTGATTAGTTGAAACGCGGAAACCAAGACGGCTGATTGGTTCGATGGGGATGCCGGAGATTGAATGGTAGATAAACGCAAAGATGCTTTGCTGAAACGATCCTGAGACGACCCGTGCACAGACTACATAGTAGACATCGCACCGAGTGGCATCAAAGTTGGACTCATTACTGTATCATAGTTTCCTATACGTTAACGGTTAGGTATGGCAATGCTACAAATATCAGACTGGAATCTTGTTCTAGGTGCTTCATATGTATGTACATGTGTAAGTGTAAGCGTATGGGCGTAGAAAAGGCAATGGTATAGTTGTTGAGAGTTGATGTATTGTACGGGTTAGAGACGAAACCAACTAAAAACACCAACACCAACGCCGCTCTCAACACACAATTCTTAGTACGGAATAGTTGGAGACCTTTGACATCATCATAGAATCCAGATAAATTTCTCCACCCACCCCTTATATAGTATAAAGTAGAGTTTTCTTAACAAGCCACCTCTAGGAAACAGGAACCGTACCAGCGGATAGTCCGTCAAAGTTTAAAAGCCGCTCCCATGACAAAAGTGACAAAACCTAGATGCCGTCTACGTACCTAAACATAGACCCCAACGTCCCGACATCTCGGGAACCCATGCGGAAAACTCAATTGCACGCACATATGTCAGGTACCTTGCATACTAAAAATCAAGCTCTTTCATTATTAGGTTCGACCCGGTTTCCCGCTGTCCAGGCTCGGGACGAGCATACCTACCTACCTAATTATCCTCAGGGTACAATACTGGTAACGTAACGCGTAGCGACACTTCTTAGGCAGATTTGCCTGGCAGAGACAGCACAAGTTCCAAGAGTTTTTGTTTTTGAAGAATTAGTTTATGCATAGGTAAGATATATACTTAAATTCAGCAGAATCGAAGAAAAGCTGGTATTACGAAGCTGTATACGAAGATTCACCACTCTCATTTAATTTCTTTCTTTCTTTCTGTCAGCTACGTTAGACTCGCGTCCTAGAGCTTTTCCTCCTCCCTCCCTCATTCACTCCGTGCTCGGCCGAGTCTCTTCGTCGCTGTTCATTAAGGCCTGCCGTCGTTGGGCAACTTAAGTCTGCGCGTCATCTCGTGGAACCTACACGGTCCCTTGCCTCCTTTTTTCTAGTACACATCGTAGTATGGAAAATACTTGGGGGGATTATTTTCTATTCCTTATAAAATACCGCTTATGAAAAATGCGGCTAACGTAATTGATGGTGTGATGCCATACGAATGAATACATTCAACCCTAACGCCGACGGGGCTAAAACAATGCCGCGGAACCAGTAGGAGGCGATTTTTGATGCTGGGATAGCGTATATCTATCGTCTTCATTTAGAAGTTGGAAGCCGCATTTGTTTGCGTCGGCGCGTGGTAACTCTCGAGGGTGCTCTGGAAGGGGCTGCGGCCGGCGGTGCTACCACTAGCCTCCGACTTCTCCGCAGTTCCGGGACCTCCGAATCCGTCGCCGTAGCTAACCAGCTCCTCGTTCTCCTCCAGGCTGCGCTTCCTGCTACGGAGTCTCCAGAATAATACGCCCGCAGCTGCGAGGACGATTGCGCCTCCGACACCCACGCAAACACCGATGATCGTATTCTTAGTTTCCGGAGACATTCCGGTTTCCGCGTTGGAGTTGGTAACAGGTACAGGGGAAGGCGTCGAAACCATAACGCTTGACGAGGAGGAGATGTGAGTCTGGCCTGCTGCGTCAGTAGTGGTGATAACGGTGAAGAAGGTAGTCGTGACAGGTGGCGGCGTGGTCTGCTGAGGGACTTCAGTGGTATCATCGCTGTCACCGCCACCATTACCACCACTAGACGATGTCGGCGATGGGACCGAGGACGATTGGGCATTTGAACGAGTCGTGGTTGGCTGGGGCGTTATAGGCGTTGTTCCTTGCCCCGTTGTCGGGGTGTTGTTAGTCGTCGTAGGCGTCGTAGGCGTCGGTGTGGTCTTATCACTTGTTGTAGGCGTTGGGCTAGGTTCATTAGAAGTGGTAGGGGTATCAGATGTGGTTTCTGCAGGAGGACTTGACGTTGTTGGTGTTGCATCGTCACTTTTCTTAGATGTGGTTGGATCGGCAGCAGCACTGTCGCTGGTGGTGTCGGCATCAAGACTAGGGCCAATTGAGATTGGGAGATCATCGTCCGCCCTGACCGCGAGTTGGCCTGCGCCAGCGTGCTGATTATCGAGCCATGCTACTCCAGTGACGGCGGTCACCGAAAGTGCCGCCATCATTAGGTTGACAAGTCGCGTTGAATGCATGGCGACTAATAGAGTATGATACTGCTAGGATGGGACGAAAAAAAAAGAAAGGATGGGAAAGTTAAAAGGTTGTCTCCGTCCCTCCCCTTCTTTTGAGTTTGAGTTTGGAGGTGCTGTTGAGATGAAGGTTTTATGTGACAACGTGGGTGGGAGATGACGGGAAGATTAATTTTAAATCTGAAGCGCGGGTTTTTCCTGTCAGACCCAGTTGTTTCGTCGTCGTCGGATATTTACGCAATGCGAAATACTGTACTGTGCGTATGAGTAGTATTGCGACCTCGCGCAGATAATAGGTGATTGAATAAAGAGCGTAAAGTGTAGAGGCAAAAAAAAGGAATACCTCGGAAGAAAATTAAGGAAAAAGATGCAATGACGGATAGGAAAGGATATAATAGTGTGACGAGAGAGAGAGAGAAACGAATGATCAGAATAAAAGGATTTCTAAGAATCTGACGGAGAGGAGAGGCCTGGGATTCTACGGAAGGGAAAGAGGGTTGCGGGCTACTAGAGGAAGTACGGTTACATTTAGTTCGTATTTTGCACAAAGATGCGTAAAGTGAGGGTTCGCGCATAATTTTTAATCAAAGACCCAATCACAGCTTGACAAAGGAAAGGGGCGGGTGGGTCATTGTGGTGGGACCGTTAGGTTTCTTAGCCAACTGGTACAACTGGGTTGTCTGCAGGCTCACTTTTTTCAGGGTATTGTGACAGAATGAGGTCGTCTTATGGTACTCGGGTTCCAGTCACTAGACCACTACCCTCCTAGGTAGATGTACAATACATACTTTACCTATTGAATACCTACCTGTTAATTGACTTTACCTAACAGCCTAAGGCACCTAGCATAGCGCGTCTACTGATTTCTGTAAGGCTCTGCATCCGAACTGCCTTTTTTTGTTGGTCATTCTAGATTTTTTGTGTTCTATATATTGAGACGTGTAACAAACATCATGTGTAGAAGTCAGATCTCCCCCTTACGAGTCTAGGTCGGCCGAATTTCAGGATCTGCCTGCAAAGGTTCTGTACCTCGAACGACACTTCCAGTCTGAATGTACCTATATAGAAGGCTTCGGATTGCCGTACATCCTAAGGGATGTATGCAACAGGTTTTATGATCTAGGTAAGTACCGATCTAATAAAGCACTTAAAGTAATCAACTAAAAATAGGGCATGTTTTCACACCTATAATACCTATGTAGGTAGGTATTTACTATTTTCGAAGTTACATATTGTAACAATAACATGCAATCATTGTTTGAATTGTACTCTAAAACTGGTTCGTCTACCAAAACTATTCTGTCCTTGGAAGATGTCCTACCTAATAGTTGTACTTGCATACATTAGGTACATTAGGCATGTAGGTATGGAGGCATGCACATGATGCACATGAACATCTCGTAACGCCCTTTTTGTTAGCGGCTTGAGTGATGATCATCAGGGTCTAACTAAAATGGATTATGAATGCCATGCCCTGATTCCGAAAAATCAGCAGCCACACAGCCACACATGCAAAGCGGGAGGCCGCTGTGCCAAGATTGAATTACAGCACTTGAGTGCAGTACAATTGATTTTATGCAAACATTGAACATTAGTCTGAAAGTTACCCAACCATCAGCGTCGATCGAACAACGTTGCATGCTGTAAGAGGTACTGTAATTCGTACCTGTCAGATTATTGGAATAGGTAACGCACAGAGCCTTTTTTTTCATTGGCTATTAACGTCTTGCAATCAAGCTTAATCCCAACGATCGGCTTCAATGGACGTCAGTTTGCAGCCATTGAATCTCCTTCATGACGACGAACATTTAAAGCGCTTGCGATGGACTTTATTCGCAACACCAGTTATTGTTTCGAAACAAAATTCTTGCGATCGTTTCTTCCCCGGACTCCCGTTGCCAATTGCGCCGCAATCTATGTGCTACAGATGAGATCTCTAACCGTTTTGACATTCTTAATTGAGGTGATCCTGCCTTAGGTACCTCTATCCACGTGGGATTTATCCCTCTGATTCGAGGCTTGATACTGCGCTATTTGTGGATCTAGGAGCTGCTCAGTTAGGTAGAGGCTAACGGCCATGTCGAGATTCCAATGACCCTCCTGCCCTTTTCATTTTCCAGGGCCCTCTTTAGGACTTACACAATTCGGAATGCGGGGCCGCGCGCCTCATCTTTGTGGGAAAAAATATTGGATTGAATTGGTTTGGTCGGAACCAGTCCATGTCAAATATGACGCCCCAGCGCCCGTGGCGTCCAGCCGATAGGTCTTCGCCGGTCCAGCCCCGTGTCTGGAATTCGGAACCGTTTTACATCAAGCGCCATCGCTAACCACCGAGCCTCCAGAAGGATTGAGTTTCTGCTTCCAACATTGTCTTGTCTTGGATCGGTAGCATTCTCTATTTTTAGATAAGCTTTTTTTCTGTCTTACCGGTTCCTTCGCTTGCTCTTTACTTTAAGTGTAGGGGAAATGCTACATACTATTCAATTGTTTTTGTATGTTCTCCGCCTGTTATTTACTAACTGATGCCATTTGAATCTCTTTTTCGCTTATATAGGTAAGGAACTTGCTAATTGGCAAGTGGGTTATATCAGAGATGAGTATATTTATGTCTAAGTTATATTCTGATGTTACCTGTCTCTGGAATGATAGTGAGAGCGGGTAATTAGAGACACTTATTTAACCTAAGCGCCGACATTTCATGTTCCTATGATTTTGTAACTATGGTGTAAGTATTTCTTGAGGGGTTGTGAGACTTTTTAAGAATTCAAGACAAACCTCTTCAAGAGGATTATAAAGAATTATGGAGGTAGCCTTCTCTAGATATTCGGGTTTCCTTCTACATTATTTGTGTTGTCTTTAAAGTCTCGGGCTATTATGTATAATATATAATAACGCCTTCTTTGGGCTCTAGTTACCCTGTCTTAAGTTCGCTACTTATGCCAACTCGCGGACTAGCTGCTTACCTAATTATAAGTTAACTCTGCTTACATAGATACCTTGACGTCATTTGGAACGGACTTAAAGAATGGTAAAGATACCTGGATAACATCCTGTAATGTAATGTCGACAATTCATACCTATCATGCCGAGCAAGTAGTTTGTGATATACGCTATTCCCAAATTGAATGGTTGTCTTTGCCTCGGTATCGGCAATTTGGTAGTAGGTATTAAGATTTTCCTGCCATAAGAGGTACTATGTATGTACGACGGTGCTAGTCTTAATACCTCATCAAACTTGAGCTCTTTTGCGTCTCATCAAGGGTGTTTCCTATCTACCTCTATTTATTACCTGACTCTATTGCCATATGCTGTAAGTAATAGAGGTAGGTATAGTTAAGTGGCCTTAATTTCAATCTCGGTTCCGTTCTCTTTGCGGTTACTCCTCTGAGTTGGCAATAAAAATTTGATACCCTAGAAATCGTACACGTGTTTTTTGTATTGCGAGCTGACTACCTACCTACATAATATTGCCGAGCTGTAAAATGCTACCTCGTCTAGGCACACATACTATGTAAACAATCATTAGATATGCAATTGTCTTCAAATGATCACTCTGGAGAGAGTAATGTCGAGAAGTTATAGCATATAGGGAACGTGCACGAGAAGCTTGCGTCATTGTCCGAGCATTTAGGTGTTTTCATTGCCACTAAGTGAATGGTGAATGCAGATAAGGTTTTATCGTGGTGATAATTCCAGCCATTAATGCTTGTATAAATGTAGAAATAGAAAGTAAAAGAGACGGGATGGCCGTGGACAACAATCAACACCGTTATTACTAGCCTTGGCTGTGAATTCTACAGGTAATAATAAGAAAAGATCATTCTAACCGTTTAGCTAATAGGTGGCAGCAAAGTGGCAGGAGTGGATACCTCTAGGTAGGTATTCCAACGGGATGGGAAGGCGAAAGGTCCATTAATTATGGACGAGGGGAATCGCTATGCCAGCCCATATGCAAGCCCACAACGCGAATTCGAGCTGTTAAATACCGTTAAAAGATACATAACGCACGGACGGTTTATAGCGTAGTCGTAGGCGATAACAAACACTAAGTGGATGTATCTTCCATCGTATCCAATTTAGCACTAGGCTAGATCTAAATAGCAATTTCCATGAACAGGCAATCCTAGACAATTTTTTGAACAACTTGGGTTTTTCTCGCAAACCAAGGGGCATCAGCTTGTAACAGCATCTCCGTCCGAAGCTCTCTCTCTCTCCATCCCGTCTCTGATTCTCTAGTCCATCTTATGTAAATCACTCCTTCTTGGATTCAAGGCGGATAGTAACAAGCCTGCCGAAATCGATGGAGAGTTGCGTGTTTTCTACCATTACCATTCTTTTAATATAATTTCTTTTTCCGCTCTTTTCTTGTTCCCGATCGCCTCGGTGAGCCCTCTTTTTATTTTATTTTATTTCCACCGGGACGCGTCGCGACAATCCCCACGTTGTCAGGTACCGCAACTCTTTTTTTATTTTATATTATTTTTTATTTTTTTCTTACCCCTTAGTTGGCCCACGACCCGATTCTAATTATCGTCGGGCTGCGAAGGAGGTGCACGGATAAAACGCGAGTGTAGTAGTCTGGAGATCTAGCAGCAGGCGACCCATGCCTCGTCTGCGCTGATCTCGTCGTGGTATGTCTCGCCTCCGCCTATCGTGCCGTATCTTTCTTGATTCTCGAGACACCAGAATTAAGGGCTAACTTATACCTCGGTTCAGCCCCCCTAAAGACGTATTCTTCAAACCCGTCAACCCCTCCTCGTGCCTCTGCACAGGACGGCACTGGAGCTTGGCCATCTCGTAAATTTTCTCTGAGGTCGTCATCCCCTGTCTCGAGTGCGTCGACTATCGACGACGACGGTGAATCGTCTCCGGTGCTCCCGCCGCTTCAAGCGCCGACTCTACCGGGCCGGGCATCCGAATATCTTCGGACGCCACCACCTAATCGCGGCACCGAAGACGATAGAGAGTTTGTCACAGCTAGCTGGGGTTCGCCCTATCCTCAAGCCGATAGTGGCCACCTACGCCGGCTAAGCTTCAGCAGTGAGACTTCGGAAGAGTTTCCTCTGCATCAACTAGAGATCAATACACCTTTCTTGCGTCCGGCTCCATCGACTATAGTAACTGAGCTAGACCGTCCCTCAACATCTATATCCCGAACAGCAGCTGTACTTGCGAATCGTGCTCGGCGCCCCCTGCGCGGCATTACAGAAGATTGGATCCGCCAGCATACCACTAAGGATCTTTCTTCCGAACATCGTAATTGGCTTAGTGACGGGACTGACGATAGTGAGCACTCTTCATTGAGAAGCTCCGTTGTAAGCGAAGAAACGAGTTCTTTTGAGGAGGCAGATCCGAGGACCCCACGAGCCGACCGGCGAGCTACTCTTCATCCGTCTCGAGCTTCTAGTCAAGCATCTCGGCATTATCCGCGACAGCGCTCTAGTAACGAAACTTTAAAACAGGCGGCTTTGAACCGGCGTGTCACTAGCGGAACCGCAAATATGGATGCGCTTGAGGTGGGGAGACGCAATCAAGATGCTGTCAGCATCAATACCATAGATTCCCTGTCGGAAGCAATACCGAGCGCGGAAACTCCCAGAAGCGATCAGCCGAGCTGGAATGGGTCAAATTCGGTTGTGCCTACTACTCCGATTAAATCTATCAAACCGGTCCTAGGACGCACACCGCGACCCAAGAAGAAAGTGCCTTGGAAGGGAAAGAATATATTGGTTTGCCTACCATGGGACGAAGAGCGAGGTCAGCCCGGAAAGGCGCCAGTGCCTCTAAGTGCTTCGGATGTGAAAGCAATGCTACGTTCTTGGGAAGAGTTAGGCTATGACATTCGTGGTTTTGACTTGGAAGGACGTCATGCTCCTCTGGATCCCCTTGAAAGTTATTCCCAGAGTAGGGGCGAGTGGCCTGATTCGGACGATATTGCCAATGAACGTATCCATCACGAGTATCAAGTAACGCTGCCAGATTTGAATGGTAAGTTTAGTCACTGGCATCTCTTCTCTAGAAGCATATACTGATATTAGCATTGTAGCATGGCGAAATTATGTTGATGAGCTAAATGAGGCCAAGCTTAGGGCGCTTGGCGTATCGTCTGGCGACGACGAGCCTGTACCTCAGCCGTCTATCTCTCCGTCCGCGTCAAATATGAGCCGCCAGGCATCAAACCAGTTCCATCAGTTGCCGTTTTCGCCTCCCATTCCGACGTCTTCGGTCGCAAGTAATGGGCAGCAACCGTTCCCTTTTGTACCCCCGTTCCTATCCGGTCCTGGATCGTCCGTGCAGAGCCCGGGTATCGTATCGGTTTCTTCTCCGGCTTCATTCAACGGCCCATCATTGCCGGGCAAGTTTAACCCTCGCGCTTCGATTTCAATCTCACCGCACGAGCTTCCCTTCCATTTCTCCAATCCATCTTCACCTCATCCTTGGTCTCCACAAATGTTATTGCAACAACAACTTGGTCGTAGTGGCTCGCCGTCTGTTCTTAATTTGAACTCTGTTATGTCCCCTAATTCGCCTTTCCTGCGTGACGGTATATCCTCGCCAATTGGTGGTATCCACTCGAGGCATCAATCCTTGCAATATCCCATTCTTCCTCACCAGTATCTGCACAGGCAAGAATCGGCCAGAGCATCGCCTCGATTGCAAGATTTGCGGGAAGAGGAAGAGGAGACTCAGAGCAATCCTTACGAGGGCAAGAGCCCATCGAAAACTCCAGAGCCTACTCGGTTTATACGTCACAATGCTAGTGCCAGTCTCCAAAAAGAGATTGACGATGCCGAGTATCACTTAGAAGAACAATTCCGCTCTCAACTTGAGCATGAGGATTACAGCCCCCATAATGAATATGAAAAGATGAAAGAAAATCGCCTAGCAGAAGCTGAAGTAGCTCCCGCTTCACATATGAGAGGGCCGTCTGTCCATTTTGGCAACTTTGGAAATGATTCTGATGAAGGACCGAAGCTTCACCACCCGCAACCACATAGCCGCGGTCATTCTCTCTCTCAAGCTCCGTACTATGACGAGACACGGGATAGTACTGACGAAGGGAGCTTTCAGAAGCATCGGCCAGCTGCCCTTGATCTGCAAAACGGCAGTAATTCGTACGAAACTGAGACGAACCCAAGCAACCTGGGTGCCCCTATCCAATCTTTTGATTTGGCAAACCAGTTTCACGAACGGTCATTTTCGACAATGAGCAATCCTTGGGCAGATGTTGAACGACCTGCTGATAGTAAAGCTTCTTCGCGTCGCCTGAGTCATGCTAGTAAACCATCGCTGTCCAAGTTAAACGCTGGAGCAGCCGAATTCAAGTTTAATCCTACAAGTAGCTTCACCCCTGGTCAATTTGTCTTCGGCAATAACAACGCTCAGCCGAATAGTTCCCAACCGACGACGTTTAGAGCTGGCGCGCCCTCCTTCACACCGAAAATCCACTCTGCGACCTCCAGCCATTTTAGCGTTCCTTCAACGTCATCGTCAAAGGGCAAAATTAATGCAGCTGCTCCGGCATTTTCTCCTCGCAAGAGCGAGTTCAGTTTCTCTGCATCCGGACCCAAATTCAATCCTGATGCTCCTGCTTTCCAGCCATTGAAATCCTTTGCTTCGTCGGTAACCAGCGCCGGAGCTTCTGGCAATGAAAGCGCTGAAAACCGCCCAGGTAGCATATTTGGTAACATTGACTTGAAGCTCTCTGAGGCTGCCAATCCTGTCAAGAAGTCAAAGGCCGTTCCCATCGTCCAACCGTCCAGTCAAGATTCAGCTGCCCCTGCTATGGGAAGTCGGGATGATCAAAAGACCGATGCCAATCCGAGCAAAAAGCAATTTAGGGAGAGCAATGACGATGGTGATAACGTCCCATTATTTGCTAAACCTACACCGGAGCCAGAATTGCTACCACGGGTGCAGCCCAGCCCAACTCCTTCGGAGGCTGCTAACTCTGAAAAGGATAGCACTATTGTAAACTTCCACTCTAACAACAGAGTCGCAGAAGAGGAAATATCTCACGCAGCTGACATGACGTTGGCATCTACAATCCTTTCCGAATCTACTGATGGGAAATTGCAGTCCGAGTCGAATGGCACGAAGGCAACTACTAGTCCATCAACGACTTCTCCTGACAATGACAAGGCCAACTGGAAACCTTATGAGTTCAAGAATGATACAGAGATCCAGGACTTCAATAATGCTAGACCGTTTGGTGATGAGGAGCCCTCATTTAAGAAGGAACACAAGAAGAGCCTTTCCGCCACGGCTAAGCCTTTTGTGCCTGGAGACTTCACTTTTGGTGCCGCAACTGATTCTGCGCCTGCTCCGTCTGATCCTATTCTCAAGTCTCAGCCAGCTCAGATGGCCAAGCCTGAAGAGGAGTCTGGCGATGATCGTGCTGGGTCTCCAACTCCCGGGCCAGATTCTAAGCCTGTCGCCGAGCCTGAACCTGAACCGATCGGGGTACAACAAACACCTGCAGAACGAACTGCTCCATTCAACAAGGGTCTCGGTTCTTCGCGATTTGCCTCGCCACCGCCTGCTCCAAGGGGATTGGGTGCGTCAAGATTTGCAACTTCTCCCTCCCCACAACCGAAATCGGCTGGTTTATCCGCTTCCCGGTTTGCTGCTACCCCTTCTCCAGTGTCCGAAGACAAGTCTTCGCAGCTTCCCGAAGAAAGCATCGATGAACAAGCTAGCGAGGTATCGGAATTGCATAGCTTTGAGCCTCTGCCTGTTAGCCCGCCATCGGAGCCTATTGAATCACGAGATGATACAACTCATGAGCCTACGTTTGAAGAAATTGACGCAGTTATCCAACACCTCAACAAGAACGACCCGACTATGGGAGTTAAGAGAACCATAGGGTCTCCTCAATGGTGTCCTAGCCCTGTGCCTGACGTTCCGGCTACTACTGTTACGAATTCGCCACCTGTGCGTTTGCCACCTCAAGTTCCGTTCCGATGCGATGCCCCAAGCCCAAGCCCATCTCGACAGTACCTTCCTTTGCCTAAGCAGGGTGTCAGTCCAAGGCCTTCCACCGAGCTTGAAGATCCTTTCGTTGATCCTCCATTAAGCGGCGTTTCGCACTCGTTTGATGGACCGGTACACCGACTTAATATTGGAGAGAGTTTACCCGAGAGCGAATGGGATGACGCCTTTAGTGCTAGTGAACAAGAGAAGCTGGGACAGCGTGTTCAGTACTTTGATGGTCATGTTAACGATCTGGTTGGTGCTGTCCTTGCTTCCAGACTCGACCCTCTTGAGAAGACACTCGGTGGTATTCAACATGTCTTGGACTCCTTGGTTCGTAGAGCGCCATCTAGCCGACGTGATAGACGCAGTATTTCTGCCGAAGTCCAAGAGAGCGATGCGGATGATGAAGATGACGAGACACCTGTACGCCGGTCAATGAGTCCCAGAAGAGACAAGAGACTAGAACAAATTCGGATTGCTGTTATAGACGCTCTGAATCAACAGCAGTCAATGCGTGGGCTTCAGACTACACAACCTGAACCTGTTGTCCAGGGTCCTAATAAGGATGATTTGGAAGTTGTAAAGGCGTTGCAACAAATGAAAGAGGAACTCAGTCAAACCCTACGGGTGGATTTCCGTAGCGAAGATCTCCGGTCCATTGTGGAAGAGGTAATGGAGCGCCGTATGCCTCCAACCCCTCAACCGGCAATCAAACACGATGAGGTAGCAAACGCGATGTTCACTGAGTTGCAATCGAGGATACTGGAGCTTGAGCAGCGCCTACATACTGAGACGAGTAGAACCGAGAGCGAGCATTCTAGAGTTCTTGAACTTGAAGAACGATTGCGAGCCGAAGAAGCTAGAGGTGAGAATGAGACGACAATTAGACGCGGCGCAGAAGACCGTGCCGCTGAGCTTCGGCGACGGCTAGAACAAGCAGAGACGAAGGTGGAGGTCGAAATAATGAACCGCAGTATTTTCGACCAGAGAATCCATGACCTGGAAGAGCGACTCAGGTTTGCAGAACACAAGACAGAGAACGAAATAGCAGGTCGCAGGGACACTGAAGATAGGCTTTCGGAGATTCAACGACTCCTTCGCATCTCTTCCGAGGAGGAGGATCGTCTACGAGCCGTGCTTGAAGAGCGTGAACAAAGGATCAAAGGCATGGAGCAATCGTTCAGCAAAGCCTCTATGCGCATTTCCCTCCTCGAAGCAGCGCAGACGGCTGCTGACCAGACTCAAGCGGAGCTCAAGAATCGCCTTAACATTTCGGAAGCTGAGCTCCGCGAGGCTCGACAAGAGACACGTCATTGGCGTACTGAAGCCGAACATGCAAGGGAGACTGCCCATCGACAGACGGATGACCTCATGGAGGCCGTTAATGAGAACAGACACATGCATAAGCTTATCGATACACTCAGCGTCCAGCTCAAAGAAAACGAGCGAATTCGAGATAGCTGGCGGGCTAAGTTCCAGTCTTTGCAGGATGATATGGCCCATGCAGCTCGCGAAATCACGGAAGAGAATGCCCGACGCCAGAAGAGAGAGCAAGCTCTCATCGCGCGGCAGGAAGTACTTGATGCCAGGCTGCAAGCTGAAGCACGGACTCGGGAGCGCCTCGAGGCCGAAATTGAAAGATTGGAGAATGGTGAGCGGGCTGGCCTAAGGGCTGTTAGCGAATGCAAACGACTCGAGGTATTGCTATCCGAACTCCGTGACGACAATCATAATCTCCAGCAAAATGTTCTACGGTATCAGAGGGAAATCCACGAAGCGAGAGAATCGGCGGCTGCTGAAGTTCAGCGTACGCAGACTTCTTTGCAAGCCGAACTGGAAGCCGCCAACAACGAAGTTAACGTGGTGCGCGAGGAACTTGAAGAAGACATTAATAAACTAAGAGCCCAGCTAGATCAAATCAGAATGGATGCGGACACTGCGAAAGCGCATCATGAGATGATGCTCGAGGAAGCCCAAACAACCAAGCAGACCGAACTCGAAGATGCCGAGAAAAAGAGGCGTGCTGAACTTAACGAGCTTATTAAGAAACACCAAAATGAGATCGAAGATCTTCAAGCCCGATACGAGCGACAGATCAACAACGCTACTGAGGACGCACAGCGCACAGAACAGACCCTCTTGGAACGACTCAGCCTATCGACTTCTAAGACTGAACATCTGCAAGACCGTGTCGCTCATCTAGAGGACAAGTTGCTAATCGCTCAGGAAGCTGCCAGAGCGGCAGCACAAGCAGCACAAGCCTCCAAGTCTGTTAGTGCGCCTGGACCTGTTGCCCAAACGAAACAGCTGGCAGAGGCTATGCAACTCCCCGAGAAGGTATCCCCGCAGGCTCTCCGTGAATCTATCATGGTCCTACAGGAACAGTTGCAGGCCCGTGAGCAGCGGATTGAAGAGCTCGAACAAACGGTTGATAAGCTTGACCCTGATGCTGCTTCTAAGATTTCCAAGCGAGACGACGAGATTACGTGGTTACGTGAACTTCTGGCTGTGAGACATGGAGATCTCCAAGACATTATCAATGCGCTATCCGCAGACCACTTGGACAGAGAAAGCGTTAAAGACGCGGCTATACGCCTCAAGGCAAATCTTCAAATGGAAGAACAAGAGCGAGAGCGTGCTATGAATGGCGGCTCGGCTATCAGCTTTCCCAATATTGCCGCTACAATTAGGGGCGCGGCAACTCCTCGAGTAGCACAAGCTGTTGGACCTCTGGCTGCCGCTTGGGGAAGTTGGCGAAAGTCGAACCAACCTGCACTTAACAGCCTCTCCAATGTTTTGTCTTCATCCCCGGCACCAGCAAGAAACTCCACGCCTTCGAAATCGAATGTCACATCCCAGAATAACTATCACTCTGGTCTCATGACTCCTCCGGCTTCTAGTATTAGAAACACCCCGCCGGTACAGCAGAACCAGGTACAACCTACCGCATTTGGTACTACCGGTCGTCGTTTTACCGCTGAACAATTTGCCGCCAGATCTCAAGGACAGTCAGCACGGCAAGCCGAGAAGATGCCTAGGATAAATACTCCTCCCCAACAGGAGCGTCGCCAGCCCATAACTCCTCCAATGATGCGATCTGGCGCATACGATTCAGACGCGCAAGTGGAAGAGTTTGACGATGCTTCCTTCTTCAATGATTGAGCGGTTTGATGAATTAGGATTTCCTTTTGGGCGACAATCTCATGTCGCAAAAATTAACGAGGCATCTGGGGAAGTTGACGTTATATACCCAAATGTGCGTTTTTTATACCATTTGCCATTTTTCTCTTCTGTCGCTGCCGCAATGTCTAGATTGATACCCCCTCTATTTTCTTTCACCATTCTCGCACTATCTGCACTTGCAATGTAATGAAACGAAGCAACACACAATCCACGCAAATTCATTCTTTTTGACGGACCAGGTTGACGCTTGGTTTCGCAACATTTTTTTTCTATTCGAGAAGAAGATTGATAATCAGAAAATTACGTATTTTTATTTCTCCTTTTTAACTGATTTCCTTTGTTCTACATCCACTTTGCATAGCCAGTTTATTGGAGACGAGAGGAGGAAGAGTTTTCACTCGTTTCGCTCATGAGTAAGGAACAGAAGAGAAGTGAAAAAGATAAGGAGAAGAGAGGTTGAAGCCTTTGAGGCTCTATGCGTGACGTCGTTTCTGGGGAGGTCTGCAGATAAGTAGTACTACTACTACTGTTGCTGTATGAAGTCGATCGTTGAGATCGCATTGTGCTGTGGCAAGGAGAGAGAGAGTAGACAGCTCTATAATTAATACTTCGGTCACGTTTAAGTCTATAATTTACGGCCCAACCATGGTGAAGTTGATAGATACTGATTAAACATACTATACAATCCCTAAAACGTTGATTGATTAGTTGTTAAATCACGGAGTACCTATGCTTGAGAACGAAACCGAGGTAAATCTTATAGTTGAAGTCAAGTACGTTATTGATACCTAAGATAGTTCATATCTAGTAACAAAGCCCGCGAGAACCCAATGATACCTGTCATCACATAATGCTATTTAACCTAGTGTAGGTATCTTCAATGCATGTAATTAAGGAATGAAGATTAAGTTAGGTAGGTAGGTACATGTAGTAGGCAGGAGGTAATAGTAGGTATATATACATGTCCATCAGTTCGTGGTAGTCGTAGTCTTTCATAGTCGTAGGAGTGTGTATGCCTTTATATAAAGGTGAGTTGATGATAAATAAAACCCCGCCAATCCGCAACCAAATAAGAAAAAAAAAAAAAAAACATCATGCGTTCCCAGAAATCCGTATTAACTCCATCTTTTTTTTTTAAGAAAAAAAATAAAATCTTTTGCTTTCCCAATCCCTGCATATCACATTATATCATATCATATCATATGATAAAAAAGGCATGGCATGAATGAATAACGGGGGGTGACAGGGCTGCGTTGTTCTGCCGTGTTTTAGTGGATGCCGCAAGCGCTGACGTCGACCTGGCGGGAGGCAGCGTCGACGCGGCCGAGGGCGACGGCCTGGCCGTTGGTCAGGGCGTTCATGGCGTCGAGGGCGATGTTGAAGCCCGCGCCGGCGTGGTCGATGGCGTAGACGTTGATCGTCTTGCCGTTGTAGCTTAGCTCCCAGCAGGTGCCGCACTGTTTGTCGGTTTGGTTAGTGATGATGTTATTTTTTTCCCCCCTGAAGTACCTAAGCTAACCTGAGGTAGGGAAGGGAAGGGAAGGGAAGGGAAGGGAAGGGAAGGGAAGGGAAGAGGGCATACCGAAGGGGAGTTCCAGCCGGCGATGGCCGAGGCGGCGCCGATGTACGCGCTCGGGATGTTGCCCTGCGTCTGCCAGCCGTAGCGGGTGATCAGGCCGTTGGGGCCGTCGGAGCAAGACACGGTTGTGAGGGAGCGGGAGCGGTCATCGTAGCCAGTGTCGTAAGAGACTGTTGGGTGTGTTGTTAGTTTAGTTTTTTTATCAATCTTATCAATCAACTGGAAGATCGATGCCCAGATAAGGTATTTCCTAAAGTGGGTAGGGGGGTGAGGAGGAATGTCATACCGGTGACAGCCGAAGAAGCGGCGGCGAGAGAGAGGAACTGGATGAGCTTGGAGAACTGCATTTTCGGCAGAGGTTGAAAGTTTTGAGGGGGAAGTTTGAGGTTTGGAATTTGAGAAGGTGACTATTAAGGCGAAGTGTATTACAGAGTTGATGAGGAGGAGATATTAGTATTTAAGTTGTAGATGCTACAGTAGATGGTGATTATGAGATGAGTATGGGAAGACGAGCAGATGTCGTCCTTATATATACATTCATCCGGCTGCTCAACTCGTTCATTTCACATTCTAAGTGTCTCGTATATCGTGGCTCCCGTCTAGGCGCGCTACGCTGCTTTGTTTCTACGGGGTACGTTACTTACGAAGCTAAAGTTCATGCTATCATACGTTGGTGACATGCTGCACCTGAGTGGAACCCGGGTTTGTTCAACTTACCTAACTGACAATTGATATTGTAGCCGACTCGTTAGCTTAAGGTACCCAGCTCGGTACAGGGCCCATACATGTGCAGTGACGACAAGATAACTGAGCTTGAAGCCGGTGTCATGCGCTCGGTAACCTAGTGGTTGGGTTATCTGCTAAGTAAACATCGGTTGCATAAGGACAGGCAATAGACACATATGATGGTAAGTCAAAAGCATTGTACAGATATCGTGCAACATTGGCGGGCCTTCAAACCTCGTGTTTGTGCTGCTTGGAGGTTATGTGGGGAGTGGTCAATGCCGATCTCACTCGTATTTGGTGGTGCGGCTAGATTCTCTAATGGGGCCGCGAGTCCGTGACTGGTTGGACGCTGGCTAGAACATCTTTAACGACTCGGAGGTATACCATTAATAGCAGGCATAAACAACGCCCAGCCCTGCAGCGTAGTTTGGGGGTCCTATGCATCTGTGGGACATGCCAACGGCAGTTGGGTAAATGAATAGCTACCTAAGGTAGATAGATCTGTGGCTTGCTAGCTCTCAGTTGATTCTGGAAACTTGTAGATACTACCTAGGGAGGTATGTTACATCATAAAAAAAGCGCTGTAAAATAGTAAGACCGCGTTCTGTCTGACCTAGTCTAGTGTACCTTAGGTACCTATGTTAGGTAGTATAAGACCTGTCTGCTGACATAGAGAAAACGAGCTTCCGAGACAAAGAATCTAAACATAGTTTCTTAATCCCATCTTGAAAATGGCTGGTCGTAAATCATCCACGGGACCTACGGCGGGGGCTGAGAATCGTGTATGACCCCGAGTGGTTTGTGCGGGAAAACGAACGGTCAGCCCTGAACGAATGGCCAGCCCTTGCGTGCGGCTCAGTGTAAGACTTCGCTCAAGATTGGCGGAAACCGATTAGAACAATGAGGCTATGGCAGCCTAACCCAACAGCCGTAGTAGCCTATTCCGACACACCCATGATAGTGTTGTTGTCTGTATCTGAATAGTATACTTAACTTCGTCTGAGCCGGGAAGGATTCTTCCCCGCATAACCCGCCGCATGGCGGCTCTTGTGATTCGTGATGTAATGAATGGAGTTGGTAGATTAACCCCGTCCACGCCCAGCATCGCTGCCATGTCAAGGTCCACCAGCGCTTATCCTATCCCGATTACAGCGGAAACCACTGTAAAAAAGATGGAAACTGATGATATGTAGTCTTATGGAGGAACACGTTACCCTGCAAAGGGAATCCCGGAACTACCGATATTCCTTTTGGACTCCGGTAAGCAAGTTTTGCCCAGCACTGTGCAGTGAAACTTCACTAAGACATCGGCAGCAAGCGTCCTGTGATCGGGAGCCGGAGTCATACTACGGCCGGAAAGAATACGAGGTGACATACGAGGCCTTTCCACGGGTTACCTTCGGTGTATTTAAAAGTGGTAACGCAACGCCTGGAGCCCTGGAGATCGCATCTGGAAATCAGGTATAAAAGGAGAGCTTAGTCCGAAGGAGACAAGCGATATCGATCTTTTTTTTTTCTCTCTAGATTGATTTATCTCATGTTGATCAATAAAGAAGCAAAACTGAGTACTTACATAGGTAGTATCTTGGGTTGCGTTGAAGTTGATTTCGAGACTCATTCCGAAAGCTTTACCTCTTCGATAGGCATACACAATCCGATTGGGATCGTTACTCTTTGCTGAGATTTTATCACCTCACTACCTCACCACCTCGCCGCGTCGAAGCAACCGGACTGTGTTGACTAAAAAGACCGATAATTCCCGCGATATTCGCATCCTTTGGTGGATAATAGTCGCTTTAAGGACAGATCGTCTCGAATCGGCTGATTGCTTTCTTACATACTTTCAACTACCTAAATTGGGCAAGTTCTAGACTTGATTTCTCCTAAAAAGGTGGGTGAGGTTTATACTTGCAGTAATCCAATTTTGTTATCCGAGACTTGAAAAGAATGGAAGATAAGAGAAATATCCCACGCAGAAAGGGTTTAGGTTAGGTACCTAGGTAGTTGTATACAATTTATGCGACTTATTCGACTTATGCGTGTGGGGTCGTTTGTAGTGGTAAGACAGGTACCTATTAAATAACCACTCAGCGTCCACCTGTTGAGCAATTACCTAAGGCTACCTGGTACCTGTACCTAACGGGAAGCCAAACGGGAACGGAACTTACACTGTACAACATCCGTTAGCTCCCCCGCTCGTGTTTCGTTTTCGGGTTGTCTTGGTGTTTCGTTTCATCCCGTTAAATTCACCAATTTTAGCTTTCTAAAAATCCGTTAACGCGCGCCCCCGTAGGCTCCGGGTCCCGTTTCAATTTATTTCGTGGCTTCTTTAAACGGGCGGGTCCCATCTACTTGTTTCCAAGTTCCATTTGCTTTAGGTACCTATCCTTCAATCTTCTTTCGATCGGCTGGTCCGTTGTGTCATCTATTACCTACCTGGTATTTCCTTACATCTCGTACCTCAACAAACACAAACTTCACACGATGGCAGCTGTCGAACCAAACACCCGGAAAAGGGTGCTCAAGGTCATCTTCATATCCTTGCTTCTAGACCTCGTACGTCATACCACGCGGCTAAATATATGAGACATACTACTTTAACTACCTAACTTAGTACCTGTTATACTAACTGCGGATGTTTGCAGATATCGTTTACTTTTATCCTACCTCTCTTCCCAAAGCTCCTCGAATTCTACCGAAATAGCGAAGCCGGCGACAATTCACAGTCGACACTACTCGCCAAGATTCTCGGTGGTCTCAACACGTACAAATCCGCCTTCGCGAAACCTATCGATTCGCGATACGATATTGTCCTGCTCGGCGGTGCCTTAGGGAGCTTGTTCTCTTTGCTTCAGGCCATAGCCTCTCCCGTTATTGGACACTTGTCCGACAAATATGGCAGAAGGGCGGCGCTTCTTGCCAGCATGGCTGGAAACATCCTGTCGGTTCTCCTTTGGGTAGTAGCTGTGGATTTCAGGACCTTCCTTGCCTCACGCGTTGTAGGTGGCTTGTCTGAGGGCAACGTACAACTCGCTACAGCCATTGCGACTGATATCTCGGACGAGAGCAGCCGTGGCTCGACCATGGCCCTCATAGGCGCTTGCTTTTCCATCGCCTTCACATTCGGCCCGGCTCTCGGCGCATACCTGAGTTCCATTGCAACAGTGGCCGCGAACCCTTTTGCAACAGCTGCCGGCGTGTCTCTGTCCCTGATTGTGCTCGAGACGATTTACCTTTACTTCGCCTTGCCCGAGACTCTACCAAGCCAGACGGAAAAGAAGGACACGAAAAAACCAGCGAAGCCAGCCGCGGTGACGCGTACAAACTCCCACTTTCTGCTGAACTTGGTACACTTCGCTTTTCTGCTGTTTTTCTCGGGGATGGAATTCTCCCTGCCCTTCATGACGTACGACCTCTTCCAGTACAGCTCGGCCCAAAACGGCCGACTGCTAGGTTATGTGGGCCTCATTGCCTCCATCTTACAGGGTGGAGTCACCCGCCGACTTCCGCCGCTTCTGACTGTGCGGATCGGTGTCACTGCATGCTTAGTGGCCTTCGTCATGCTCGGGCGTATCAGCACGATCGGATCGCTCTATCTCGCCGCTACCTGCTTGGCGACCACCTCAGCCACGGTCGTTAGCGGTCTTAACACACTGAGCAGCTTCGAAGCTAACGAGGATGAGCGAGGAGGCAAGCTAGGCATTCTTCGGAGTTACGGCCAGCTTGGAAGAGGCTTGGGTCCTATTCTGTTCACTAGCGTGTACTGGTGGGCGGGTAGAGAAGTTGCGTACGCCGGAGGAGCTTTAGGTATCTTGGGCGTCACGTTACTGGTATTCGCCGGGCTCAAGTCTCCTCCCGGTTCGCTGAAGCAGGTCAAGTCGGAGAAGAAGGAATTATAAAAAAGTTGCTACTGATTTAAGCACGCTGTAATATATCAAAAAAAGCTCTCGGCTCGTTTGCTGGATGATCATAGAACATTAGGATAAGACTTGTTAGAATAGCGTTGGAACAAGGCGTAATCACTTAGTAGTACTTACCTAATGCAATGGTTAACCAGGTGCTCATTATGCCTCGTCTGGCTTAGACAGCCTAGTACTAACTAGTCCTAAGCAAAATCCAATTTTCAGCAACCGTCTTCGCTTTCGCAATCTTTACTCGATCTAATCACCTTACCGACTGGTCCTATATGGGTGGATTATGTGAAATGTTGCTAATAGCTGAGAAAAGTGTGAAGAGAGATTGTTTGCCCGATGAATTGAAAACACATCATTCGAGGACTGAGGCAATGTTTAAGGTGTCGGAATCGCGGCGAGATCTTTAGCATATGTTCACGGTTTTGGTTTTCTATAGCCTTATAAGTTATAACAGTAGAATTGAAGGCGTGGACTATAATGGGGATAATGGGGACGGACGTAGGGCTACCGTATTAGGCAATAATTTGAAGGCTTATCGAGCTGTGATTGGCTGGAGGAGCTGAGTTTTAGCGTCCCTCCACCACTTGAACTTTTATTCTGGACGCATCCAAAGGCACCCATACAATCGTGACGGTATCCGTCCAATCTAGACAGATAATTAGGTACTCTACGTGTCTCTACACCGGTCTGAATTAACCTAGGGGATGGCTCTGCAGAGTAATAGTTGGATCTCCATTCTTCGCTTCACGATCCCTTCTCCAATAGCAACGTCCAATTGTCAATATGTATAACCCAGGTCTAAGAAAACGGGATGTAGTAAAGTCCTATAGTAACCCCCGAAGAGCTGATATTACGTAGACTTACACTAAGTATATTTCTTAACCGGTGCTGCCATGAGGTAGACAAGAAGGTACCTTCCCTAAGGTAAACAACTCTGTTGTTCCGCATCGAACTCTAACTAAGATAACTCTGAGAACCAGAGCTGTACATATAAAATATCTCTCGTGTCTTCTTATGTCCAACATCTAATAGCCGCCTTCCAATGGCTTTCTTTCTTTGGGAATATTAAAACTAAAAGCATAGTTAATTCTTCAGGCTTTTCCTCATCTCATGAACTTCTCACGTAAGTTCTACCTAATATACTCTTCGTAGACTTAATAAAGCGTAATACTAATAAATTGTGCGGCAGTTTGAGCTGAGCAGGAATTGAGTTCGAGCACGATGAAGCCCACATCACTTCTTCCCGGCCTCCTAATCTCGTCCGGGCATTATGCTACGGCCCAGAATACCTCGGGCGTTTTTGACTGGACCAGTATCAAACCGTCCGCGTCACTGCAATACACCAAGTGTTACGGTGATTTGAAATGCGCCAAGCTAGGCGTTCCTATGGACTGGCTGAGCGACTCGACTCACAACGCGACCGAGGTCTCCATAGCCGTCGTTGCCCTCCCAGCTACGGTTTCCGAGGACGACCCGTCTTTTGGCGGTACCATCATTACCAACCCCGGTGGCCCAGGCGGATCTGGCGTTGATTTTCTGGTTCAGTTTGGCGAGCTTATCCGAGGCGTTGCTGACGGTAACAAGCACTACGAGATTCTGTCCTTTGACCCTCGTGGTGTTGGGTTCTCGGAACCCAGGGCGGATTGCTACAACGATGAGCTCGCTCGGGACGTCACTTTGCTCGAGCTGCGTGGCATGGGCCCTCTGAGCGGCGGCGACAATGTTGTCCGACGCCAGGCCTCTCTGCTAAACGCGTATGGACAGCTTTGCGAGAATGGGAAGATCCACAGGTTCATGTCTACGGCTAGTGTTGCGCGCGACATGGTTCAAATCATAGACAAGATCGATGAGCTGCGCAACAGCAACGGAACCTCAGGCTTGAATTTGCGTGCGAGTAGAGGCCCACGGCGAACCGGGTCGCGTCAGGAGAAAGATCTTCCGCGTATCCTCTACTGGGGCTTTTCCTACGGTACCGTCCTTGGGAACTATTTCGCCTCCATGTTCCCCGGTCGTGTGGATCGCATGATCCTTGAAGCTGTTGTGGACATCCACGACTACAACGGAGCCGTAAGTATCTTCTACTCCCGTATACCCGTCCCCGTACACATCTAACCTTTACAACTAGAAATGGTCTAAGAACCTTCAAGACACTCAGAAGGTCTATGACCAGTTTTTCATCAATTGCTTCGAAGCCGGCTCTCAGTGCGCGATTTACGAGGAAGGCGACTCCGGTCCCGACGACATCCGCTCGCGTGTCGACGCTTTCCTTAACCAGCTCGACGAGTCTCCGGCCCAGGTCGTGACGAACAGCAGCATCGAAGAGATCACTCGCGCCGACTTCGCCGCCGCCATCTTCTCGACTCTGTACCAGCCCCAGAAGTACTTCTCCTACAGCGCCACCCTCCTAGCCCTGGGCATGAAGGGCGATTTCACCACCTTGTCCGCCTCCCTCGGCACCCCCCAGGCCTCCAAGTACTGCCCATCGACCACCCCCAAGACCTTCGCCTGGGCGCAGGACGCTCAAGTCGCCGTCGCGTGCGGGGACGCGGAGCCCGCGAACGCCACGACGATCCCCGAGTTCCAGGCGTACCTGAGCGCGACCCTCGACCAGTCGCCCGATTTCGGCGCGGCCTGGGCGCCGCTGCGGCTCGCGTGCCGCGGCTGGCGGGTGCGCCCCAGGGACCGGTTCGCGGGGCCCTTTGCGACGCCGGCGGCGGACCCGGCCGGCGCGCCCGGCAGGCCCAGGGCGCCGATCCTGTTCGTGGCGAGCCGGTACGACCCGGTGACGCCGCGCGCGAACGCGGTCGCCATGGCGAAGGAGCACGCCGGGTCGCGCGTCCTGCTGCAGGACAGCCCGGGCCACGCCGCGCTGTTCTCCCCGGGCGCGTGTCGCGAGGCGTACGTCAGGGGGTACCTCGAGACGGGCGACTTGCCGCCCGAGGGAACCGTCTGCCAGCCCGATTGCAAGCCCTTCCGCGATTGCCCCCAGGCTTCCGGTTGGAAGAAGAAGGAGAGGCGCGGCGTGGGGGGTGGTGGCGGGGTGGCGGAGAAGACGGGTCCGCCGTTGTATCGTGGGCCGTTGGGTGTGGCTTGGTAGAGGGCACTTAGATTAGATAGGTTAGGTAGGTTAGGCACATATCTCCTATTAATTGATATATTTACCTCGCGGTCGTATTTAGTTTCCACGGTTTTTGTTTTATTTTGTATGCGATCGAGAAGACGTCTACCCTTCTCTTCACCGTAGTTAATTAGCAGGGAAGAAATGTATTTTGGATACCTCCTAGGGTAGGGTCGGGTAGGGTAGGGGTAACGGTAAGGAATACATGGGGGAGCTCTGTAGGATAGGGAAAGCTTTTGGACGTGAGGGGAGATTTTTCGCCGACACATTAGGCGATTTATTAATGGGTTCATTACGAACACGTAACTACCGAAAGAAAACATAGCATTTCCCTTGCTGTGACGTGATTGCTCAGGTCCAAATTAGGGTTGAGGGATGCTTGTGCTGGTCGTAAAAAGAAAATCAAAGTATATGCATGCAACTGAGCTGGGAAGAGACATTCATTCCGATCGGCGTGATAGCCCGTGATCATTTTCTTCTTCAATCGTACGTACACAAACGAAACTGCCCAAGTAATGCCTTGCTAAACGAGTAACCACAATAAGTGATGTTGGCTTGGAGAGGGTGTGCTAGTTGAGGCACTAGAGTAAGAGACTATATAAGGTAAAGTTGGTCAGTACTCAAGAAGCTATGTGTAGGGTATTGAGTAGGAAAGAAAAGAAAGAAGCGAAAAAAAAAAACCTTACGACCCAAGAACTCTAAGGCATTCTTTTACTCGTCTACGCGAAGAGAGCCTCCTGGAAGGGGAAAGCTCCAGCGTGGAGCTCCTTCAACCAGTTGTAGAGGAGTTCGATGGCCTCCTCACACTCCCAAAGGCAGACGTCGTTGCGCATGATGACGCCCACGGGTTCCTGCACAACGGGGTCGTAGTAGTAGGTCCAGCCGTCGCGACGTAGACGCACGAAGAGGAGTCTGCCGCCCTCACGGACGGGCTTCCACTCCTCACGACGGTTCACTCGGAACAAGCGCAAGACCTTCTCCTGCGGCGGCGCGGCGCTGCTGACGACCTGCGTGACCTCGGCACTCTCGTAGTCCGCCAGATGACGGTGAAAAGCGTAATACGGAAAATACTGTTGGTTCGTGCGGTGGTTCGCGTACGCGGTGAACTTCTGGTCTAAGAGATACGATAGACCGCGCATGACGATGGCGATGTTGGCCTCATCGGGGAAGATCACGGTAGTGCCGCACGCGGGCACCATGATGTCGACGCTGACGGGCGCGACGCGGCGGGTCGAACGGAAAGGAGGCCTGTTGCGTCCCTTGAAGTCGGTTCCGCAGCCCAGGAGCACGGCTACGAGCACGCCGTCCTGGGTGGACTCGGAGATCTCCGGAGGGACCGGAGCGGTAGAACTCAAGAGTGGAGGGTTGATGATTCCTCGCTCGAGAGGCTGTGAGGATGGGAAGTGAGTGAGTGGTACACCTTTTTTTTTAAAAAAAAAGAAAAAAAAGAAAAAGAAAAGAAAAGGTCGGGTATAGGGAGAGAATAACTTACACCAACTTCTTCGACAGTGCCGGTTTGGGTGCTGGCATCGCACGTAGTACCGGTAGCGGTAGAAGGCTGGGCGCCAGTCATGGCCTAGGTAATAAGGAAGAGTCAGTTAGAATGAGTTAGTAAATATATATTAGAAGAGGTAAATTACCACATCGCTAGAAGAAGCCATTTTGAGAATGCTCAGGTATTTGAGCTGGTGCAGTTTGCTTGGCTTGCTTTTGCTTGGTTTGTGTTGGGAAAGAAGTTGGGAAAGAAGAGGAAGTGGAAAGGGAATTTGAGTTGGGCAGGCTGCGAAGATATTTGTAGCAGGCCCAAGCTCAAATCTGCCTGGCAACCTTAAGGTAGCACTAGTCGTTATGACGATGAAGGGATCGTGGGTCGTGTAGTTGCTAGTAGGCCTAAGGTCATGGGACTGGGCAGGAATCTTCCGAAAGGACAGTCTCCAAGGCGAGGGCAGAGGGGGAGAGGGGAAGGGGGCAAGAGTCTTTAGCATAGGGCTACTCCTAATTTAAGATTCACTGACTTGTGGTAGATAAATCTAGATGGAGCTTTAGTACATACTATGAGGAAGGACTACTGACGATAGTCAACTGTTAGGACAGGTACAATAAGAGTTCCGGAGTCGTTATTCAAAGACTACCGCGTGGGCCGGCGAGATAACAGAAGAGATAGAGAACTTTATAATATTTAGAGCACAACTGTGTGTCGCCGAGAATGCGAATTCATGGAAGTGTCCCATAGTTTTACATAGGGAACTAGTTACCTATTTCAAGACGGACGGCAATGTGCTTATGGCTCGTTAGTATACGGACAATGATCACGGCTATAGTCGTGTCGAAAATTCTGTTGCCTAGGGTTTTAAACTTGCCGTTAATGATATTAGAGAGCTTCGCCCTCACCAAAGATATTGGCCAGATACTATCAACTAAGACGGCGTACCAAGCCTTTAGTTATATTAAAGCTAAGACCGTCTGGTAGGACAGTTCGATGAATCATGTGCAAGATGTTCAGCTACCACAAGGAGTGATTCTTTGATTATTATCATAAAAGCACATTGGGAAAGATACATGTAGCAAATTTCATGACCAGGTTTATCTCTCAAAGTAGACATAGGTAAAGGAGAAAATAGGTACTATTGGTCTTTCAGCGCTAAAAAGTTCGACGGTGATGTAGTGAGTACTAATTTTTATTATAATACTGAGAGTGATGTTGGTTCATAAGGGGAACTCTGGGCCATCCTTCTTGCGGTTGTTGCATAGTCTGTCCCTGGAAGTTAACTGGAATTTGCGATTATGAGAGTCCTAACGGTTGGCCGTACATATGCTGTCAATATTGGTGGACTGGGCTATTTTGACATACGGTGCTCAAAGGAGGATTCATTTGTGGCGATGGGCTGTGCTGTTGCATTATCTCCCCAGATATTTGACTAGGCCTAGTGAGATTTGGGTAGGTAGTTGGCCTGAAACTGGGTTGTCCACTAAGTTCGGCGCATGAATTTTGGTTGCTCCTTTTAGCTTGCTTCATGAGCTCGCTAGGTCCGGTTTGTCCAAAATCCTCTTCTGCTCAAATATAGTTCTCCTTTGCACGTTGGTTGGTGCTGATGCTGCGTATTTCACCAAGATAGGTTGAGAAATCTAAGTAAGCCTTCTGTACCATCGCCAAGTAATTTTGCTGGAGGAATACAGGGTCTTTGGTCCCTCAAACTTCAGATTTCGTAAGGGCCAGAGCTGTTGCCTTAGCAAACTCAATAATAGCTCCGTCATCTGTGAACGCTGACCTGACGCTTCAATCTCTCCCTGATCAGGCCAAGGTTGGGCTCAAAAAATATCCAAGAGCTTTGCAAGGACAGTCACAGTTTTCTGCATCTTAGACGGCATAGGGTTCTATGAAAGAGAGCAGTATAAAGACGATATGGAGGATATATCAGACTATATCGTGGACTTGGTTGAAGACGAAGAGCGCGGCATTGCTACGGTAATCGAGTTACTCTTGACCAGCCCGCGGTCCACTCCATACGTACGGGCCGCCTTTCAGGACGAGATATTGATATTAAATATGGCGTCTATTTTAGATGACGGGCAGTGGCCCAGTTCGTTTCGTTTCGCAAGACAGGTCAGTGGCGTACTTGAGTAACGGTCACAATTATCAGGGGTATGTGGCCAGATAGGGGTGTGCTGGCTACCTGCCGGAATAAGCTTTTGTATTTTTCCCGATTCTACTGGTAAATCGCAAATTGAATTATTAACTCAACCAATTCACTTTTTTTGGTCGGCTCGTGTAATTCAAATCTTTTCTTTCCCCTATTCTGGGGCTCGTAGTCTTATAATAGGCTGTTACATCATGGGACCCTTGTCAAATTGTAACATGACCAATATTGCCTACCTTCGAGATGATAGTATATATAGTATATATATAAATATCATACCTGTATAATAGATTAGGTACCTGGGTAGGTATACCGAATAGAAAATACAAGGATTAAAAATCCAGCGGTCCGAAGATACCTTTCTATAGTCACATATAATTGACTGTCTTATAACCACCATTGGCAGCTTTAAATAGAGTGCTATTAAACCTCGATGTTCCAGTTGGCCGACTTTCGTCTCCGGCTAAAAGGACTTTACCGGCAGTTATGTATACCCAGGACTTCCCATGGGCACCCCGGGTTTTAATTTTCAGGTCGGCCTGTGGAGTCGGATCGTGGTTTGGTCGTTTATTTAAGAAGGCAACAGGACCGGATACACTGCATCGCCACATACACTCCTAAACTTCACGCCAAGGACTTCATCATGTCTTGGAGCTTTCTCATCCTCGCCGCCCTTCTGGGCCAGCATGCCTCTGCGCAAAACATGCTTCGTTTCGGCTGCTCGCAGCTCACCATCGAACGCGCTGACCCACTGGTCTCTCCTGGTCAAAACCCCGCTCCGCACACACATCAGATCATCGGAGGGAACTCGTTCAATCTTACGGTACCTCAACCCAGATGAATCTAATAAAACAACTACCCCTGACATAGATATCTTAGATGACACCAGCCGAATACGACCCGCCCAGCTTGTCCACCTGCACGACGTGCACCTACTCGGAGGACTTCAGCAACTACTGGACGGCGTCACTGTACTTCCGGTCGCCGGAGAACGGGACGTACCAGCGGGTCCCGCAGTACGCCAACTTCGGGATCCAGCAGGACGGGGGCATGACGGTGTACTACATGCCCTACAGCGCCAAGAACGGCAAGGTGACGGCGTTCAAGCCCGGCTTCCGCATGATCGCGGGCGACCCCACCAACAGGAAGAACATTTACAAGCCCTCCATCTGCCACCGCTGCCTCGGAAACGGCGAGGGCTTCGCCCCGTGCGACGGCAAGGATACCGCTGAGCTGCCGACCAAGTATTGCCCACAAGGCATCCGCGCGAGCATTATTTTCCCTTCGTGTTGGGGGTATGTATAAGAAAAGTCTCCTGTTGTTATTTCTGGATCATTATTCTCAGCTGTATTTGAAACCTGCTTTGATACGATATGTGATAGCTAACGTTTGGTAGTAAGTGCGATGACTTTTGATAAGGAACGGCGAAGACTCTAGAATAGTACGATTGTAAAGCTGACACGAGATGTTTTCTCATACTAGACGGAAAGAACCTCGACTCCCCGGACCACAAGACGCACGTAGCCTACTCCAACGGCGGTGGTCTCGGTAGCCCGAACTGTCCTTCCACTCACCCGGTTGCCATTCCGCAGGTGATGTACGAAGTGATGTGGGACACCGGAAGATATAATAACGCCGCTTGGTACGGAAACGGCAAGCAGCCGTTCGTCTACAGCTTCGGAGACTCGTAAGTCCCCCTTCTTCTTTCCAACCGATCAGATCTGTGCCTAGGTTAGATAGTTAGTTTACTGACGACGATGGCAGCACCGGATACGGCCAGCACGGCGATTACTTGTTCGGATGGAAGGACGATTCTTTGCAGAAGGCCATGGACGCTTTGCCTACCGGGAACTGCGCCAATGCTAACTGCCGCGTTCTTAAGATCCAATCCGCTGCGGATGCTATGAAGTGCAAGAAGGCTCAGCAGGTTGTTGAAGATGTTGGACAGCCAGGGAAGTGGATCAATGAGCTTCCGGGAGGTGTGCCGGTCTATTAATGGCCTACCTACCTAGGTAGTGTCTGTACCTAGAATAAAGTAGTAGTGTTAAACTCGTCAGAAGACTCTAAACTAGAACTGTAGGCATAATATGATGCTTCTAAATCTATAGTATACACTTATATTGAGGGTATCAGGGTATTCAATGTTCGGCCTTGGCACAAATATCAAAACAACAGTTGCTAAGATAGAATGACTACCATAACCGTTGACTTTAGATATTTATTTCGTACTGTAACTACACAAGAATGATAGAGGGTTAGAAACAATTTTCATTTAACTATAAATATAACAACTAGTAATTAAAGTCTTGCAAGGAAAATTAATTCAACTGAACTGGTGGGTTTAGTTGTAACGGCATAAACAGGCCTGGATTTACACAGGAGAATTGCTATTTCAGTAATAATGGGAGTTCAGTAGTAATCGCTTTTTAGACCCACTTCTTCAAAAACCGGCAAAATTTAAAGATTCCCTTATTTATATAGAAGATATATATTATTATTAAGCATTATATCGTATTAAATTTAATAACTTAATATATAAGAATTATATAATCGTTTTTACCTTAATGAAAATTATTTAATAATATATATTTTAATTAAATGTATATGGTATTTTAAAAATGTTTTATAAAAACATAAAATATTAATATTTCGTTTCGTAAAAAAGGGCATTACCATTTATACATATTTGTTTTCGCACTTTAATAGCTTTTAAAATATTATATGCATTTAATTAAAACTTATATTATTAAAAAGCTTTAATTAAAATAAAACTAATAATATAATTTTTATATATTAAACTGTTGGATTTAATATAATATAATGCTTTATATAGTATTAAGTAATAATATGGATAAGGTATTTCCAAGTAATAAGCCCTTCTGGGCAGGCGGTGAGAAAGGTGGGTCTAAAAAGTGACTACTATTGAACTCCCATTACTACTAAAATAGCAATTCTCTTACACAGAGCTAATAAGCAGCTTATAACTCTTAGATCGTGTGTAAAGAAGTACCTAAATAAGTCAAAGTTCAAACATGAAGAAGGTATTAGATAAGATATCAATTAGTTACAATTATTAAGTATAAGTTAAGCAGCAGCCTAAGCCAAGTGAGAAAGTGTGAAAGCTTGGACCTGTCTAAGGACCTTCGAGAAAGTGCTATATAATGTTCTGCTACCCGTTTGCTTTTTGTTTAGGTAGGAGGTAGGTACCTAATAATCAGATACCAGGCATAATACATTTCGAAACCAAACTTAAGGTAAGCAGGGGCGTCTTATTGGAAGACTAATAAATCAATGTGGAGCAAGTTGTGTGCTGTGCGGGTAGGTGCAGTTAGGCAGGTACCCCCTTAGGTATTGCCTGTCTTGTCTGTCGTGTAGATATGCGGCCTGGCACGTTGTTGTTGCCAAGTGACATGTACCCGCGACTCGCCTTTGGGTGATATAGCTGAATAGCAATCGCTCTTACCATGAACGAGGAGCAGTTCAAGGATGGTCGAGTGGTGAAGTCACAACACCGTTCTACCTACAGAAATTCACAACGCCGCACTAGAGAAATGGTTAACTCGTCGGCCTCCTACTCCCTTCTGGAAAGTAGAGTTTATAACAGCCGAAGATTCCCGGTTCGAGTCCGGGGTGTGGTGTATTCTTTTTTTTTTTCGTTTTTCTTTTCTTCTGTATCTTTTTTTTTTCGTCTGCTATCATTGTCTCCTGTCACGTTTCGTCTACTTGCCCTTGCACTTACACCATGATTCTACTTTTCTTCCTCTTGCATTGTATGTTATCTGACATACACACCTACACACCTACATGATAATTTTGGGGCTTGGACGTGTGTATCCCTTCTACATTTTTACACATACTTGATATCACTACGCCACTGAAGATATGGATGCCTAAACCACCAGAATTTGCACAAACAAACAAGCACATCTCATCAAATATATTTACTAACTTAGGTAGGTACCTAGGTAGGTTACGTACTTATCTCTATCATAGAGTGTCAAAGAAGGCCAATATCTCCCTAATCACAACCTCAGGCTGTTCCTGCTGCACCCAATGCCCAGCACCATCCACGAGCTTGGCACCCCTATAACAACCCTCCTTGACAGCTCTCGGGTCCTCGTACCCCTCCAGCGCGCCCGGCTGCTGGTAATTGCCCCAGTCCTGCTTCCCGCTGATGAACACGCACGGGACCTCGATCCTGCGCCCCGAGAAGAGAAATATGTCCCGCGCCGATTGCTTCGTCGACGCCGTCTGCGCCCGGTACCAGTTCAGCGCGCCCTGGAAACCCGTCCGCGCCCACTCGCGGCAATACACCTGCAGGTCGTCCCGCGGGAGCCACCGCTCCGTCTTGGAGAAGTCCTCCCCCGCCATGTTGGATGCTACCGTCTCCGGCATCGAGTGCTCGGCCCGCATGATATAATACTCGGGCATCGGGGCTAGTTCCTCGGCGCCCCACTTCGTCAGGGGCCGCGGCTTGTTCGCGCCCCAGTCCGCCGACTTCAGGTGGAAGTATCCCCTGAGGAACGCCTCGAGGCCCTGGGCCGGGTTCTCCCAGTCTCGGGCGGCTTGCGGGCTCGAGTTGTACCACTTGTAGTGCTTCCGAGGCGGATCCAGCTTTGCCAACTCGGCTTGGATGTCTATCTTCTTTGCTTGCCCCTTTTCCTCGGGAGGAGCTATTATGGGCTCCGCCGGCCGGTGGTGCGGATGGCTCATTTGCACGGTTGACAGGAAGATATCGGGGCGCATGAGCGCGGCCATGGCGGAACTCACGGCGCCGAAGTCGTGGCCGATGATGCTATGTACCGTTTTGTATCCTAGACCGTATACCAGACATATGAGATCACGCACTAGGTTCGTGAAGACGAAGTCGTTGAGGTCCACTTCCTCGAACGGCTGTCGCCGCGGCCACCCTTTGGTGCGTCCATAGCCGCGCTGGTCCATCGCGACGCAGTAGTATCCTGCTTTGGCGATTTCCGGCAGTACTTTGCGCCACGAGTACGCAAGCTCGGGATACCCGTGGCAGAAGAGCACGAGGGGCTTCCCCGGCTCACCGGCCTTTAAAACGTGCCATGTAAGACCGCACGATGTGGAGCAGTCGATATAATCGGAGACGACACCTTCCGGTAGAGGTAAGTCTGGCAGGGTCTCGTTTGACTGGTCTCTAGTAGTACTCATACCGGCTCTAGGTAGTGTGTTTATATGATCACAATTTGTATGTTGGGTACCTAATAAGTTACCTATATTATGCGCTAACTTGATCTAATGGGCTTTAAAATAGTCTTTTTAAAATCGACTGATAGGTATAAGTAATACCGTCTACAAAGTTAAAAGAATTCGAGAGTTGTTACCCCGCAGATGTCTTTTTCGGATATTGGTTACGACCAACAGTCAAGTTACGTCAGCACGTGGCGTCGTGCTTATATCTATTTGAGTTGCAAGTTAGGTGGTTAGTTAAGGTTACTTGGTTTTTATCAAGACACGAGAAGAAATGGAGCAATTCGGCTTTTTTAAGGGGTAATTTAATTATGTCATTTTCGTCATGATTCTGTACTTTCAAGTCTTGGACAATGGATAACAGAGTCATCGTGATGGAAGCTGTTCTAATAAGTGAGAAAATACTTGAGTCATGTTGGAACTTAGGTCGTCGTTAGTCAATATTTCCTATTGTATATAAATAGGGGGCGAAGGGGGGTTTACGGAGGTCTTGGCTTTCAGCTCCTCCAACATATATATTATCAACAAATTAACCTAACATATTATATAAACCATGCCGCTAGCCCGTCATGTAAGTAGATATAAATTCTTATACTTTAATTAAGTACCTATCATTGTCCTCCTATTAACCATTTTCCAGATCGACCCAGACGACCTCATCGCGCGTCTTCACGATGCCCACCTTACAGAGAACGGCCGACGGATACGTCAGAAGATGGTCACTTCGCATCTCACACCTTATGGAACTAAGTATGCGAGCGAGGCGGAGGCACCCAAATATCAAATTCCTAAAGAGGGAACACCTTCGGACACCGTATATCAGCTGATCCACGATGAGCTGGACTTGGACGGCAAGCCGAATCTAAACCTCGCTAGGTAAGTAAGGTCATTGATTATTCGCTTTAACTCGGGGTCATAGAAAAATATTAACGGAATGGCAGTTTTGTTCAAACTTACATGGAACCAAATGCTACCCAGCTGATGACGGAGAACCTGTCTAAAAATCTAGCAGACAACGACGAATACCCGGCAATGATATCTCTCCACGAGCGCTGCGTTAGCATTCTCGCTCACCTATGGGGAGCAAAGAAGGGCGAAAAATCCGTCGGCACGGCGACCACCGGCTCTTCAGAGGCAATTCATCTCGGAGGCTTGGCGATGAAGCGTCGCTGGCAGGAACGCCGCATGGCAAAAGGTTTGGATACTTGTCACCCAAATATAATCATGGGCGCAAATGCGCAGGTCGCCCTGGAGAAATTCGCGCGCTACTTTGACGTCGAGGCGCGCATTCTTCCCGTCTCCAAGGAGAGTAATTATAGACTAGACCCGAACCAGGTCCGGAAGAGCATCGACGAGAATACCATCGGCGTATTCGTCATTATGGGAAGCACGTATACCGGCCACTACGAGCCTGTGGAGGAGATCTCCAAAATCCTCGACGAGTACGAGGAGAAGACGGGACATGACATCCCGATTCACGTCGACGCAGCATCCGGCGGCTTCGTTGCGCCGTTCACTCATGCGCAAGCCGGCGGGCCGAAATGGTAAGCGAAAATACACCTTGATAAAAACACCCCGCTAAACACCCGCCCCAAGGAACTTCGACCTCCCCCGAGTCAAGTCCATCAACGCGTCGGGCCACAAGTACGGACTGGTCTACGTCGGCATCGGCTGGGTCGTCTGGCGGGACGAGTCGTACCTACCGCAGTACCTGGTTTTCGAGCTGCACTACCTCGGCGGCACCGAGAAGTCCTTCACGCTCAACTTCTCGCGGCCCGGCGCCCAGGTCGCCGTCCAGTACTACAACCTCATCCACCTCGGCCTCGAGGGGTACCGCGAGATCGTGGAGAACTGCCTGCGCAACGCGCGCCTGCTGTCCAAGAGCCTCGAGGCGACGGGGTGGTACACGTGCGCGTCCGACATCCACCGGCGGCCGTCGGCGGGCGTGGTGGCGGGCGCCAAGAAGGCGGTGCTGGGCGGGGAGGGCGAGACCTCGGCGGACTACGCGGCGGGGCTGCCGGTGGTCGCGTTCCGGCTCACGGACGAGTTCCGGCGGGAGTTCCCGCACGTGCGGCAGGAGTGGGTGTCGGTGCTGATGCGGGCGCGGCAGTGGATCATCCCCAACTACGCGCTGCCGCCGGCCGAGGACGCCACCGAGATCCTGCGCGTCGTCATCCGCGAGTCCATGAGCCTCGACCTGCTGGACCGCCTCATCGCCGACCTGGTGTCCGTGACGCAGACGCTGATCGACAACGACGAGGTCGACTTGTCCATCGTTCAGAAGCAGAAGCCTGTCGGGGACAGCCGGCCGCGGACGGAGGAGGAGGAGGTGGGGCCGAAGAAGGGAGGAGAGAGTGGGTCGAAAGAGTCGGCCCAGGCGCCGAGATTGGCGGAAGGTATCCACAGGAGCGTGTGTTGATATCGCCATTCTCTCTGCACGGCGATGGTCAGATCTTTCTGCGAGGGGAAAGATAGCCCCGTTGTTACCCAGACATAAGTCTGTGATAGGATCTAGGCCTCTTATCACGACTATCGCCCTTGAATTGTTTAGCCCCAGGGCTCCACCAATAGGATTTTTCAACTTGGTAATGGTAATTAATATAGGGGTTTGTAGGAATAAAAAAAGGGGTTGCGTACCAGGGATGCTGCGTGCGATACGACCGGTCACCGAGGAGTTGTTGTACGATATTAAATGCCAAGCCCGGAGATTGATGATATGATATGCTTGTCTGTATCTTCTTGTCTACCTGTAGTTAATTTGTTTTCTGATGGAATTGGTTGTGTTAATTGCCTAAAGCCAAATTGTGACGATCATCAAACGTCACGGTTAGGTACCCCCTATTTGATGGGTTGGTGGTATACCGGCTATGAAGGTATTTCGAAGATTCTTAGTCGCCGATGGATCGTTTCGTTAGATACGAATATTATCAATACATTAATGATAACCACTCCGAGGTATTACTACTATTTGCTTTATGTGATTCTCGCCCAGCAACGGCTACTTCTATTTCTACCTGTAACTAACTAGATGATGAATGAATGAGGCTATGCGGAATAGCCTTTCCGAAAGAATACGCCTTGATGCACAACGTATCCCTACCAAAACTTAATGAACAAGCAATACCGAAAAGCTTCGCCATTATCTGCAAGACTGACAGCGACTAGCGTCGTATTTGCGACCTTGAACATCTAAATCAGCATGGCGGACGCCGCATCCAGGCTCCCCGGTTAAACTCAATCTACCCCCCATCACTGTCCTGATTGGAAAGAGATGGATGGGTAAGGTCGCTCGAACACGCTTCGTTCTAGACTAAACTTGTAAACATGAGAGATGCTGGGTGGGATAATATAATATAGCATCTAGACATGACGTGCATAGCCTTCATATCGTTACCCGCGCAGAAATTTAATCTAGCCGTCGATCTTCATTTATATATGCACCTCGTTTTTTATAGTGACGTGATTATGGTTTACCTATATCCTACTGTAGTGAATTACACTTTCCCGCTGGCTGAACTATATATGTCTCGGGTATATAAGGTTAGGTAGGCAGCTGTGTGCGTTCGTGGACAGGAGACAAGCTCGAAGTAAGGGTATACTATAGTATATAAATAATATAATAAGCGAGGGACAACCCCAAGGAGCCGCACTGCACGCTACCTAGTATCAAGAACTCCTTGAAAGCGTCTCGCACCTATCACAGCATTACATCAATCTACTTTTAAGAGTTACCTTAGGTACATATAGCACCCAAGATGAAGGTACATGAATCTAACCCCCTCCCCGACCTATTTCCGTAGCTATTATATCCTCCAAAATCTAACAAAAACCCACAGTGCACACTAACCTCCCTCCTCCCACTCCTCCTCTCCGTCTCGGTTCCCGTCTCCGCCGCCAGATACCCCCTAACAAAGCGCATGACCTGCAGCGGGGGCCTCGATTATCCGTGTCAGGACTTGTACGTAATTTTCGTTGCCTAGCATCTCACTTAACTTATCTCTACACCCTTCTTTCCCCAACCTTCTACATCCACGTCGTAATTAACTCTTCATATACCTATTTCGTGACGGACTACTACTTACCTATAGCTAACTTTCTCCATAAAAGATGCATATGCGCCTACGGTGAGGTGGCTTGTCACTACGACCCGACGTCGCGGTGCATCTATATGTGCACGTGCGCCTAAGGTGCCTTAACATAGGGCAATGGCCTTGTGAAAATTCTCGGTTGGTGGTAGGTTTGGGCGCGTGTTTTCGAATGAAGATTCTTGATTGCTTATTCCAAAGCGACTTTGTTTTTCTTTTCTTTTTTTTAAAAAAAAGGGGGGGAGTGGGGCGACAGTGAACAAGAAGGATACTGGGACCCATTCGAATGAGCATATTCATGTTCAAAAGCAAAAAAAAGAGAAAAAAAAAAAAAGAGAAAAAAAAAAAAAGAGTCGGGTTTACCCAAACGTGTCCGATAAATTGTGTTGTTAAAAGGGATGCTAAAAAGTTTTGAAACTACCACCTGATTTACCTCGTCATCACTCGACAAGACGGTCTTCCATTTGAATCTAATATTGGGAGTCTTTCAGGGAAGGGGAAGAATGTAATCAACTTCTGAGTTTGGCATTCGAAAGTATTGTCATATAAAGCACGTGGTTGGTAGGAGTTTAACTCAAAGCTATAATCCCGAGTCTCTTAAGCGAGCATCATAACCCCTTACAAACCACACATTACAAAAAATCCTTTAGCTTGCATAATTACCCCTTTATCCCTTGACCCCCTTCTTCGTATAAGACGGGTTGTAAAATCGTCTATTTACTTGTACACTATATCTATACAAACACGCAAGTATAAAATTATCGTCTACTGCTGCTCGGCCCCGGCTTTCTCAACGAGGCCGTACTCCCCCAGTTGCCCGCCGACTTCCTTAGTTTATTCCCGAGGCTGATCCTGGCAGCGGACATCGGGTTCTGATGCAGTGGCTGTATCTGGTCTAGGGGCTTTCCCTGTCCGTCCGCAAGGGGTATCTGCGCGCCGCTGGCAATCTTCTCCCAGTCGTGCCTATCAATTGAGCCGCGCTTGTAAATGTTACGCCCATTGTCCGTGTCAAAATCCGACTGCTTTTGCATTTTTGATCGTTCTACGAATCCCATAATCGAGGCCCACGTTTCTACTTGGCCGTGACTGGCTTCCTCGATACAATTGCACTCGTCGCCAGCAGGGCACTCAGTCTCCCCAGCGTCGTGCCATTGTTCTATACAGGCCTCATGGCTAGCACAACCGCACGACAAGCAAGGGGGGTAGAGAGCGTCGATAGGCTCGTTGCAAAATACGCAGAGCAATTGCATCTGCGTGCGTTTACAACGATCGCAAGTACCAACTGCGCCTCCAAGCGTTGCGCCAGCATGTGTAGATCGAATAGGGTCTAGATGGGTCTCATGTATGCGGCAAATGCCGGTTACATCGATACCCTTATCTGATGTGATCAGCGTTTGCAGCAACTCCTTCTTGCCCAGCACGATAGGTGAGTTGGCACCGTGATGTGAACGGGAGCTGTGGCTCGTATTCTCTACGTTGTGATACTCATGGAAGCTCGCAGCCCCCGAGCTTGCAAAGCTTGTAGCTCGAGGCCCCGAGGGATCATCCTTAAGCACATTGAATTTCAAGATTTCTAATCGAGCCAATGGCTGGTTCCACATTTGTAGCATTTCTGCGTATGCATGGCGGTAGCTCGCATATATAGCATGACGGGAAGGCTCGAGGAAAGGAACGCCAAGCCAGCCGTCATCATCGAATATGGACTGGTCTTCTATTTCCGTGGATATACCATAGCATAAAAGAGGCAGCGTATCGTCACTTCGCACGTCATCATCAGAATAAGAATTACGTGCGGTACCCGACGGTTCGGACGCAGGGCCTAAAACTGTTGAACTCCCCCAGGTGATATTAGTCGGGGCAAGGTTAGACAGGAATGTTTCTCCAGGACTAGGTCGTTTCCGACTAGGCGGAGATGTAGACGCAACGCTTGCAAAAGCTCTAGGGAAACTAGCCAAGCCCGCGGTCAAGGCGGTGTTGGCACGGCTTAGTAGTCTATTATCTGGCGATGCGGCTAAGCTCTGTGTTGGATCACCGTTTGGCTCATGAGGTGTCAACGCCGGGGGCGTTTCCCCACAGGAATAAGAATTGGATTTCGGGTCGCCACCCCATGTTACTTCCTCCGAGCCGTACGAGCCGGTAAGATTAACAGGTGTGTGTAGGGTTTTGGGGGTAGAAATTGCTGAGTTAGCTTGGCTTTTGTGACTATAGGTACTGGCGTGCCAAAGTGATGCGTCTGTGGGGAAATAATCCAACGAGAATGATGGTGCTTTCATAGGAAGAGGCGTTTCCGGTTGAGTGAGATGTGATTCCGCGTAGGCAACGCTATCTTCGGCGGACGACTCGCTAAATATGCACGAGAGCATGGCAAGCATTTGCACGTCGGCCATCTTATCGAAATAATAGAAAAGGTCATCGATTAAACTTCTCGCGAGAGGATGATGCCCCCATTTGACCCTGCCAGTCAGCGCTGCAGTGTGAGAACGCAGAGACGACGAACTATTATCGCCAAAACGGGCAACAGCATCTTTTGCAATGACTAGTATTGATTCCCTGCCTTGACCATCGCCTAAAAGTTCGAGAGGGATATCTTTTCGAAGCAATAATGCTGCATAATTCCAAACGTCGACAAGATCAGATCGCCCATATTTCTCTGCTACAGCTGCATTATGAGCGCACACATCTGATCCATCCCCAAATATGCAATACTCTTGAGCGAACTCTTGCATAGAAGGAAGCTCATTAGCGACATTATAGATCGATATAATGTTCTTAGGCTTGCTCGGACGGCGTTTACTAGTACCAGTACCGGTGCCCGTGCCAATGCCAGTTCCACCGCCGCTTGAGTGCATAGAGTAGCTACCGCTGAACGTCTTTCTGAAACGCCGACCCGGTAGATACCACATGTTAATCTTATGCATATACGTAGTTTCCGAGTCGCTAGAGCTGGACGATTCCTCTGCGTCTTCCGAATCGGATTGATCTTCCGTTGTTGAGATATCGTCGTTATTGTACCTGCTTCTCGGAGCAGACGATTCTTGCTGAAGTCTACCAAAGCCCGCAAAGCTAGGCTCGCCTTTAGGGCGCTCCCTGTAAGAGTCCGACGTAGGGAAAAAGGAAATCTTGGCCTTTTCCTCCTTGGTAGGAAAAAAACAGACCAACCTCCCATCATTCGAGAAGCGACAGCCACACAAGCGTGGCATCGGTGGTATAGTAGGTCTATTAGTCGGAGCAAGAGTGGCATCTAGCTCAGTACTCGCAGTCAGCTCCTGAGACATAGCTGCGGAACCGCCCGTAGAAATATAATTATCCTCCTCTTCGCTAGAACTCTCATCAGCGAGTCCGCCTATATCATCATCTAGATCTTTAACATTCTTAAAGAGTGAATCGCTATTAGATAGATCAACTTCTCCAAGAAGAAAACTAAAGGCCACTTCTAAGCAGTTTTGCCGTTTCTTTGAGAATTGGCTTGCTAGCTGGTGTATTTCCTGTTCGAGTTTCTTATGCGTCTCGTCCGACATTAAGGCTGTCTTCTCAACCATGAATTTCGGCGCCCTTGATTTCGGATAGTTTTTAGGGATATCTACTCTGACTTTGATAAAAATAGTATCCCCATCTGTGCCCCAGGGACCTTTCAGGGAAGCTCTGAGGCTAAGAGAATCCATATCTACGCTGTCCCACGTGACATTTGGCATCTGCTGATTGACACGGACGATCTCTTCCTGCAGCGTTTCAGGCTCGGCCCAGTGTTCGTCGTGAAAGTTGTGCCCGAAGATGCCAGAGTCTCTGGATTCTTTTCTCTGTGACGATCTAATGAGCCCCGATTTCTTGCTCATAGTGATACCTTTCATCCAACCAAGCTGGTCTAGGCTCCTATCAATTACTTTCCCTGCAACAGTTTTTGCTTTCATTGACGGACCTTTCCAACTCGGCATGGTGGCGGCTGCACGAGGATAGTTTGAAGACATTGTTTGCATCCCCATAGTAAGAGCGCTACGGCGAAATGGACTCCCGCCACTTCCGGGACGAGGATCGCTCATAGTGGTTGTTCTCTTCTCTCTATTAGCGTGATCGTCAACGGACCTATATGTCTTATATGCTGCTCCTTTTCTTGTGATGTTAATATTTCGAGCCATGCAGCCTTTTACGTGACCAACGGACTCTAAAGTCGGCTGGTCGACTTTATGAAGGCGCAGTTCGTTATCTTCACCCCATGATACGAGCTGAAATTCTCGATTGTCTATCCCGTCATCTGAGATAGACCCCCGGGCCCTCCACAAGAACTCCTTTACCTTATTGTTTCCATGTCCGGGGAAAATATTGCATGGATCAATGGCACCATCTAAAGCCTCCCCCTCATTAAGTCGAGTATCGTACAAATAAAGGTTTCCGGGGTCGTTTTGAGGCATAGCTAATAAACCATAACCGAAAGGAGTATGACGTGCACGCCATACAGGAAAGTCCGTCCGAATAATCCTCTGCGGCTCTTCGGATACGCTGTAGTCCCAGAACTTGATGCTCTTGTCCAAAGAGCAAGTAACAAGGCTGGTGGCCTTGCTACGATTCCAGTCAAGGCCGTAGATTTTAGAGGTGTGTGCACTGATAGATTTGAGGGGAGTGGATGGCTTCCTCTCGTCCCAAATATGCAGCCACCTGTCATGAGAGGATGCGAGGACGTTTGGGTCTTGTCGATTATATTTAACTTGGGTAGCGCCAGCGAACCAGTCGCAGAAAGTTAAGACGGGTTGCTTAGGTTTCCGCAAGTCCCAACAATGTACATAGCCGTCGACCGCACAGGTGGCAAGCATGTCAGGGTGATGAGCCGAGAAGTTGATATCTGTGATGGCCCTACTATGGCCCTGAAGAGAGTGCTCGATAGCTCCGGTCGTAGAGTCTTCTCTCAGATTCAAGTTCCAAACTAGACATCGGTGATTGGCTGTCGAGGCAACCCAGTAATCTCGGGCCGCAAAAGGCGACCACTGCACGTCTACCACCAACCACGGGTGTCCATGGCTACTTAGGCGGCGGGGTGGATTATAAGGAGCATCAAGATCAATGATGGCTAAACCTTCGGGGCTTTATATATCATAAGCACGTATAACATATGAGGTAGCTATGTACGATATTAAAACTTACGAGGCAAGGGCGACGTCGCGACCACATGGCGATATAGTGGCTGATCCAACTAGTCCATCGACGTGAATTGTCACGTTGGCATCGAAGGTCTCACTGTCGTAGGCAGACTTGGGAGCATTCTCTTTGGACGTGTCCAAGGCGCGGTCAAAATTGGAAGGCATTGCTGGTTAATATTTAATTGATGGAGGCACGTAGGCCCGTTGACGAAACATCGGACTCTCGATGAATTTCGCATGACGCCACAGCTCATCCTTCATTTATCTGCATAGGTACGCTCTCTCAACCTAGCACTTCTCCTTTTAACTCTTCATCAGGTTTATTAGATACAACGCACGCGTTTTTAGGCAGTAAACAAAATTAGATTAATACGAGGCATGATCCAGGCCGTCAAAGGTTGATGAAAATATGAATATGATATCTTGTTGATATCTTGATGATAGGTATCTTATATGTGAAAGAAGTATGAGACAAGATTGAACCCTGATGGTTGTCAGCCGCGCAGGACGTCTTGATTCGCGATTCGTTATCGATAGAGCCGCCTTGAGTTTATGTAATAGCCAGCCTGGATTAAGTACCTAAGCTGGTAAGGTGTACCTACCAATCCATATTTACTAGAGCCTAGTAGTGCGTTAGTGTGTCACTTGCCAAGCTGCCCCTCATCCATAACCTGATTCCTTATTACCACTTTACCACCCAACAACACCCTTCAGTAGAAATGGAATATGTTAGACAGACATGTATGTATACTACCTCTCTACCTACCTGTATTATAAGACCAGCCTACATATGTATCTTTGCCTAAGGTAACTGAAAGTCAGATGTAAGTCTGCCTCCAGGAACAAATGGTATGAGAGAAGTCTAATAATAAATAATAATGACGTTATTATTCCAAGATACCTCTTATGGGTACCCACCTCTAGGCCATTTGGTGGTTACCTTTAGGTACTGGCTGTAACCACCTAACGATTACCTAAGCTAACATATTTCGGTGAGGAGCTATTGTACTGTACAATACCTTATGTACTTGGTAGGTACCATGCTTAGGTACTAAATGACGGGACTACCTCAAAGAGGGGCACAAATACAAAGTTACAAACGCCATCAATGCCGGCCGCCGCCGGACCTTATCGCAAGGACATCCCGCTTGACTTGATTTTAGTCTTTAATCCTTAGCCGTTGTAGCCCAGTCCTTTTTTTGTCTGCGCCCTCAGTTCTTTTTTTTTTTACTTTTGAAATATCCGTCGTCTAGCACTAACTACCTTACCTAACAACAGGTACCTAACACCTAACTAGGTTAGTTAGGTAAAGTACTTCTGCTTCTTCTTCTTTCTCACCTGCCGTCACAAAAGATAAACCGAAGTCGTGCAGGTCGTGGCGCTCTTAAGCTTTCCCTTCTCCTAGCCTCGCTAGCACTCACCCGGACTTTTCGTCCCTCTTCATTTTCAAACACCTAAGGGCTGTTGGGGCGAAATTTATTCTCATACCGAACCAAATACTTGAAACGCCATTCTTTACATCAAATAGAATATCCAACAGGATGGCGTTGCCTAAGCGAATCGTTAAGGAAACGGAACGTTTGATGACCGAACCGTAAGATAAAGATTTCTCGGGATGCGTGCCGAGCCGTTTGTTGGGGACCTAGTGCCTAACCGAGCGTTCACAGTGTTCCTGGTATTAGCGCCGTTCCCCACGAGGATAACCTCAGATATTTCGACGTTGAGATCTTCGGTCCCTCCGGATCGCCATACGAAGGTTCGTGCACTTCCCCTTGCCTGCCCCATGCAACCAACGGACCTGTTTGCTAACCGCGGACTAATAAACTCTAGGAGGCATTTTCAAGCTTGAGCTGTTCCTGACGGATGACTACCCGATGGTTCCACCTAAGATCCGCTTCTTGACCAAGATCTATCATCCGAACGTCGACAAGCTCGGACGTATCTGTCTAGACGTGCTGAAGAGTCAGACTCCCCATTTTCTACTTCCACGCCCGCGCCCACGCCCACGCCCACTCCTACTCTCTTAGCTCTTATGTAAACTTTACATTAGGTATTTATATTAACATTTCCTCCCGCAGATAACTGGTCTCCCGCACTCCAGATCCGAACCATCCTCCTCTCAATCCAGGCTCTCCTCGGTGCCCCGAACCCCGATGACCCTCTAGCCGCCGACGTTGCCAAGAGCTGGAAGGAGGACGAGAACAAGGCCATCGCAACAGCCAAGGAGTGGACCAAGACATACGCCACCCCCCAGCCGAAATAGAAGCGCAGGCTGAGTGAGGCGGCCCGAAGTATCCGCGCACGCCTTAGGAGTATTCATATTCCAGAACGCATCAAGCCTCGGAATGTCCTTAAGAGGATTGAAGTCCATATAAACGAGTTGTTGCCTTCGCCATCAGACGTCTTCATAGCCTATTACCAGGCGATTTAACTAGTAAATGTTAGATAGGAAGGATCAGCGAAACCGTAAAAAAAAAGGGAGGGGGAGGGGGGGAGCGAGTCCTACCTAAAGTGGTCAGCCAGTTAGTCTAGTCGAGATTCTTCTTACTCCGGCATCCGATGAATTACCACCTCCGTTTTTATACTTTGAGTTTTCATTACCTACCATGGAACTGCACTGGCGTTTAGGGAGTTGACACAGAGACGAAGGTGGACGGCGGAGGACTGTAAACTTGCATCTAGCAATAGCGCAATTAAGAGAAAAAAAGGAAAAAAAAATACTGAAAAAACGCAGTTATGGTTGCCACTAGTAAAAGCCATCGTGATAGATATTTTAAGCATTTTTACTTATTAATTCGAGCTAGTGAACTTTATACTGGATGATGTTTATAACATCATAGCAGGCCGATCTTTAAGACCAATTAGAAGGTTCTTAGTCGTCCCGAATACAATACAATACAAGCCCGGGCTCTCGCCATCACGTATCCTGGAACACAAAAACCCCCTTCCCAGGCCTAAACCCCTCCAGCGTGCCCTGCACCGCGTCCCTCAGCGTCTGGACGTCCGTCTCCCAGCGCCAGGGCACCTCGACGACCGGGGTGTCGCGGAACTTCCCCTGGCGCACGAGGTCCAGGATCTCGGCCACCGTGCGCGCCCGGGACACCGGGTCCCCGTCCGCCCACCGGCTCAGCCAGAACCCGACGAACCGCACGTCCTTGAAGATGAGCAGCCCCGTCGGCAGCACCACCGGCTGCCGCGCCATGCCCCCGTACGTCACCATCGTGCCCCCGTTCCCCAGCGCCTTCGCCATCGCCGACGCGCTCTTGCCCCCCACGCAGTTGAGCCCCAGGCGCACGCCCTCCCGCGCCCCGCGCGTCCACTCCGCCAGCTGCTCCCGGAACTCGCGCGCCTGGAACTCGTCCTCGGTCACCACGTGCGTGGCGCCCAGCGCCGTCAGCTCGTCCTTCAGGCGCTGCGTGGCCTCGGGGGTCTCGCGCGCGCGCACGACGTTGACGCTGCGGTACCCCCACAGGCGGCCGAACTGGATGGCGGCGCGGCCGACGCCGCTGTTGGCGCCGTTCTGGATGAACCAGTCGCCCTCGCGCAGGGGGCCGGGGGCCGAGGCGACGAAGTCGCGCAGCATGCGGTAGGCGGAGCACGGGTTGACGGCGACGGTGGCGACCTGCAGGGGGTTGAGGCCGGCCTTGTTGTCGATCCGGATGAGGGCGTCGGCGGGCGCGAGGGCGTGCGTGCGCCAGGTGCCGAACTGGGTCTTCTTGGGGATGGCCCAGTCGCCGCGCTGGAAGTCCGGGGAGGACGAGGAGACGACTTCGAAGGCGCCTTCGTTGCCGGGGATGGCGGAGGGCTCGGGGGTGCCGAGGACCGTGCTGAAGGTCGGCTTGGCGCCGTAGGTGCCCTGGATGATGTTCACGTCGGCGGGGTTGATGGGCGCGGCGAGGGAGCGCAGGAGCACGGAGGAGGCGGGTAGGGTTGGGGAGATGGAGTGCATGTGTAGTCTAACAAATTGGAAGAAATTCTTGTTAGCATGTGAAATGTTTTTTACTTGATTTCATTTCGTTTATCGCCAATTGCTGGGGAAGAAGGAGAAGAAAGAGAAGAAGAATAACTCACTTCAAGACGTCCTTCGGTTCGCCATGTTCGCTAAATACCAGCGACTTCGCTTGAGTATATCCGTACGGACCAGATTTATATCGAACTTGTCCTGGCGACGCTGGTGATAAAAATGTCGCATTGAGTCTGCATTGGCCTGGTCGAATTGAGCTCCTAGCTAAAGAACTAGCCAGTCCTTGCGCTCTAAGCGGTCGGATGCTAGCCATATTGCCCAGTAGGTGTTGTGAGTTGAATGGTGGGACAAATGTCAACGTCCCTCCCTCAACTTTCGGATGGAGCTACCTTACTGATAACAAAAAATTCGGAGCTCTGGAAGCTGAACTCGGCAATGACGTTATATCTTATGATAGCATTGCCGAAACACGATACTATTGGCCCAAGCTAGAGCTATACACTAGGGCTTACCTAAAACATGCTCCCCTTCTTTTTGACGTCTCATTTACATATATGCATGCATGTATCTCATACCTGTACGTATAGGCACTTGTACATGCCTACATACCTAGGCACATCTCATAGGATGTACATATAAGTAATACCTGTATCTCTCTAGTTAAACTATGAGGTTATACACTAATCTTTTCATTAACGTTACTTAAGAATAAATAACAATCATCACATATTTTCAATTTGAAAGTAGGGGCACAAGGTTCGAATTTGCGTAGCGGTCTTCAGATTTCGACGCCCTGAAAAGATGGGAATTAAGTAAATAACCCACATGATGAGGGAGGTAAAAAAAAAAAAATAATGTCGAAATTCGATGCCTTCGCGCCAGAGATGCACTATTTCACAAGAAAATGGTGTGATATCCTCTCCAACAAAAAGGCAAATATGTACTCTCTCCCGCTATCGTGACACGTAAGCACATAGCCGTAAATATTGACCATAAAAACCAGAAACTCGCTCCGTAACATCCCTGCCGCCTTCTACCAATTCTCTGGGATGTTCTCGATCCTCCGCCGTCCTTCCACAAACTACTACTCTCCACGTCCATCAAGTATTGAATGCTGATAGTCCTTTTTGAACGGGAAAATAGTAGGACAAGAAGGCACGCCTAAAGAAATTGACGAGAGAAGGGGAGAGTGAGTGGTGGGGTGTGAGTAATACGATAGACACAACAGTCCTTTTTTTTCGAATACTCTTGCGGTAACGCACTTATATGACACGTGCAAGAGGGTTGTGAGGAGAATAATAGGAACGCTGAGGGAAAACAATGAAATAACGGAGAGATAATTGACGAGGTATGTCGATGAATGAGCTCGCGCGGGAGCTGGGTATCTAATATTCCACCCCCCAGACAGCTTTTTCTCAAAAGCAAACGCCTCTTCCACTCGCCTCGAAAAAAAAAATCGGCATACCAAATGTCCCAAAAAAAAATTACTTTGCCGGAAGATAATAACGGCTATTTTGAGCTTAATATCCAAGGCTCATTGAATGCCAACGCATACAACTAAAAACATGGCCATAGATGGGGTATCATGTGTTTGTGAAACAATTCCCTATTTGATTTCCTTAAACAGGTCATCGCCGAGATGAGTATCGACTTTCGTCTTAAGAGCGCTCAACTCCGGAATCATCGGCGGAGGGGGACCAGCTGGCTTCTTAGGTTCCTCGATCTGGTGGTGGATCTGGTGGTGGTCGAATACTTGGCTAGCTCTCTTAGAAGAAGTATCGTGCGACCGTAACTTTTTGAACCAACCGCTGGCGCGTTTCGACTTCTTCTCTTCCGTAATCGTACTTGCTGTCCGGCTCGGGGGTCTTGAAGAAGCGGTTGGGCTAAGTAATGATCCTTGTTCATCGTAAGCATTGTTCAGTAAATTTCTGCTAAGCAAACGTCTGAGGCTGCCACGATTTGACGACGCGTGTGATGCGGGTGACGCGGGGCCGTCTTCACCAGGGCGCTTTACGCTGATATTGGCCGGGACAGTGTTAAGTTCGGGCTTGCTAGGGGATGTACCATGACCATTAACAACACCATTTGTTTCCTTCCTCTCAACCTCTTCCGGGAGCGGTGTCTTCGGCGGCGACGGAACTTCTTCCTTAGGAGTCTCTTTCTTCGGAACTGCCTCCTTGGGAACCTCTTCCTTGGGAATTTCTTTGTGAAGTTCTTCCTTAAGTGACGGAGGCGATGGGGGTGGGGGTGGAATATCAGTTCCGTCGGTTAGGGAGCCAAAGTGGAAGTCAAGAGCAGGAAGCTCGAAACGCTTGGCAGACGATGTTGCCGCGGCGCCATTATTTGTAGCGGACATGATTAGAACTTGGGGAATGCGCTGAGCTGACAAAGTACGTCAGGTACGGAGTCGAATGTTATTCGATGTCGGCCGTGCAGTAATCTAGATGTTTTATATTAGGATAAAAAACAAAACTACCAAAGGAAAACCTAGCACGAGAGCTGGGCAGGAGAGTGGGAAGAAAATACTAGTACGAACCGTGAACGCACGGGGCTCGAGAAGAAAGTGGCCCCCAGAGATCCCGACCGATTTGGAGATGATCGCAAGTTTTCAATGACAAAAATGCACAAGATTTTGGGTATTAACTATGCGTTTTCAGCGAGGGGGAAGAATCAAGAGCATCCCGACGCAACGCGATTTGTATTATCCAAAAAATTGATCACTAAGTCAAAGGCAATTGAAAGAGTGGTAAGAGGTCCAAAGCAGTAAGTGCGAGAAACAGAACCAGTGCCGCCAATCAGTGGCGCGGTGGGTTCTGTTTTCTGAGTGGAGAGACAGAAAGAGAGAGGCCAGGCTAGACCTAAGAAATGCTGGGATCAAGGGTTGGTCGAACGAAGTTGTGGCTGGGATACTTTAGTGTACGTAGGTAGCAGTAGTAGTTGTTGTTGTATTTATTAGTATTTTAGTTGCTCTTTTAAAATGAATTGGATTTGTTTCGAGGCCGTGCGCGAAGACCTTGAGGCTTGGGTTCGGGTTTAGGTTATGGGATAACTATTGGGAATGCGACTTTACGACTTTACGTCGATTAGGTAGCTCGGTATAGATTTTATAATACAGCTTAGCCCTTCCAAGAAAAACGAGGCACAATATCTTTAAATATGCGATTCGAGGGAGCGGAAGCTCAAGAACAAATATATGATTCTCAATGGTTGATCAGCATTGAACGTGATGTTGAAAAGTGGAAAGGTGGAAAGGTGGAAAGGTCCCTGGATTTCTACAATGGCTTGCACTTTGGCACTACCCAGGTACTATCCTAGGTACTACCTATGTAGATGTGGATTTTAGACTAAGAGCTAGGTCGAAACTAGTACCTCCAGGAAAGATTTACCATCCAAGCCTGCTACCTTAGGTGGAGAACACCTCCAATAAGGAAAAGCCTTGTTGGCCGATTTTGGAAATGGACTTACACGACCCCATTTGAGTTCTTGGTGGTACTATGTACGAGATACCGAGATACATACATTTAATAGGGTAAACTCACCATATTTTCCGCTGCTCATGATATAAAATCAGACCATTGTATATAGTAAGCATCCTATTAAACATCAATTTATTTGGGAGTATTAACCAACCTTCCTAGTAACCAATCTCAAGCTTAGTTCACTTGAAAAGATAATACGAGGTGTTTGCGTACGTAGCTGTATGAAATATCGTGATCCCAGCCCCCGCTTTATATACCGGTCTACTGCGCCTCATGTAAACATGAATAGGTACCCGCCATATGTTGTACCTAAGCCGAAGATCATGGGCGGTGGATATATCTACCTTGAGTTAGGGAGGTATGTATAAGGTACCTATTCCTGCTTCAAGGTAAGAGGGATATTAAGTCAAAAATAATATATATATCAACTTATATTCCGATAACTAGGTACCTATATAATCAATCATCCCGTTACTATAAAATACGATGTGTAGTTAGCTTGAGGAAGCCACATGTCAATGAGGTAAGGCATTCTATTGTTAGGTATCTAGACGTTGGGGATGAAAGAAGGAAAAGAAAAAAAGAAAAAAGGGGAGCGCTTACGACAGTTCCAGAGACTTGGAGAAGTGATGCCAAGACTCCACTCCGCAAGGACCGATCGTTCACTTTTATGTAGGTATTGTACAAGTCGATGTACATCCTATGACGGTGGCGGGGCCAGCGATGGCTTCTAAAAACGATGCCGATAGGCCACCCCTAGACAACCGGAAATTTTACACGTTGTGGCTGCAGCATTCCGCAGTTCCGTTTCACATAAGAGGCTTGCATATATCACGCCAGCCTCACTGTTGTTTGAATCGCGTCTTTAAACAGGGTATCTAAAAGGTACCTAAACAACCTTGTATCGGATAAGAACCGACATGCAAGTAAACACCGCGGACGCCACCTTGAGTAGGTAAACCGATACATACATATAAACCCAACAACCTTGTAAAACGTACCTATCGTATAATGCGTTACCTCTCCCCTAAACGCCTCTAAGGCCTGAATGCCTGGACCCAATCATGTAATCGATCAATAACAACAGGCATGATACCATTAAGGCTGTCCTCCAGAATTCCATCCAAGTGTCTAATTGCATCCTCTTCATTCATCTCTAGATGAAAACGCTCCTTGACCTTAAATACCGCCTTATCTGGCTCAATCTTAATATCCGGGATATTAGCATGGACCATCAGACTGAATAGGTTAAGGATTAGGTTTGACGATTTTCGCAATGCTGCGAACGCTAGAAAACAGTACTGTTTGAATTGCAAATACTGCTCGCTCGGGGGATTTGAGCCGCCCATGGCGTCGGCCATCTCTTTGCTAAGCTTGACTGCTGGCGCGAAAGGCTTGGGATCGCGGCCGAGGATAAACCCGAAGTCAGCATGGAAGAAATGTCCGTCCGGCGTTAGGAGAAGATTGTCGAGATGTCGATCGCCAACCCCAAGTATATAGGTAATTACACAGTAGCCCGCGCACGATTTCACAAACGTATCAAGGGTTTCCTTACGCACCCCCAGGTATGCTCGTTCGTCGGGATTATGCTGCTTAAGGTAGGCAAGAGCAGGGTTATTACGATATTTGTAAGACATCGCGGCAAATGTTTGGGAAGGGATAAACTGAGAAGCTCCGGCAGTCGTGCTCGTTGCAAGAATTTTGTAGGGCGTCAATTTCAGGTCCAAATTCTCCTTCTGGAGTAATTGGTCCATAAGGGTGATGATTTGAATGACAAGTTGGTCCTGACGCAGGTCGTCACCAGTCTTGAAGATGATAGGGTACTTGCTTCCCAATGTTGTCTTGAATGTAACCATAACTGGTGAAAGAGACGATTTAAAGACCCGCGTCTCTTCTGGAATGACTCCGGTAACCATGACTGATGGATCCAGGGCTAAAGGTACAGCAGGGTCAATAGACAAAAGTTCGTTTTTCGGATCTGCCAGAAAACTCTTGACTTTATCGGTCTTGCGGGCGACTGACTCGTTAGAAGCCTGTATTTCGGCCGAGATTTTAGACAATACGGTAACGAGCTCAGCTTGTCTTCTAATGGTTGCCCTCGTTTCACAACCACCTGGGCGCTTCTCAAGTTCCTTCATGAAGTCATACTGGACCTTGGCGTACATGGTACGGACTTCCTCTCCCTGTTCACTGCTCTTGTCGTCGTATTCGACCCCGAGGTACCAGTAGAAGTAGTTCCCAAGGGTGAAATTTCGGACAGCTCGCGAGATCAGAAAATCTGCCAGGGAAGATGCTTGCACGGTGGCTTCGTTGGAATCAGCTGAGATATGCTCGAACTTCAAAGCTTGGACTAGCTGTAGTAAGTAAAGGAGCAGCTCGTGGTCATCAGCCTTCCTCAATCGGTCCACAGCATACGCTCTCACGGCGTGGTTATCAAAGGTAGGACCTAGCAGCTCAAGCGCATCATCCACATCGATGTCAGTCCATTTACCGAGGACCTGGATGGCCTGCTTAGATTCGCTCTGGTCTTGCCAGTTGACGGACTTGATAAACTTCGTGAGAGCCCGTTTATCCTTAGCTAAATGATAGCGGAACTTCCAGACAAGATCCTTTTCTTCCGGAGACAGAATATGGGTAGGCGAATATAACATGATGGTATTAAGCTCATCGCGAACCTTTGCATTGGGCCTCAGATCTTTATCTAGTATCCCGTGGCGATGCTGACTCCTGACTAGACGTCGGTGCTTGCTTTCTGCCGGGTTATCCCGTGCGCCGACTTCAGGATCATATATTCTGACTATGCGACTATCCATTCTATTTCCTGCGTCACCAGGCCCATTTATACCTGGGCCATATGATACTTCTGGTGGGGGTTTTAGAATGATATTGGATTGAGAAGCTGAAAGATGCTGAAAAGACGACACAGCCGGTGGAGGGTATTCATGATCTGCGAACACCACAGGAAAGTCGAAGCGAGGTAATTCCACATTCAGCATAAATCTTGACGGCCCGGGTCTCGGCGGATCTTCAGCCGCTAAATCGGTTTTATCCTTTCCCCCATCCTTCTCTGTATTCGTGTTCTGCATCGCTTGACGTTGAAGTAATTTTATCGAGTTCTTCGCTGCTTTCAAGCCACGCTTTTCGGTTGCACGGAAGACAAGCTGGTCCAGCCATTCCACCCTAGGGATCTCGTTCATCTCGTGCTTTTTAAATAACTTCTCTAAACGGTCGAGTTCTTCGGCCTCCTTATCCACAAAAGTGGCGTCATCATTTTTGGAAGAACCTCTCTTCTTCTCTACGCTGGACGGCGTAGTGGTATTATCATTTCCATCTGCTTGTTTATGACGATGAATTATACATTTTTGCCTCCCCTTCTGAAGCTGGTTCTCTCGGTCGAAGAGTGGGAGCGTCGTTCCGCCGAAAGGAATCGCATGACCTTGAGCTTGTTTTCCGCCTGTGGGGGAGAGATCCCATAACGTTATTGCAAGGCATGAGTTAATGGGTAGAGATTTGTATGGTATCGGTAGATCAAGCCATTCGTTCCATCTAAGATGCTATTAGCCAACATACCAAGCCCCTCAAAGGTATTCACTCCATCATACCTTCTTTCATTGCGAAACGGTTTATACGACGTTTGTATCGGGACGGTCAGAGGTTTGGAGCCAGCCCATACTTGGACAGTGACGTAAAGGTCGGAATGAGGGCTACGTGAAGCTTTAAGTTAGGCTAAGCTTTTAAGAGGCAGGGATTGCTTAATCACTCGAATATAACACACCTCAAATTAGAGCCTATATGTCTAAGATCGGGCCTTTGTAACAACACCGAATATAGATGTGGTGTTTCTTCGCCCTCGAGATTAATTCTATATGGCAGGTTGTCAGTTCTCGACCGGCCCATAGCTGGCGGCAATCGGGAAACGGGCTTCTTACATGCGTATGCTGACTTGGCGGTCTAACGACTCCGAGCTTGCGAAAGAAAAGGGTTCCATTATCGAGATGCTTGTTCCATATTAGCTTGAATTTTGCGGGTGCGAAAGGGAGAATGCTCGGTAGTTATGGATAGGAAAAGGTGTAAATGGTGCAAATGATGGACGCATGTGCTCACTTAGGTAAGGTAGAGGCAGTACCTAGGTACCTACCTAGGGTAGGTAGTACATGGTAGTCCCTGCCGTCATCGTAGTAATCTTATCAGGCATTGAAGCCCAATCAATGACCCTCTCCCCACTGCCTACCCCTGCAGCTCTTGGGATCCACAGCGCTTCCAGATCCCAGGGAATCTTACCTTAATACAATACAAGACTACGCTTAGGCATGGTTTTAGGTACAATACACTGGAAGAATCAACAATTTCAACACACCTACGAAGCGGTATATTCTCTAAAACTTCAGGCATTTAATTCGATTTGCTCTAGCAAATTTTAATGTTCAGCCCTTGTCCTCTCGTACGGTTTTATTCAGCAGATTCGTACATGTACCCGGAGTTTTTACATCAGCCACTTTTATGACGAGCCACACAAAAAAAGTTGATGAATCAATTTAATCGAAAACGCGTCGAAGCCTGAAGAGCACGCGACTTGCGCGTCTCTTTATCGCAAGGGTATAATTGCACGTGGAGTTATGATACATGCTAACCAGCAATTAAAATATCTCCAATAAAACAATCATACACCTCAGACTTCAGCAATCCTAATTGTTTAATTGAGTCCATACTGGTTTAACTCCTTTGAAACGCCCAGTCAATCAGTCAATCATGTCGTCCAGAGATTCCTCTCCCGCGTCAGGATCGTCGGGCTCTTCACCGGATCCTGATAGTCGCCACAGTCCGTTAGTTATTCGAGACAAACGCAAAATGTCTGAGAGCGCTTCCAAAAGGAAGCGAGCCTTAACTAATGGCGCAGAGCATGCTAGTTCGCGGCGGCGCACACGAGAGCCGGATGGCGAGGGGGTGATAGAAGAAGAAGATTTTGATCCAGACCAATCTTTAGAAGAAAGACGCAATCTTCAACGGGGCTATCGGGATCTTCTCCGGGAGCTGCACGAGAATAATGACGAGTACATGAAGGACGAGTCAACAGGCCTACACGATACTCTACGGAAAGCAAATTTGCTACTATCAGGTGTCAAGCAAACTACAGAAGCAGCCATTGATTCCAAGCTTTTGGTTAGCACCGCGGATGCATCATACCGCAAAACGGTCCGCCTCACTGCTGGAAGCACCGCCCAAGGCATTGATGTGGATGAGTTTGTCTCAAAATGTATCACTTACATGAGACTAGGGTCCGGGATCGCGGAAGACGATGCGCCAGAACTAACTGCCACACAACAACACCGGAGAAGGCCTGGCCGGGTATCCCTAGGAGATGATGGGGAAGATGATGATAACATCGGCGATGAGGGTGATATGTTCAACTGGGAGCATCTTGGTCGGTTCGCTTGCCTTCCAAACATCAAACGCCCGGCAACACCAGGTTTCCTCCTTGGCCCCCTTTCTGCCGAGGTGAAGAAAAGAAAAGTCATCAAGCGTAGTGCTCCATTCAGACCGAACAATCTACAGGAAACGCGGCCTGAAGTTCTGGATGCAGAGGCTGTGCAAAGGTCAGAAAAGAACGATCTTACAGCTATCTGCTCCAAGATCCTTCAGAGGCTGAAGCAGGTGCAGGAAACGGCCCAAGATGCCGTAGAGGAGGCCGTCAACAACGGTGCAAGTGACGAGGATGCGCAGAGACTGATGGACCGCTATGGTCTAAGAGATACGGGCGGTATAGATCTCTTGAGATTCGTGGTAAACCCACGGTCCTTCGGACAAACTGTGGAAAATATGTTCTATGTCAGCTTTCTGATTCGAGACGGCCGTATTAAAATCGACTTTGACGAGAACAAGTTGCCAACACTAGGTAAGTTGAAGACTCGTTTCAAAAAGAAATCTCTCTTGCAGCACGCTAATGTCATTCAAGACCCAGTCGATCGCGAAGATGAAACGGCTGCCTCCAAACATCGAGCTCAGAAACAACAAGCTGTGTTCTCCATTGATATGAAGACGTGGCGTGATATCGTTGACGCGTTCAACATTACCGAGCCTATCATAGAACACCGCAAAGAGCAAAGCCTCCAAGGGCCTGGATCTCGGGGTTGGTATAACTAGCGCCAACTTCGCTCTCAATCACCTTTCTGTCGCAAGATACGCATGTACGGGCCTTTCAATATGGGCTCTGGTTACTGATTCTAATGCCGAATCAAAGTGTACATGAGACAGATTCTAGTTAATGTGTAGGGCCATAGGAAGATACCCCCAAAACAGGTAGAGACCCCAATTGTAATAAAAGGAAGCTTGTACACTTGATCAATGGTAAACAGGTACCTTATGGCTGGACAACAGGCATTAACCGTTCCTGAGTTGCCTTAGGTTCCCTTAGGTAGGTAGTTAGGTACCTACCTACCTACCACATGTAGGTACCTATAGGCACAACGTAAATGACATGCCTAAGGTTCCCACCTTCTCGAGTATTAGCAACCTTCCTGCCTTCTTTTCCTAAGATTCCGCATACAGTCAGAAACTCTTATTCAAGTCCCAAACTCAATTCTATTTCTAAAAAAAATCAGTTTTTTTTTTAATTCAACCTCTTTAAACCAAACAATCCTCCATCAATACTAGCCATGGTATTAACTTATCATCCCCGCTAAATATATCTCAACCCGTTTATTAGCCAACAATAATACATCCTTCAAAACTACCTACCTGACACTAATCAAAATGGATCAGCAGCCATCAGAGATCCTGCTATATTCACAAGTTCGAGCACGATGAAGTTCTCAAAACATACCGGGATTTGTTTGAAAGTCGTTCATCCTGGCCTCATCACACCTTGCCCGACAAAACCAGAACAATGCATCGCAATACTATTATTAGCGTCAATAGGGAAGAAGCGTTCCTTCCAGAAGGCGAAAAGAATGCGGATGTCGAGCAATATTACGTTATAATGATTCGTGCTGCTGGCGTATGTCCTTGGGCAAAACTGCCAGCAGGATGTAACAAGGTCCAGACAAGTACGGTTGAGTATAGCTGCCACTCGGCAAATGCCCTAAAGTTGGTCAAAATTTATAGGGTCACCCTTCAAAATGGTGGGGTGCATTTAAATTGCAGGGATGCTTTACTATGCTTTAAGATATGTTTGCGCTTAAGATAGTACACTATGCACTAAAAAAAAAGTATCCGGGGGTACGGGGGATTTGCTTTTAGCTTGGGTGTATTAGCTAAGGAGGTAAGTAGGTACTGTATTTCTAGTAGTCATAGTAGCTAACTCCCCTGTAATTATAGTGGCAAACTACCTAAATCTTAGCGTATAAGCCACTATCTACCCTTATGATTAGTGCCAGCTTAATACAGTGTTAATATTATTATTAGGAACATATGCTTGATTGATTGAATTGATTGAATTTCAGAGGTTAAGGCTATCTACCTACTTCTTACCTCCTAAAGTACGAAGGCGTATTCTTTTGCAGGTGGGAGGTATGCTGTAAGCGCTGTAAAATTTAACCAATAGGAGGGTGCGCATCTTGGAGGCTCAAAGAAGTCAACCCTTTTTCATGCATAATGTACCATAAATCCATATTTTGTTTTATTCTTTTCCTTTATTAGCCTTGGGGTATCTGTATCTCAACTTTACGTCATTTGCCGAGTGGCAGCTATGCTCAACCGTAGACAAGCGGGAATTCACGAAAATTTACCCACAGAACTCAGTTTAAAGGCATTACGAATTAATGGCGACGCAACAAAAGGCATAGGTACCGTGGAGTGTTACGTACCTAAGCATCTCCTCTTTCCAATACAACATCGTTTACCATCATAAAATATCCACACGTCCGAGGAGCCCAAACACTACAGGGAATTTCGGGAGAGGCTTGCGAATAGCATAAACATATCCGGGTTTGACTGTATAGTGCTTCCTAAACCGCAAGGACAACTTAACGAATATGGCGCCGTGATCTACATTGTCACATGACAAAAGATTCCATAATAATTGGTAGCACCACCCGTTTTTACGGTCGCTTTTTCGTTTTTTGATTTAGGACCATGTAATCCAACAGATCGGCAACCAGAAACCATTATTTTTTTCGTTTTTTGTTTCTAAATCAGGCCTCTTTCAATCCGATGAACCAATACCTTCCTCGGCTCTTTTTTCACTCTTCTATCCGGAGAACCATACACATTCTCACCATTGCAAGGCCACTACCTGCTCGCCGCCCTCCTCCTCCAGCGGCTCGAACGAAAGACCTGGAACTATATACGACAGCCTACCACCCTAGGAAGAAGATCCCATTCCCTAGACAAGCGGCTTTCCCCTCCCCTTGGAATTGGAAGGAAGGATGTTATTTTTAAACCTTAAAAAAAGAGTTATATATTGGAAGGAACAATGAGGACATTGTTATTTTTTGTTGCTGGTAGGATTGTCACATGACGCAAAGTATATATACTTATCTTGCTAGATGGATCATCTACAATAACCTCAACCATTACAACAACAATTACAATGATAATATATGACATACATCCTTGGCGAATGGGCTAGGATACCCCAAGATGGGCTCGACTGGCATGATATAAATAAATATTAATGCAATACCGACTCTCCAACCAGCCATATTTGGAGGATAAATTATTGTTAGAAGATTAATTTTATGTCGAAGAAGAGGAGTCAAAACTGGAAGACGACGGTTATTTCCTCTTGGAGCAATACTCAGATAGCGAATTCGGACCTGAGTACAACTACTGGACGATACTTCGTGGTGAATCCTCCAAAACAGAGAAGAGGACGTGTACAAAATGCAATAACGAACTCTATGAATGGTCTTCTCGGTCTACGGTCGAAACAACCTTATATCAAGGCCCTGATGACAGCGGAGCGTTAACAAGAAAGATCGACGAATTCATCTTTATTTACTTATTCTTCAGATGCTCCGCTCCAGCATCAGTTGACTTATTTTAGAGTAACTTTTACTCCTACAAACCGCACCCACATTGGAGTCTTTAGCAACTTGGCTCTCTCAGTATTCCGAGTATGAACCCCAAAAGTACGCCAACAGTGCACACAGAGGGCCTTTGAAAGCTACACCAATCAGCTCTATATTTAATTTCACTCTCCATCTACCTAAGGTTAAACATAATTCAACATCTCAGAGACTCAGCATAGCCACAACAGATTGAGGGCGGCCATGTTGCGTTCTTGGCGCTGCATAACGTCTCAATCTGTAGAAATCATATAAAGCCAATGCCGACCTGGTACAATCTCTGAATAAACTTGCTCAAGCCTTGATGGGAAATACAGGCGTTCAAAGAGCCTTAGCCGACACCTTGAAGGCGGCGCGCGAGTGAAAATCAGACCAGCCTGGAAAAGTTTTCTAATACATGCTCGTTTACTATAAAGACAAAGCCTATCATTCTGGTAGCACCTCTCCGTTCCAAAGCGCATCGGCAAAGAGTTCGAAAAAGCGACGCTAATCAACTATGATGCAATACATCCCCAAAGATATCCAAGAACAGCTCGACAGAGACGCGTCTGGATCTGGCTCGAAATGAAAACGAGGACTTTTTTTTTTTTTTTTTTTGACTGAAGGGCTTATGGTAGATCACTAGCATTAGATTAAAAAGTTCGATACACATGTGAAGTCTTCACATTCTATACTTGCGCGAAGTGGTGGCTAGCTAGGTTTCGCGGTTTCAAGCGAGATGAGTTTGCCTCTGGTTGTGAAGCAGATATTGCCTGGTCCAAAAACATGAAGGATTACGACGACAAAAAGGAGAACCGAACAAACATAATAGGGTTCTATCGGAGAGTTTATTAACAACGTACTGGAAAGTACCTTGATTGCACGATTAAGTGTCAGGAGTCTCACTTGAGACTCCTTGGAACAAAGGAGTCATTCTGTATATAGCTTTGGCTTCAAAGCACTTGTAGTTAGAGTTCCTTGCGGAACAACGAAGTTGTTTTACCTACTGCATGCTCTGCGATGTGACATTAAGTCTAGTATCCATATTAATTTATTTAGCGAGAAGACCGTCGTTAGCCTTTTATCCACTGCATATAACCTCATCAAATGACTTAGCATAATACCTAAAGCATCCTAAGAATACGGGAAATAGGGGCTATGGATATGGTAATATTGGGTACCTAGGTAGTACTAGTAAATACCAACCGCTAGCGGTCCCTTACAACCCCAACAGACGACAAGATTATCATGACTACTATGCTAGCATCATGTTACTTGTCGATGTATTAAGTAGTATAATCAAAACGTAATATTTCGTGGGCCGTCTTATATCGTTTCTTGGGTTTAACGAGTATGTTCCAACGCGAGTTTGGCAAACCTTGATCCAGGTATAAAGCAGCCCCATGATTATATGTTTAATTTATGATGAGAATGTTAACCATATAAATAAAGTCTGAGTATTGATATGAGACAGAACCTCGTAGATACAATGTAGCATTGAGACTCTAAATTGTACCTTTAGAAGAGTAAGAGGTAGCTACTTTTAGTATCAACCTATATCAACCTACAGCTATCTCTAGTCACCATAGTTGAGATTTCGAGTCTCCCGTTGAATAATAGAGCTACTTCCTTGCTTCGTAGGTCTACCTCGTTATAATGCACTCACTCGTTCAAAGAGGAGTACTCGGTTTATAGACATGCGAGTTAGTCAAATTGTGATCTCGACCTTCGAAGAATATGCATGTGTCAAACCCTGTGTCACGAGGTGGACCTAGAAGACATAATTAGAAACTTCGTTATTCTACGAGGGACTTTATAATAAGCTGCAGAAACTAGCATGTACATGGAGGAAATATATTTTGTTCTAGATGTCTCATCTGGAGTCCTAAACCCTTAGGTAACTATCTATGATACCTTGGCCACCTAAGTATAATATAATATTGTATAAATGCCTACTTGATAGGTATCATGATTGCCTCCAATCTGATTTCTACAGCTGAGCTCACAATACCGTTAGGATAGCTTTTGAATAGCGTTCAACATTCTTATAAAGCATTATGGAGGATACGGCCAATCTGGCTGTTAAAGCGACTAATATCGAACCTATTGTTTGGATTTGGCCTCGTAATGCTCAAGACCAAAAGGCGATCCGTACATCTGACAGCTGCGAAGATGTTCATTCGCCAGCGCCTTTGTAAGTTATATCAGTTTGATACAGCAGTGCACAAATTAGTTCTCATGGTTCGATATATAGCTGGCAAACGTTCATTAGATCAAGCAAGCAACCCTACGGTAATTCCAAGAAGAACGCCAAGGAAGATTTAAAATATGAAGAAGTGAGCGAAATAATTGGTAGTACCTGCTATCGCTCTAGGCCAAATATTAACATATATACATATATATCAGTCCGAGCAGAACGCGATTATCCATCCGGTCCCTTATACTACCCAAGACTGGTTGGACGATATATCACGTTAACGGTACTGCTAAAAGTTCAGTTAAAAACAGAGTACATTTGCGTGTTGACCTTCGAAAATACTTCTCACAGGCTTACGATCAATCGTATATGCGTAGCTGCGTTGCTCATGCTGTAGCTGGTGCATTCGAGTTTGCAGTCAGAAAGGGGGGCGAATCCAACTTCTCACCCTCTAGGCTATTCATCTGGTACTATGCTCGTCGCAATACAGAACATAACGAAAACCCTCGGGGGTCAGTCGAATATGATGTCGGCACCAGCGTTAGGAATGCGCTCATTGTTCTGTTAAAAGGCGTCTGCGACGAGCAACACTGGTCCTACGTATGCAGCAGAAGCGACGAGAAAACTCGTAGGTTCCCTCGCAATGCCAAAGCTGCAACAGAGCCTGATAAATATGCACGACGGAACGCCAAGCATTATTCTGCAACATACAAACGGATTGATTTGGAAAATTTATACGAAAACCTCATAGAGTGTCTCGACAGCGGGTTCCCCTTCATCTTTTCAATGAACGTGTACGACCAGTTCGACAAGAAAAGATTCAATGAAAAGAGTGGCTATATAATAAGTATGTTAGGTAGATGATGATTCTTTAGTTCTAGTCTGATCTGATAATCTTCCTCTTGATAGAAACACCGAGTTACATGGAGGACCGAGACGAGGGAGCTGGACATTCACTTCTAGCAGTTGGTTACATACCTGGCAATACTCCGCAGGATGATTTGTTTATCGTGCGAAACTCATGGGGGACTGACTGGGGCGACCACGGCCATTCCTATGTAGGCTATAGTTACCTGAAACAGTTTTGCAACGACTTCTTTACCGTCCGCTTGGACACGGCCCCCAAGAGACGTCGCGATGATGATGATTATGACGACGCTCAAAATCCATCCAAACACCAATGCCTACTGACATCACGTCTTACGGAGCTTCAAATTAGTGACGCTAATCCAGCATAACTTTTAAATGGATATATTAGTTATGTTAGGTAGTCACTCGCTTTCATTACCTACTCAGATTTAGAGATCCCTAAGGAAAAAAAAAATAAGATTATCGCCACACTTCAAAAGACCACCTCGTGATAATCACTGAGATCTCGTAACTAGGTCCCTATGAAGTAAGGACCTAGGTACCTAGTTATACTAACACTCCTTATAAGCCCAGCTGCGAACCAGGTACACACTACCAACTCTGTTTGAATCTCTTTGACGAATTTAGTTACAGAGCATAATAGAGATACCTTATATTGCCTAGAAATTAAGTTTAATTATTACTTGACCGTTAGTAAATACTTACCTGTAGTTTACACATTTATGTTCTATAAACGTCGTATTACGATGCTTTATCCGTTACTCAGTCTCGGGTACTTATAATAAGACAACCCTGATGGATCGCTATCAATTAATAAATCCCTTCCCTAGGGGATATTCGACACCGTAAGACTCGGTGGGGCTGCTGATCTATTCAGGGAGCGGCATTCTGCCGTCCGGCTTATTCCCAGCGGAGACTGGGTAAGCAGGAGAGTGGAACTGAGCGGTCTTATATCTTGCGTAATATTCCGAGTCCTAGACTCTCCGCATGTGAGCTTGGTGGGGACGCTTATACCTTAGACTGCTTCCCAACTGCGTGTATAAATATTATTGGCGGTGACGGTAAGACGTCGTACTTGTAAATTCTAGCTTGGCATTGCCGTTCGACTTAGCTACCTCACTTGATACTAAGGTAATTTACTCGAAAATATGGCCACTGAGACGTCTACATCCGGCTACGTCACTGTATCTGACGGCGTGCGCCTGCGATACTGGCAAGACGGGCCGGTGTCCGGTCCCAACATAGTGTTCATCCCGGGCTGGGTCCAGACGGCGGCGCAATTCCGGAAGCAGGTCGAGCACTTCCAAACCGCGTTCCGCGTCACCACCTACGACCACCGCGGCCACGGCGAGTCGGACAAGCCGTCGTTCGGGTACCGCGTGTCGCGGCTCGCCGCGGACCTCGACGCCCTGCTCGCGCACCTCGACCTGCGCGACGCCGTCCTCGTCGGGCACTCCATGGGCGCGGCGGTCCTCTGGTCCCACTGGGACCTGTTCCCGCGCGACCGGATCGCCAAGCTCGTGTTCGTCGACCAGGCGCCGTGCATGACGATCGACCCGACCTGGGCGCCCTCGCAGGCGGCCGAGTCGTCCGCGCTGTTCACCGCCGCGCAGCGGTTCGACATCGCGGCGGCGCTGCGCGGGCCCGGGTGGGAGGAGGCCTGGCGCGCGCTGTCGCGCAGCTTCTTCACGCCGGAGGCGGACCCGGCGGACGTCGAGTGGGCGCTCGCCCAGCAGACGAAAGCGTCGCGGGAGGGCGCGGCCGCGCTGATCGCGGACCACGTCGCGCTCGACCACAGGGACGTCATGTCGCGGATCGACGTGCCTACGCTGACCGTCGCCGGGCGGGGGAGCTTGTTCCCGACGGCGGGGGCGGAGTGGATTGGAAAGCAGACGGGGGGGCGGGTTGAGATTTTTGAGAAGGGGGAGGGGGGTAGCCATTTTATGTTCTGGGAGAACCCGGAGAAGTTCAACAGGATTTTGGAAGAGTTCTTGAGTACCTAACCTAAGTTGAATATCTAGGGAGGTAGATGCTCTAGTCGTGACTTATACACGAGCGTGTTCAGGTCTTGGAAATATTGGAGCACATCTGCTACCTTTAAGTGCCTTGGTTAGTAGGTTTACTTCTCTTAATAACCTAGGAGGATTTATTTACTACTGTACCTTAGTGTTTCCTAGTAGATACATGGGTGACGTAGTAGGATAACCGTCAGCCTCACTCAGACTTGCCTGATAGATTTAGTCCGCTTTGCCCATTTCTCCCCCTTTCATGGGTGTTCAAGGTCTAGCCCCCCCCTTCTTGTCATCTCTATCACTTGTCCCATAAATGTCTGCAACTGCCCAGCGATGCTATACTCTCTATACAGCATGAAAGTCAATATCACCAGGCTTAGAAATAGAGCCCTTTGAGAAATATTCGCTATGAATAGTAGCGAATGCTAGCTGTGTCCTTGGAGATTCAAAGAACCTCACAAGTGCCGCAGGATCGACTTCTAGTAGACAGGATGAAAGAGCAAAATATGATATGTCTAGGTGGTTTGCTACCAACCTAGTAGTAGAGTATAAGCAAGTGACAGTTAGAAACCACAAGAAAATAATTGTCTTCAGACAACCAAATTATAAATTAAAAGCAAAGAGACTGCTGAAAATACAAGAGTGTATTCAAAATTCCACACGCCTGTGTTTAAAATGTATACCCAAGATTAGTTGCGGCTATGTTTATCAAATAGCGAAGTCTTCGCTTGTTTGGACAACTCTGTTAAGATTGTCCAATCAGGACTCAACATTCGGAACTTAGTACCCAGAACGTAGAGAGTGTGAAGCTTCAACCAATAGTATTGATTCTACAGTGGAGTTCAACATATAAGAGGTACCTAACAAGGGGGATAAAAGGCAATATTTGGCTAAGACACAAGCGAACACTTAGGTATACCTACTTGATATTCAAGCCACCGCCTAAAAAATATATCTAACCTAAACGACGTCTAATCGGGAAACGGGATCCTTAACTGACCGATCCCCTTAACTCCGCAGCAAGGATACGAAAGCTCTTGTCCTAGTCGGCCAGGCTTAGTACTGGCTGCCTGTCTGGACCCGATAGACCTTTCGACGAGAACCAATGAGATTCAACCCGCAGAAACGCAATACGTAAGGCGTCTTCCAGCCAGCAATTATGACGCCAACACAAGGAGAAATCACCTTACGCCGCAATACGATGATTGCGCAACCTCTGACGAGCGTCTTGAGGCGCCCTAGCTAAAAGCAGCCCTACCCCCAATGGAGCAAGGTAATTGGATACAGTAGGTAGGTATTTGAATAGAGAAGTCTGTTACTGCTTATGCTTATTCCTCCTCTTCTTTTTCTTCTTTCTTACCACCCCTGGACCCTAATTGCACGATCAATTTGGGACTCTTTGTATCTCACCCGCTCCTCCGTACGAGCTTGACGTCAAGAGCCGTCAGAGATCCATTGTAGTGGGAAGTGGAAAGACATCAATTTATAACCCCCCGAGGCTCCCGAGCCAGACATAATAATAATAATTTTCCCACTTCCGTAGATTCCGAACCTCCTAATTGCCTCTCTAAGTAGAGCCATTCGTCTCCCAAGATGAGATATTCAACTGCTTTATTGCCCCTCGTGGCTACGGCCGCCGCATTCGTCATCCCGGACGAAGCTGCTGCTCAGCAGCTCGTCCTCGACACTGAGCAGCAACAGCAGGCAGAGAAGCCCGTGTCGTCAGGGTGGGACCACGTCCACGGCCTTAATGACTTCCTCTCGTCTGCGGAGAACACTTTCGAGACTGCGCTAGATGTTCTAGAGGAGCAGGCTAGCAAGATAAGCAGCTCGCTCCCCAAAGTGGGGTTTGAAGTTGGATCCGAGATTACCGACTTCCTCGCGCCGTCCGACTACTCCGTGTCTGGGCACGGACACGGCCACGGCCATGGAGTTGCCACCAACCTAACAGTATACCAGGCCATTAAGACCTCGAACTACACCAAGAAGTTCGCAGCGCTGCTCGATGACCACCCGGACTTAATTGAGAAGCTTAACAGTACTTCGACCAACGTTACCGCCTTCGTCCCCTTAGATCGCGCCTTCGAAAAGATCCCCCACCATGACAAGGACCACAAGCCGCCTAAGGAGTTTCTCGAGAAGCTGATCAAGTACCACGTCGTGCCCGATTTCTACCCCGCCGGCCGCGTGCTCGTCCACCATACTATCCCAACGGCTCTCGAGGAGGAGGCGTTGGGCGGACGACCTCAGCGGCTACGTGTTAGTGTCGGGCTCTTCGGCGTGAAGTTGAACTTCTACAGCAAGGTCGTCTACGCAAACCTAGTACGTGCACACCCCACCCCCCCCTTCCTTCCCCCTCCCCAATTCCAAACCCCTCACTAACGCATCTCCCCCCTCCTTCAATCTAGCACACCACCAACGGCGTCATCCACGGCGTCGACAGCATCCTCGTGCCCCCACCGCCCGCCAAGGCCCTCATCTCCCTCTTCCCGAGTAAATTCTCGACCCTAGAACTCGCCGCCGAGAAGACGGGCCTTAAGCACCACGGTGACGACCACGATCACGACGGCGAGGAGCACACGCTCACGGGCCTGACCGTCTTCGCCCCCACCAACACCGCCTTCCGCCGCCTCGGCCCCGCCGCCAACGCCTTCCTGTTCAACACCGACAAGGGCCTGCGCTACCTGCGCGCGCTGCTCGCGTACCACGTCGTGGCCAACGAGACCCTGTACTCGGACGCGTACTACGGGCCCGGCACAGCGGCTGCCGCCGCGTTCGCCGAGGCCGGTTTTGAAGGCAAGGATGCGGGAGATAGTAGTAGCGAGGAGGAGGAGGAGGAGGTAGGGACCAAGGGCGCCAGGCACTACCACCTGGACCTGCCGAGCCTGCTGGGCGACGCGCACCTCGCGGTGGACATCACGCGGTGGTTCGGGTTCATAACGATCAAGGTGAACGGGCGGGTGGTGGTGTCGATCCAGGACGCGCTGGCGCGGAACGGCGTGCTGCAGGTCGTGGACCACGTCCTGATCCCGCCGCACAATCGCCGCCACCACGGGGGTGCGTGGGAAGAGGGGGAAGGGGAGATTAGCGTGGAGGAGCTGGTAGAGAGGTTGGAGCCGTTTGTTAAGAAGGGTGATGATGAAGGGAAGGGTGGAGATGTTGCGGATGAGGGGGTTGGTGAGTTGTAAAGTGGGATGGGATGAGATGAGATGAGAGGAAGGTGAAAGATTGAGATGAACCCGGGCCTTGGAAGGGAAAATCCAGGTAGCATTATTCTCTCTGATGAGTATACGAATGGGAAAGGGGGAAAGCATGATGGCTTGGTAGAAACACCACTCAGAAAAGTGTATTAGAATAGGACTGGCAGGCAAGCGTGTATGAGGTATGCAGCATTACGCAAAACGAAAGCGACGTTCGTTAGATCTAGGATTCGCATGAATACAACGTAAAATAAGCTTACGAGGATTTGATCTGTGAAGCATTAGCTTGGAGTACCTTAGGTATTAAATCCCGTTATATGATTGATTGAGTGACTATTTGTCCATAAATACCTCTAGGTAACCACGCCGTATTTCATACGATCCTGTCTACCCGTTCAAAACGGCATCGACAAGCCTAACCTTCGAACGCACATCTACCGCACCCCAGCGCTGCTCTCTGCTCTTCCATATCCTCTTATTATCGCCACCACTACCACTACCATTACCATTACCACTACCACCGCTATCATCCTCTACCTTTACCTCAACCCCCACCTCATCAAGCAACACCTCCACAACCCAACACCACCTCACGCCCTCCTTCATCCCTACCCCCACCCCCCTCCCCAACGCCAACACATCCCCCCTCGTCCTCGGCACCCTCGAGCACATCAAGTGCACATCGACAAACTGCGCAAACGTCGCCCCGAAAGCCGGTTTCCCGCCTCTCCCGACGAAAACGGACCGGAGCGTCGGGTCTTGGGGCTTGTCTTTCGCCGAGGGGGTGTATGCGGAGGGAGGAGCAGCAGAAGCAGAAGCAGAAGCAGAAGGAGAAGGAGAAGTAGCGGTGGTGCTGTTAAGCAGCATGACGAGAGGACCCGCGGAAGAAGACGACCGCGCCAGGGACCGGAGATGAGAAGATAGTGAACGCAGGGAGTCGTGCGCGTGGGGCTTGTTGTCGGCGGAGCGGGTGAAGAGGTTGGCGAGGAGGGTGGAGAAGTGTGTTATTAGGATTAGGTCTGGGATGTGTGAGGGTATTTCTTGGTTGTTCGACAATATGGGATTTGGTGTTGTAGTAGTAGTAGTGGTGGTAGTGGTGGTTTGTAGGGCTGGTTCGATAGGAGGTGAAAGGGATGGAAGTAGTTTTGGAGGAGATTCTGGTGGTGGCAGTACAGACGACTGCTGCTCTGGTGGTCCTGGTGGTGACGATGATAGGCTTAGTTCTTCTTCGTCTTCACTGTCAGCAACTTCCATTCGCCATGTCTTCGGCGATGGCGATGGAGGAGCGTTATGGTTTACCGTCTTATTCCCCTCTTTTGCTGTTTTTGGACGAGGTGAATTCCACAGCTCAGCGCGAGAGACATTCCCCTTTCCTTCAGTAGCGGTCGTAGTAGGCGCTATCTCCGCTTCTTTCCCACCAGGAACAGCATTATTACCACCATCACCGTCATCGTGACCTCGAGCAGGCGGCGTCTCAAGCTCGCCCAGAACCTCCCACAAGCCCTCGACATCAAAAACCCTCGAGATAGAAATCCTCTCAAGACAGCGTCTCACCTCCGCGCTCACCACCTCCTGCTTCTGATTCGCCGTCGGGCCCAAGCGAACCCGCACCTGCGCCTTAACCACGTCTCTCAGCGTGGGCAGGATGGCCGCCGGCGTCAACGTCGTGACGATAGCTACTCTCTGCCTGTTCCCACCCTCGTCGTCAAGCACCAAAGTGTGCGCCACAGTCTGCAGTCCAACCTATCCACCGCCCCAACCATTATCAGTCATAATATAATTTCGATCATACGGGGGGAACTGGGGAAAACGTGTAACAGACTGAGTCTAGTTACCTGATATATTAGGTTAGGAGGTACCTAAACTTACCAGGAGTCCAAACTCGACATCCTCAGCGCTAACGCCCACAACGCACCCGCGCTCCAGCCCGCCTAGCAGGACCGCGTCGTCCACCTCGGCGCATCCCGTCTTTAACACCCGCCCGCGGCGGTTTAGACCCTCGCGGCGCGCCGACTCCATCTCGTAGAGCGTCACCCCAGATACTGGCTCCAGGAACGACGCCAGCGGGTCCCCGTTGGTGTTGGTGTTGGGGTCTTGGTCCATGTTTCCACGCGTCAACTCAAGAAGAAAAGAGTCACTACATTTCTTAGAGTCTTGTTAGGTTTGTTCAGTAGAGAATTTTGAAAGATGAAAAAATGAATGAAAATGAATAATTAGTAACTTGGAGGAGCTTATTAGCTCCATTCAATTTTAAAACTGTACAAGTCAGACATAGTTATCTAACATAGGTAAACATGCATATATATTCCAGGTTATAGAATAGGTACCTAGGTAGTTAGTGAGAATAATCAAACACTGGAAATACAGATTAATAACAAATTTAGAGTAGCACAAACATACATAAAGGTATTAGGTAGGTGTGGTCTATAAAAATATATTATGAAGGTTGCTCCGAAAAGTGGAGATACTTTACAACGAATGTCATAATCCTTAAGACAGCAATAATATTCCCGATAATCAGCGCAACCACCGCATAGTCAAAGCCTCGATTTGGCTCAATGCAATCTGCATCAATTTTTCGCATCCTGGGGGGATAGCCCGGCCATGTCTCCTCCCATCAACTATTCCGCCTTTGCCACTTCCACTAGTTATGCTCATAGAATACCTTATAGGTAGGCTTGCCCTACTCTCTCCCTTTAGGTATTTATTTAAGAGAACTCAAGAAACTACCTAACCTAACCTATCCTGACACAAAAGTCGAGGCCCATAGAGTGAGTGTCCATGTGTAGCTGACTGGCCCCTCATCAACAATAGCCTTCCTTATATCCCGCCTCCTTAACACTTCAACCTTGAATTTTCAAGTGGAAAAGTCAGAGGGCATATTCATCGTGAGCTTTGCTGCACTTCATGCGCTAAACTCGAAACGCAACGGAGCCCCGCCACCGCTCAAAATGTCTGAGAAGACAACCTCGACTCGAAGATGTAGCAGCTATGAATATCGATTACCTCATGAAAATATTTCTCAGAACTGAGGTACCTGCATTAACCTCCGTGAAATTTACATAGCTACACCGGGCGCGGGCGGAACGTCTCTGTTGGGGACATCTGGTCGTGGTCGTCGTCCTTTCAAGCTCCTCACACGCGACATAAACCCATTGCCTTGCTGTCTAGCCCCGTCTGGGGACTCCGACCCATCAGCAGTGCCTCGGCGCTCGAGGCTAGGCACCGGTGGCGTCGAGGGAGATGGCAAATCCGAATCTTTACGCTTGACGGAAATGTGCTCCTCTGCCCTGTCGAACTCGGCGAAGAAGGGGTTCCTTTCACCGGCGCTACCACTGGTGGGCATATCGCCTGTCCTGGGAGTGTAGCGGTCGCCATCCATGTTGAATTCGCGTGGCTCGCGAGGGGCGCGCTTGATGCTTCGGAAGCGCTGCACTACAGACTTCTTTCGCCCCAGTCCCTGCTCCAAGACTTCTTGCGCCGTCTCGGCCTGGGTGCGCTGGATCGCAGAACGGGTAGCCGGGGTGCCTTCCAAAAATGTTGAAGAACCAAGTCCGAGCGTCTCTTCGCCAACAACAAATTCGTTCGCCTGTTTCGGATCAAAGAGGGCGGGCTCGCTCTTGCTTCCTGCAGACCTCTCCTTAGCAACGCTACCATACATGGTAGAAGCGTCGTGAGGCTCCTGGCCCATGAACTGCAAATGATCAGGCCTCTTATTCAAGGGACCCGTGCCTCCAATAGAATTGTTGGCAGAGTCTTTAGCAAATGCTTGCATCGGCGCACGACGACTACCCTTACGATTTCGGTGCGGGTTGCATGCATCAAAAGGACCATCGTGGTGAAATACTAAGCAAGGTTGGTCAGTAGGTGGGTTGAGATTAGTTGGTACCATAATCACTTACATCCTGTTCCGTAAATGCTCGTGGCATCGAGTTGATCGATAATATCGATTTTTCGGCCGGTTCGCGGTTTGTCCTTGCCTTCGCGATGGCGTCGCTCACGTTCCTTGCGTCGAAGCTCACGTGCTTTCTTTTCCTCCTCTGTCAACGGCTTCTCTATCATTGAGGAATCGCTGTTGCGACGAGGGCGATGATCTCCCTGCTTTCTATTGGGGGAGGTGTTGAGAGCTCTCTCCCCTCCGTTCGAAACGCTGTGCATTCGGCGAGACCTCAAAGCTTCTTCTTGCGACTGCGTGGGCCTGTGAGATGAGGAAGGTGGCGCACCGCGACCACGGGGAGGATTGTTTTCGCCTCGCGGTCCGGGAGGACGATTTGCCGGTCGGCCAGGAGCCGGTCGTGATTTCGCATCTCTACTACCATCGTCAAGAGTTAAGTTGTCCTACAAATGCAAATATAGATATTAGCAAATCTGCTTGTAGTTTGTAATTAGGTAGACAGTAATACTGCCAGCGACCATTTGTGCATGGAAGGCAACTTACAAATAGATCTTCGGCAGTGAAAGACTTGCGATCCTTAGATGATGCCATAGTGTCGGATGAAGTTGCAGTCGCAGAACTGGTAGATGGTAGATCAAGGAAAGGATTTCTCGAAGTTGGTCGGGGAGGAGGGTCATCAAATGGAGAACGAGGAGGGGAGACAAGACTGTTAGGCGAGGCCGCACGGTTGCGAAAGGGGTTGTTTGAGGAAAGATTAAGCGTCAGGTTAGACGACTGGGTGGATTGGGTGGATTGGCGATTATCATCATACAGACCTAGTGAAGGGAACAAACAGAAAGAGATGATTAGCTTGGTTCGCTTCACTGCAGGTTCGCTATAATTGGGGGGAGGAAGGGGGGGAGTAACCAGTAATGGCCAGTGGTGGTCAGTGATGGTTAGTGATGACAGTGATAGGCAATTGTGAAACAACAAATCTCTACAAATGAAACAGGTACAGACGGCCTGTCCCATAAAGTGGACCACAACCAACTTGCACCTTGAAACTCTCTCCTTTTAATCGTAGGAGAATAATATAGAAGAGAATAATATAATAATAAGAATAGGATTGATATTGATGCAAGAAAAAAAAAGGAGGGGGTGAAGGGATGGAAAGGGGAGGGCGGATCTTAAGGCATCACCATCATCATCGCATTATCTTGCTTGCTTTCTTTTACTTACCTAGTAGGTCTGCCGATTGACTGGACATGGTGTTTGAATTTCCTTGTTTTTTTTTCGTCCTTATAATTTTGTCTGGTTGCAGATTTCCGTATCTCGCAGGGAATATTTTACCCCTTGACCGTGATCAAGGTTTAGAAATACCTCTCACAGTCGCTGATTGACAAGATTTTTACTCTTGTCAACCAATAAGTTGGCTCGGTTAGGGGTTCGAAAATCGACTTGTGCGATAACGCAACCCGGACTCTGCAGGAAGCTTTGGCGTAGGTGATGCGTCAGGGGTTTGGAAGAGATGGATAAACGATCTTCAGGGAGATAGGGAGATAGTGAGATGGTGGAATATTCGCCAAGTTTGATCGTGACGAAGCGATGACGCTTTACTATTTGCTTGAAACGTGACGCGGCGCGGCGCCTTCGGGAATAATAAAAGATTAATAAGATACCTCCAATCGAATTGATAGGTAGAGCTAGGTTTTAAGTAGGACGTAAAAGTAGGAAAAATGCGATAGACGCTGAAAGTGAAAGGCGAACAAGGTGCTTGGTTGGTGGTTGGTAGTTGGTAGTTGGTAGTAGTGGTCACCTTCGTGGGTCGAACGGATAAGTGCGGTGGAAAACGATTTTAGATGTTTGTTACGGAAACGCGCGTTAGGGTGTTCTGCTCATGCAAGGAACCTAGACGGAAAAGCGAGTAGAAGAAAACCACCGCGGTCGTCTAGATGTTTTTTTTAGTACTAAAATACGACGAGGGCAAGTCAGGTCAGGTCGTAGGTTCTCGATTTCCTTGCTTCCTTGCTGCCTTGTTGCACCAAGTATATTTTTCGAAGTCTAAACTTGCAGCTCGAAAGCTTGGGGCAATGCGGGAGAGGAGGTACGAGGTTGTGTTACCGTCGGTAGTTGGTAAATAATCGATTAAATGTTGTCGGTCTTCTTTCCTTTCGAGGATCGGGTGACGAGATTTTCCTTGGTTTAGCTCCTTAGCTTAGCATTTCTCCTCTCTCTTTTTTTTTTCTTCTTTTCTGTTCCCGTTCCTGTTCTAAGATCCCCCCTTTACTCCCGGTCGATTCGCGATCCAAGACCCCTATTAAACTAAGGGACAGGTACTAAAAAAAATAAGTGGAAGCGTTAAGTGGAAAAGGTACTGTATCTTGCTGTGGGCTCTAATTGATTTATGATGGGGTGGTTTTTGTCCTGGCTCCTTTCTGTCAGGATGACAAGGGGAACGTCGGTTGGAGATCGCCGAAACAGAAGCCAAGCGGGGCGCTTCAACTTCGTCTTACAACTTATCCGGCCCGTATTAATAATGGGTATTGCCTATTGACGTCTTTTTGTTGAAGAAGGAAAAGAATGCAGGCAAAAAGAGGAAGATTGCAATTCAATAGGTACAACCCAAACTCGGAAAAGGACAAAAAAGAGCTTCATCAATTGAGTTTGAGGAGGTGTGGGCTAACCTTATATTATTTTACAACGTTATCGAAATGAGGTTAGTGGTATTTGTTAAAGAGCAACAGATGCGCCGTAGCTACCGCGGTATCCCAGGTACCTAATGTATGACCGGAAGCACTAAAATGGAATAGCCAAGATGAATTTAGTTTAATAGAATGTACCCAACCTGCTAACGCATGTACGTAATATTAAAGTACCTCCTCCAGTACAGTAGAAGGCGCTAGGCAAACACAGTAAAGCTGGTAAGGACCTACCTAAAAGGGCACTGTAAGCACTGTAACTTACCTATTACAACCTGTAACTCGTATCGATATCTCAGCAATCCTTCAGGACACACATAACATAGGTAATATAAGAGATAATATTGCTTCACAGTTCGATCGGGATGAATTAGTGTAAAGGAGCGCAGCGTTCCGTAGTCCAAGTCAGTTGGAGCGGCAGGCGGCAAGCGACGAGCGGTGGCAGGACATTACACAGGTAGTATAATGCGCATTGACAAAGTTGTCTCTAGCTATGGCTATTCTTCCATGAAATTGCTACCTAAATTACCAAGCATTTTTCTGGGTACCAATACAGTTCGTATCTACATAGGTAGTAATCCTCTTTTTTTTATAATCATGTAAGGCACCTGACAAGCAATACATTAGGTCATTTAATAGGTAGATCAGACATTAATAAGCTTAATAGCTTAATACTAGGCATGTGCACTATCATAGGTATAATAATAGTAATATAGATATATTAGGTACCCAAGCCAAGGTAAGAATTGGCTTCCATAATGAGTTCGACCTTTAACCGATATTCCTCCTGGCTCCAACGGCACATCCTATGAGTTCTTACGTTAGAAAGTCTTACCTATTTTATACATTACGAACATAATACATAATAGACGAATAAACCAATAGTAGGTATCGAACCACGTGTATTTAATTTCTAACACTCTACTTCGAATATTTGAGGTAAGAAGGAAAAAAATAACAAGAGGCGATTCGTTTTATCCCAAGGGCGCATTTACCCCTGGCATCTACATTACAGGTATGTACCTAACCTAAATACCTGGTAATAATACACTAGGTATCGCACGTGTAGCACCACCCATAACCCACTGGCAATCTACGGACAAACCCGCATATTATGTGTGCATGTCTATACCTAATGTACAATTCGGCAAATATTAAAAATGCAAGGTTAACAATCGATCTAATACATTAGGTAATTATACTTATGTGTTAATTGCCTTAGTTACTTAAAGCTTCGTTCTGGCTTATTATTTTAGTAGTTGACACTTTGTCCCTTGGGCTCCAATTAGTAGCCTTGGCTCGAGACGGGGCCCCTTTTTTCATATGAAGTTTGCCCATGCCCATTTAAACGCGCATGGAAGCTACGCTACATGGTACCTTACTTTTCTCCCTCCTCCTCTTAGCCTGTCTCTGCCTTGTCTGCCTTTGTAGCCGAGAGAGATTTCCCCCCCACATCGCTCGAATTTAATTCCTTGGCATATCTGTGGGGTAGTCCTGCCTCTTGCCCATCTGCTAAACGCCGATCCCCTTCTCTTTACCGTTGCCCCCTTTTTTTGTCCACGCAACCTACTACTATGTATAGTACAGGTCACAGGAACATCGGAGTTACTAGTCAGAATGGCGTCAAAACGCGCGTATTCCACTACCAAGTATTCGCTGAAATGGTTGGTGGAATGTAAAATGGCGTTGGACACTTATTGTGACGGTATTCTGCTAGTGTAAAATGTTGGGCTGTATTAAATTACACCTACTACTCCATAGTACTATCATGAAGCTGAAGTAGCGATCAAGAGGATGATCAAAAAAAAGTTTTATTCTCTCATCTTTGAGTTTAACCTCAAAAGGCTTAATCACTTGATCGACCAAGAAAGCGTGCGCATCGATATCAACGAACCCCCCCTTCCCTTTTCCCCGAAGCTTTCGCATTACCAAGGCAATTTCAGAGGGGTCTCAAGATTCTTCCCAAGCACCATCTCGGCCATGCCAATATCTCCTGTCAATTGCACAGAATGTCAGCGGCAGATAAAATCAAATCAAATAAAAGTTGGTAATGATGGGGGGGAGAGGGCCCTTACGTGGTCCACGAGGCGCCCAGTATTCCCCAGACTTGCTAAGATCTAGCGTCTCTGCCCACTCCGCGAGACTCTTCGCGGCCACCTCAGGAGTTACGGCTGAAATAAGTAAAAAAATTAATCACATGTCTGAATTAGCCCCCTCACTCTCTCCCCTTACCTCCGGGTTCAGGTTAGGTCAGGTCAGGTCAGGTCAGGTCAGGGTACATAACTTACCGCCGCCCTCGTCCCAGTGCTTGTCGAACCCGACGCCTCTGGTCATCTCGGTGCGCATGAAGCCCGGGTGGACGATACTAACCACGACCCCCTTGTCCTTGAGGTCGATGCTCAGGAGCTTCCCGACCATGTTTAGCGCGGCTTTGCTCGCGTGGTGCGCGTAGTTCCCGCCGCCCTCCTTCTCGTGCCGGAGCGTGATGCTCCCCGCCTCGCTCGACACCAGGACCACCTTGGACCCGGCTTTGAGGCGGTTGTCGCGCGCGAGGCGGTGCACGATAAAGACCGGCGCGATCGAACTCGTCGTGTACATGGTTAGCTCGTCGTTCCAGTTGGGCCCGCCGGACTCGGAGAAGTCTTCGGTCATGAATCGTCCGGCGTTGATGATCTGGAAGTAAAGTAGTAAAGTTGGTTAGTTACTTAGGTAGGTACCTGAAGTATATGATTCCGCAGAAAGTAACGTAGGTATGTAACTTACTACAATGTCTAGAGGCTTTTCTCCCTTAAGCTGGTTCGAGAGGTTGTCTCCGACATTCTGGTTGGTAAGGTCGATTCCGGAGAGCCACTTGACGCTATCCGGGAATCCGTCCGGTGTAGCCTCGGATCGTGTAGTTGCATACGTCATGGTGTCGGGGTTCGAAGCATACTCTTTCACTAATGCGGCCCCTAGGCCTCTGGTAGCGCCTACTACGAGTACGGAAGACATTTTCTTTTAGGAATTAAATAAAATAATAAAAAGTGAAAAGGAATAGGATCGAATAGGAGTTGTGTTATTGTGATACTGAGCGACGATATGTGTTTGAGTTTCTGTCGTGTCTCACAAAACGTTACCGTTGACGAAGAAAAGTCTCAGAGTCTCATAGCACGCCATTGATGGTGAGTTGATGACGTCACCTCCGATGTGTACGATAATTTGTTGCAGATTAGCAGTACTTGCTTTTTGTCTCTTATGGAGGCTGGTATTTACCAAGTATAACTTTCATCCACCAGATGAATTAATATAGAAAGAATTGTGTTACGTACCTGGTACCTAGATACTATTGAATCCTGAGGAATAAGAATAGTGAATACCTACATATATACCTTATATACCTAGTTCGTATATATAATTCATAAAACTTAGAATGAGATGCTTTATAAACGTAAACATTTATTAATACCTAAATTAAAGACTTGTGATATAATAATAATAAAGTAAGGAAATCTTGAGCACCTATGGTTATCTAGTCTACGCCAGAATCATTCCCATCGACACAGGACTCAAACGTAAAGCACCTGACCCAATGACAACATGAAGCCTCATTCATATTTCCTCCAAGCTCGCGAGAATATCTCTTCGCAGCTACCTCACGAGGACAGCAACTCATACACCAGGAAGCAGGAGCTATAAAACATCCTGGACACCTAACCTGTATTATACCAGCATTCACAATGCACAGGTCATAGTCGCAAGCAAACGCGCAAATTACATTTCCTTCACATCTCGTCTTAGTCATGATAATAGCATACATACCTCCTAACCTAGGTACGAGACGCCACTCCCGTCCCGCCCCTTGACAACGTTATACGATACTATACGTTGCTCTTTTCTCTCCCTTTCTCTCCCTCTCTCTCTCTCGTACTTTTCATACCTACACACCTTATATCCTCATTACCTTGAGGCTTATATCGGCCCCTCTCCTCCTCCTCCTCCTCCTCCTCCCAGCACGCAGCTCACATCTCACAGCTTACTAGCGGGCGCCGCGTTCCCCACGGAGGTGATCTCGTCGTACAGCAGGCTGGTGAGGAAGTCGGCGTAGTCCTCGCCCGTGACCTGGCCCGCGAAGTACTGCGACGCGAGGGCGAACTTGTTGCCCGGGGGCGCCTTGGCCGCCAGCTGGTCCGTCTGCTCCTTGAGCAGCTTCAGCGCGTACTCCTTGTCCACCTTCTTGCCCTCCGCCGTCGTCACCCCGTGCCGCACCCACTGCCAGAGCTGTGATCGCGACACTTCGGCCGTGGCTGCGTCCTCCCTGTTTTTTTGTGAGGGTAGAAGTTAGTGTACGTACTTCTAAGGTTGTAGGTGGTTGGGGTAGGAGGGGGGGGAGGGGAGGGGGGATTCACTCACATGAGGTAGTTGATAGGCACGCAACCAACGCCGCGGATCCAAGCCTCCATGTATCCCAGACCAATTCCCAAATTCTTCCGGATTCCGCCCTCGGTAACCTTGCCGGGCACATTCATGTTGAGCAGGTCATTGCGGCCGATCTTAACGTCCTCCCGTCGCCGGAACAGCTGGTTCGGCGTCGGCATGTGCTTGTTGAAGATCTCGGAAGCGATGGACGCCAGAGCCGGGTGCGCTACCCATGTGCTGGAACGAGATACAAATGTCAGCTAAGTTCTATTCGTAAGGGAGGAAAAAGAATATAAGGAGAGGGATAAGAGCACGTACCCGTCGTGGCCGGCGCGCACCTCCCGCAGCTTATCAGCTCGCACGCCCTCCATCGCCCTCTCATTCGCCTCCTTGTCTTCCTTAATGGGGATCTGAGCCGCCATGCCGCCCATGGCGTGCACGCCTCGCTTGTGGCACGTCTGAATCAGCAGATTGACGTACGCGTCCATGAACGGGACCGTCATGGTGACGGCGTCGCGGTCGGGCAGGACGAAGGAGCTGTTCAGCCGGAACTTCTTGATGGTGCTGAAGATGTAGTCCCAGCGGCCGCAGTTGAGCCCGGAGCTGTGTTCGCGGAGCTCGTAGATGATCTCGTCCATCTCGAAGGCGGCTAGGATCGTCTCGATGAGCACGGTACCGCGGATCGTGCCGCGCGGGATGCCGATCGTGTCCTGGGCCAGGTTGAACACGTCATTCCACAGGCGTGCCTCGAGGTGCGACTCTATCTTGGGCAGGTAGAAGTACGGCCCGAAGCCTTGCTTGATGGACTCGCGCGCGTTGTGGAAGAAGTACAGGCCGAAGTCGAATAGGGAGCCCGAGATCGGCTCTCCGTCTACTGTGACGTGCTTCTCCTCGAGGTGCCATCCTCGCGGCCGCACGATCAGCGTGGGCAGCACGCGGTCTGTTCGTAGCTTGTACTCTTTGGGGCCCAGCTTAAAGTCGACCTGTCGCCTCACGCCGTCGTACAGATTGACTTGGCCGTTGATTATGTTGTCCCACGTCGGGGCGTTCGAATCTATTGTCATTTGTGTTAGTCAATTCACTAGCCAATGGATCCTCACCTCTTGACATCATCACTATTTCTGCTGCTACTCACCTTCAAAATCCGCCATATAAGTCCATACATCCGAGTTCAGCGCGTTTACTACCATCTTTCGATCGGTAGGGCCCGTGATCTCTACCCTGCGGTCGACGAGACCCGGGGCCGGTGGCGCGCCTCTCCATGTCGGGTTTTCACGGATGTGTTTTGTCTCGGGCAGGAAGTCCGGCAGGTTGCCTCTGTCGATCTCAGCTTGACGTGCGGCGCGGCGCTCTAGGAGAGCTTTGCGTGTGCCATTGAAGGATCGGTGAAGTAGTGCTAGGAAAGCCAATGCCTGCGGCGTCAAGATCTTCTTATGTTCCGGCAGCACAGTGCCAGAGATGGTGACGCCTTGCAGGATGCTGTCGGTAGTCGCCATGGTGTTATAGTTAGATGTTCACTTAAGTGAGGAGATGACGATTGCAAGTTCCACTCCGCTGTGATGTTATAATTAACTGCCTCTAATCCCTCCTCTTGATGGTGAGGCTCGTTGTAGTTGATAAGACCAAGTATGTAATGAAGCCGGAACCGGAGCTGGTAGGGTATATATTGATCAAGTTAAGAAATAGTTATAAAAGAGCTAGATGGAGCACGAAGAAAAGCCGGTGCTAATATATAAATTCCTTTGTCTAGCCTGTTAGGTACGTGAAAGGATTAGCGGAAGTACGGCTACGAGGAAGACAGCAGCGGGTTTCCACGGTTATAAAGGAGTAGCGACGACAAGTTCAAGTTCGGGTAGGAGGCAGTGTTATAAGCCAAGGCATGCAACGGCTTTAAAGTCGAGAATCCCCTTGCTGAAGAGAGGGGTGTCCCGAACTTATGTACCTAAGATGAGATACTACATGGAGTCATAGCTTCTTACCTAGGTGCGTAGAACAACTATTATGACATGAGGTGAGTCAATAGTGAATAGGTTACTTTCCGACAATATTCGGCTGGAAGGAGGGTAAGTGACTGGTTACGCGATTCTGATGTAGCCGGTGGGAAGGGGGAGTAAATACCTAGGATATCCTATCTTAGGTACCTCCTACCAAGGTATAAAGCTTGTGAAAGTGTGGGGAAGAGATGTTACTTTGTTCTCGACTCCACGAGGTTGTCGATGTATAATACACTACAAAGGTGTACAACTTTTCTACTATCGGCGTGTTTGAAGTCTACCAGGTAAGTACTTCTTTGCACATAATAAAGTACCTAATACATAACGATATTACCTCCTAGGTATGTTAGGTAACAGATAGGTAATGTATCTACAACTACAGTCCGATCTCTTCACATGTAAAACCGGGGAAGCTCTAACCTTAAAGCTTTAACCCCGGTCTTTTTCGAGTACCACATTATATCATTGGCCCAGCATTCCCCAGCTTCTCTCCCCGCAGCCCAGTTAAAAACGGTAAGCTCAGCTAGCCAGCTACCTCAAAGCTAATTAGCAAAAGAGCGCTGATTGGTCCATTATGCCGTAAAGGGGGCAAAGTCCATCTGCCCGCCGCTCGTAAGGAACCGTTTTTTATCGTCAACTGGGATAGATTCTCAGTTCGTTGATCATGACGGCATCAATTTTGCAATTGCAAATATTATCTTATCTTCGTGCTCGAATTTACTTGTCGGAAGAGCTACATGTAAGTATTAGACGCTGCGATATCGCTTCTCAATCGCGTTCCTATTATCGGGGATATCTCGAAATGATAACATGCATTGCGTACCTAGTACCTAAAAAGAAAAGGAATAAATATGTACTTAGCTTTTGATAATTTTGATAATAACCAACCACCTCCATGACATTGTAGGTATCGAATTCCGAAGATACGGGACGGGTTCGATAGCAACGCCCATTGGACAGAATAAACGGGCGGCTAAGAAAGAGAGTGACGTAGTCCACCTGCAACTCCCGAAGTACCGAAACTGCGAATGCTCCCGCCTGCCGAGGTCGGATTACCAACCAATTCGAGGTTCCAGATTGCCTGAAGTTACCGAGAGTACCCGAACCGCAACATCAGGTAGCTACTACAGTGTGTACATACATAGTAAGAACTGCACCTAGCTAATGTAATATAGCTCCTTGAAATTATCGTCACATTGATACGCTCGTCCTTCGGTTACGTACTTACTCGATGCTACGGAGGTTCCAACGAGATATCTATTAGCTATAATAGAAAGAGGATCACTACATACCTCCTTACCCGCCGCAAATGCCGATTCGGAAAGCTACATATAGCGAAAGATCATCCGAAGGGGAAATCAAATTCGACCTAACGAGGGGGGCCGCAAGCTCTAGGTATCAGGAGTCATAAGCAACATCTACGACAATCAATATATGTCCCCATCGGTTGCTATAATATATGAAGGATGAACTGCTACATAAATCTATTCACCACGTTGTTTATATAAGTTCACTGTCAAGTCGCTCTCGATGATATAACATATCCTATGGCATTTATTTGATATCCCTCCCGACATACATCGATGAAGAAGAAAAGAAATGTAGGTAGGTGTCAGCCTAGACATATCACTTTCAAGTGCTTTCCGATTACCAATAATCAAGATACCCAGCTCAAAGCCACCAACTCCCAGTACATCTAACGCCATACCACCTTCGCCAAATATACCTGTAACCAGTAGAGAGGGTACTGCAAAATAAGAAATTTCCGTAACAACTTGAGCAACGGGATAAGACCGGAACAACAACTAGGGGTCGAACGTTTGAATATCAACACCTAAATCATCTTGCCCAAACAGCGCTCGCATTTGCTCTCCTTCCTGCGCGTACTCTTCCAAGCGCCGAGACGCTTCTGACAAATTTTCCCTGCTCGATAGAGTATCTTCATGATCCGGTCCAAGCGTTTCTTCTCGCCCCTCCGCTGCTCGTTGAAACATGTCCCTTGCACGTTCGTACAATTCTAGTCTCGCGAATGTGTATCCTAAGTATTCTGCGGTCAGGAGGGTATCCGAATTTTTTGGGCCGAGGACTTTCTCCTGTCCTTGTAATACCTTTCGGTACATGACTGCTGCCTCCCAATATCCTCCTTGATTGTACAAAACATGGCGTAGTACTAGCATACTGCTAAGAGTAGTTCTATGTTCTAGGCCGGATATTTTTTGCTGCCCGTTTACTACCTGTACAAGTATGTTTTCAGCATCTACATAGTATCTTTGAGAGTTGAGAACGCATCCTAGCATGTACATGCTATTGAGAGTATATTCATGCTCTTGGCCGAGTATTACTTGTCGTCCTTTTACTGTTCGCTGCAATATTTCTTTTGCCTCTGTGTCTTTATTCAGATCGTAAAGAGCACATCCTAGCATGTGCATGCTGTGGAGAGTCGATTCATGCTCCAGACCGAGTATTCTTTGCCGCCTTTCTGTGACCTGTTGGAACGTTTCCTGTGCTCGTATGTACTTGCTTTGACTGTAAAAGACCAGTCCTAAGCTGTGAAGACTAGCCAGAGTGTCAGCGTGGCTCTGGCCAAGTATTTTCTCTTGTCCTTCCACTGCTCGGGCATATGGCTCCTCTGCCTCTTGAAATTGACCCATCTTATAATAAATGTCGCCAATTTCATCCCATGTTGCGTATTTCAGCCTTACTTCGCGATCTCCAAACTTTTTTAATGCAGTATAAAAGACCTGTAAAGCTTTATTGAACTGTTCGACTCTTTGGTAGAAACTGCCAATTATCCACAGTGCATAAACAGGAACATTCTCGGCGTTCTTTAAAATGAGACGGAATATAAGCTCGAGTGGATCCGTCAAAGCCTTTGCTTGTTGGATGTGGTTGTAATCTTACTAACAAGTTGAGTTGCATCGGTGCCGCCAGAGCACTACTCTTCTTAAATGTTTCCATCACCATGGAGATTGTTTGGTCAATATTATTTGGTCCTTTGTGCAATACGAGGTCGGGTATAGAATCGTCATCATTTGATACGCTCCCAGTGGATTCAGCACCGCGAATATACATGAGTATATCGAGAATCATCTTATACTGACCTATTCGCTGATCGTTTTCGCTAAAGCTCCGATTAAGGATCTCAAGCTGCTCGCGTAGGTGGAACGAAATACTCTCAATGAACTTTTCCCTATTGCTATTCTTGAGCCACAGGTCGAACTCCTCAATCTCAAAGCCGGAAGACCCATCTTCCACATAATGCATAAAGAAATATTCAGCCCAAGATGAGAAGTTCTTAGAGTCCAGAAATGGCTCAGATTTGTCGACGGTGTCAGTGGAAGATTCTCTATACCTGTTGATGTGGTAAAGCAAGTTTTTGGATGCATATTCTAGAAATGGATGGATAGTGTATAGTGTTTGCAATTCGTCCTGGCCCTGCAGCGGGAAGCCGTAGTTACCAAACTCTAGGTAGTCGATGCAGGCCGAGACAAACAAGGAGTGGGATTCTTGTGGATCAATTCGAAGATCGATAATTTTGCGATCGCTTTCGCATAACCATTCGCTCTCTGGTCTTGTCAAAAATTCCTTGGCGGATATATGGACCAGGACAATAACCCCGTCAGTTATTTGTGTGCAACTTCCACAGGTATCGAGAACCTTCCCTACCATATCATCTATGAGATATGCTTCGAGTGGGCGTTCGTATGATGCTTTTGAATCAGCCTTGGAAACTAGGGCATATGCATACTGTAGTTCTCCAATCTTCAACGGCCGGCGGGCTCCTATAACAAATGCGAGAAGGCGTTTAGTAAATCTGAGACTGATATTATCTAGATCCTCCATGAGTTGTAAAAATAGGCGCTGGTAAGCCTTTTGTAGGCCATGGGGCAGATTATGCAATCTTTGAATAATTTCTGCTTTGGACGAAGGCCTACGAAGGTCATGAATCATGAGTTTTACCCAAAGGAACATGCCTTGAGAGCCGGTATGAAGAGTCTTGAATGCAAGGTCGCGAATCTCGGGAGTCTTGAGGGCTGCGGATTTATCTATCTCAGTATTGATATATGCGTCAATGTCAGGGTTGATTAAATCGGGAGTCATCTAAATCGCATAATTTTCTTGCTGTATTGGTTTAAGGACCTGCGTTCTTCCCAGGAGAACGGCGTGGGCATCTTTGTTGGCGTCGAGAAGGTCAAGGACTGGTCTCAAGATCTCTTCACCAGATTCTCTGGATTCGTCAACCCCGTCAATGATCCAGTATATAAGTCCTGGTGCAGATGTCGTAATCTTTTTAAAGACAGCCCATAAGTCGGAAGTTAAAGCTCTCGTCCGGGATCGACTCTTGTAAGATTTGTGACAAAAAGGACCGGGCCATGTCGTCTAAGCTTCGGCGACTGATATCCGCATCAGAGAAAGCGAAAAATAATACCCGGTGCCCATTACTTTTCAATGACTCCATGATCGAGGACGCTAGGACGGTTTTCCCACAACCGTGAGTGCCGTAGATACAGAGCAGACGACGGCCTGCGGTTAAAGGATCTGTCGAGGTATTATTCCACGCCAAGAACGTAGGGTGAGACCATACCCAGTCGCATGTTCCGTGCAACTTTTCCTGAAACTGGCTGTGGTAGATCATCTTCATATTCGATGGCTTGAGCCACGTATCGCATCTGAATTTCAGGTCTTGTCTGTCCGCCCGGGTTTTCTCCAACACTACGCAGTACTTAGCACGGTTCAATTTGGTGTAACCAAGAACGACATACTGGTCATAGAATAAGATAGTGGCGTTCTTGCGGTGATTATACGCAAGAGATCATTGTCCGGAATCTCTTTGCAAGGTTAACTGAGGAATGAGTATTTTACATAGAGCTTTCGATGTACATACTTTGCTTCAATTTCAAATTTTGAACGCAATCCCGTACTCGGAATCTTGGGGCTTGGTACTCGAGATAGTCATATGGTGCCTTGTTTTTCATATTCCGCCAATTCGACACCCTGTAGCCCTTGCTCAACATTGAAGCGGAAGTAACGCCTTTCATCGTAGTGTTGGCGCCAGTTAGAAACGAAGTCGTTTTCCGTTTTCTCTGTCTCCGTCGCAAGTTCTACTAGCGTCTGGGAAAGGAATTTCAAGATCCTTGACTTGATTGGCTTTTGTCCAGGGTTCCCAGTCCCGACCGAGACGAAGCACTTGACGAGAGGCTTTAGGTCTCCTGTATCGGGACACCAGATGTTCGAGGCTTCCCCTTCCACCTCTCTTACCGGATTATTTGCGCCCAAGGCACCATCGGCGAACTTGCGTGCTCCAATATTAACAGGGTCGAAAAAGGTCGTCGCGGCGGACGTCGCGAGTGCAGCGTCGGTAATAGTAACAGGAATATCGAGTTCACCTCGCATATTGTAACTCCTTAAGCGAACGATTGCCCTGTTCTCGTGCGCGATTGTGCAAACGAAACTGATCTCGTTAGAGCTTTGCCTCATCGTGCTGGTACCTAAGACTTACACTTTGCATTTACGACCGACCTGATCATTAAAGAGATCCGTCTCCTTAGACCCACGCCTAATAATTGCCTGTTTGATTGCGCTCTCAAGTTTCGCAGACTTGAACCGGGACTTAGTTTTACCTGTCAAACTGATTGGTAACCAACTCGCTTTCTTTTTAAAGATGGATTTTATAAGCTCGCTGTATACCGAGATGCATTCGTCGACATCCATTTCGAGCCGAGCGAGCATAATCGCAATCAGTCTACGATACTTCGTTAGTTGTGCCATTAGGGAATCAAAGTATGCCTGCTCACCCGCCCGTACTTGTACCGCCAATAAGATCGAATATGTCGCATGGCTTTACAGGAGGGAGACCGTCTAACCCACGCTCGTAGTTGTGTCATAATCCCCTTGAGGATGCATAGGGACGACAGCCCTCGGACCCCGCCGCCATCGAGGGATAATAGGCAGAGCCCATGCTTGTCAAGTTCAAATAGTTCGCTGTCTTGCTGCATGCCTGCTACTTATTTCATAGCATGACTTGTTGTACGGACGAAGACTTATCCTCGCAGGAGAAGACGCAGTAGAAGAGGTGAGGGGTATTATTGAAGATGAAAATATGCGACCGCCAGAGGTACCATTGTGACGAGCCTGCTGGAGGTCTATATTAAAGCTGAAAATGAGATGCGCCGGCGGTTAACCGAACCAATCGAGAAGATTTCTATGTGATCCAGCGTATAGAAACCTCAGCTCAGTCCAGCCACAGTTTCAGGGAAGGGTTAAATAATTGCCCAGCATGGTTTTCTAATTCGGTCCCGTGCGTTAGCTATCGACATGGTGGCCAGCGTACCAGACTTTCAGGACCAGTAAGAGGCTATCCAGACCCTGACAACACATTGAAAGAAGAGAATGAATTATGAAGCTATATGCAATGTAATGAATGGTCTCGGAAAAGTACTTTATTGCTGCCCGTTTCATGAATTAAGGCGCAGCACCTTTCGGGGTGTGACGATAATGATGATAATGCTGTTGTAGGAGTAAGACTTGAATTTACAAGGCTAGGTCGTTTATAAGGAGTACTTGTTATCTCACGTCAGGTACAAATAGGTACCTAAGGTAGGTTAATAGGATTATGTTAGGTAATTAGCAGGTAGGAGTTAGTAATACCTTCCAAGATGACGGGAATATGATTAACTCTACCTAAGGTAACAACATTACCTAAGGCAAGATTATTGATAATTGTTTACCTCTCTTTATCTCTTTATTATTAGGTACTTAGGTAGGTATATACAAGATGCTATATGTTAGGTAGTCTGTACAAGTCCAAGGTCATATTTATAGGTACTAAACCTCCTATTTAGCAAGGCTCGACTAGGGGTAGACTTAAGTTAGGTAATGTTGCTAGGCAATACCGGTACCGAATAAAGCGAAGTATTATTCCGTAAGCGCCCGACTGCAAGCCTAGTCAGGAGAAGAAGGCCGCTGTTGGTGGTGGTGGGTTTTGTGATAGGCCAACGCCTTCTTCTCGATCGTATCAAGTTCGGCCTGGACGTAGTGTATCACGGGCTCGACTACCTGGTGCACCTAGCCCTTGTAAGGCTGGGGCCCGATCATAAGCTCCGGCTTGACTAGGGCGTCGAACTCTTCCGGCGTTAGGACGTTGAGCTCCACCGCGCTTTCTTTCAGGGTCAGTCCCTTCTTGTGCGCGTTCTTGGCGACCTTGGACGCCATGTCGTAACCGATCTTGGGGTTGAGGCAAGTAACAAGCATAAGACTAAAAAGTAGTAAATGTTAGCTAGTACTCGATTAATATGACAGTGGTGGCACCACTCGTGGGTTAGATAGACTGTAATAGTAATTGCGCCAACGAGAAATACACTGTTGGCGCGGCAATTTGTTTCTGAGAATTATGGTCCATTGTTCAAAAAAAAAAAAAAAAAAAGAAAGAAAGAAAGAAACTTACGATTGCTTCATAATGTTGGCAATCCTCTCCTCGTTGGCCTGGAGACCCTCGACGAGATTCTTCTCAAATGAGCGCATGCTATCGGACAGGATCCTCACGCTGTGTAGTAGGTTTCGGATGATAAGGGGCTTGTAGACGTTGAGCTCGAACTGGCCGTTCATTCCACCGATGGTTGTAGCGACGTGGTTACCCATGACTTGCGCGCAGACCATCGTCAAGGCCTCACACTGCGTGGGGTTGACCTTGCCGGGCATAATACTGGAACCCGGCTCGTTCTCCGGTAGGATTAGCTCGCCTAGACCGCAGCGGGGGCCGCTGCCAAGATAGCGGATATCTTGAGCGATCTTGGTAAGCGATGCAGCTAGGGTGTTGAGAGAACCGGAGGCCTGGACGATAGCGTCATGAGCGGCGAGGGCCTCGAACTTGTTCGGTGCTGTCTTGAACTCGGTGCCTGTCATCTTGCTAACTTCTTCGGCAATCGCCTCGGCAAAGCCTTCATAGGTGTTGATTCCCGTACCAACAGCAGTTCCGCCCTGGGCAAGCAGTCTCAGATCGGGTAAAGAGCTCTCGACGCGCTTGATACCGAAGTCCAGCTGAGCGACGTAACCCGAGAACTCTTGCGCTAAAGTCAGTGGCGTAGCATCCTGAAGATGAGTTCGTCCGATTTTGATGATTTTCTTGGCGTCGAATTCGTCCACCTTCTTCTGTAGCGCGTCTCGGAGGCTCTTGAGAGAGGGCAATAGCTGGCCCTCAATCTCCAGAACTGCGGCGATGTGCATGACAGTGGGGAAGGTGTCGTTCGAAGAAGCTGAGCGGTTGACGTGGTCATTCGGGTGAACGGGGTTCTTGGTGCCCTTGGTACCTCCGAGAATTTCAATGGCTCGGTTCGAGATAACTTCGTTGGCGTTCATGTTGGACTGAGTACCTGAGCCGGTTTGCCAGACAACGAGGGGGAAGTGGTCAATGAGCTTGAGGTCAGCCACCTCAGCGGCAGCTTGCTGGATAGCCTTGCCAATCTTCTCATCTGTAATAATATAGTCGCATCGTGTAAGCTAATACCCCACCATAGCATAATTAGGCAGGGAACAATGCGCTCCATGTGGGATTATGGCATACCAAGTCCATACCGCATGTTGACGGCGGCGGCAGCACCCTTCAGGATACCGAATGCCTTGATAATAGGAGGAGGCATTCGGTCCTGGGGCTGATTGATACGGAAGTTGGAGAGAGATCGCTCAGTTTGAGCTCCCCAGTACTTGTCGGCGGGGACTTGGATTTCACCAAAGGCATCGCTCTCGGTTCTTGTGTTGGCAGTCATTCTTATCGATGTAGCATGTAGGTTTCTCTGGAATTGTAGGGAATACGAAGGTTTGTTGGAGTTGTTGTAACTAGTGCGGAGAGATCTCGTGGTACAGGACGACGTGGAGGTGGTGTTGCATGTACAAAGCAGCCGAGGAGCAGTTCTCGGTCCAAGCAGGTTTCTAGCTTGGCTGCCGGCCGCAGCTCCTACCGATCGCAGCATGATTTTTCGGCACAAAGTAGCTTCCCCCAAAATCGATTGAGTGACCGAAGCTGCCAATTGGCTACAATACGTCAGATGACAGGTACAAGAAAAGGTTGATTGATCTGGTGAAAGGTTCGTTTAAAACTACTTACATAACCTGTTAGTACCTTAGGTATGGATAGTTTATGCTTTAGTAGGTAAGGATTGTGAAGAAGTTGGGGAAAATAAAAATGATACAAAAAGAAAAAAGAATAAGAAAAAAAAGCGCTCAATATTTTTTTGAAGCTGCTTCAGAATTCAATTCCACCTAACCGTCCGGAGTTCAGACGGGCGTAAACTTGTCCCGGGTTCCTATTTGCCGGCCCGTTTGCAAAATAGGAAACAGTAATCCAGTTCCATTCGACCATTTACTGCTACCTAACCTTACACTAAAACTGCGGGCCGGAAACACCCGATTGCGGTAAATAAAAAACATTACGGTTCTCCGGGATTCTATTGAATTGTACCTCCGTATTTATTACATAAGCGGTATGCACTATGTACACGTATTAATAAGGACATAAGGTCAAAAGTCAACAATAAAGTCTGAATAAAAGGGTTTTTTAAAAAAAAAGGGTGGGAATGCCCATTGTCAGAATCGAATCGAAACAAACCATAGCTAATAAAAAAAAAGTCGCAATGCAGTACCTAAAAAAATGACTGATGCGGATTATGAGTTATGAAGCAGATTTTGTTCCAACCAGAGCCATGATTATAAGTACAACCAGTACCGTATTTTTTTTGCAGCATAAGGAAGAGTCCACTCATTGGTAACCCATCTTCAACCGTCAACATCATCGCCTCTCCCCATCTCATATAGAAAAGAGGAAAGAAGGGCGGATGAAAAAGAAAGGAAAAGAAAAAGAAATAATCAGGATCATACAGTCTGGAGGTTTTCTGTTTTCTGGCATAGTATAGGTAACACTGCCGTATCCAGATTCCTCACAGTTGCGTATTCCAGGAATTTGTTCCCAAAGCATCCAAGCTATTCATCAACAAATGCCAAGGATGTAAAAGAGAAGAATGCCTCCCATTATAACACCGGTGTCGCCTGAAACTCCTTCAAGTTGATGCGCATTCATATCCCTAATAGGGACCAAAAACTTTTTTTTTTATTAGCAAGTTAATGTCACGAGTTGAGTGTCTTGATCATCATCTTGATCTTGTACTTGTCGACGATGAGTAGACCTCGTGCAAGGAAGATGTCGTCCATAGTATCTATCACCTTATTGAAAGTAGAAGCTGCCCCACGTTCTTGTGTGAATCGAACAATGCAGAGCTGATTACGTCTGCCGTGTTCGATGACAGTCATGATCTCTGCTGCAAATGAAGCTTCCTTCAAGTCGAGATCTGTGCACGGGATACCATTAGTTGCCGCTGTTTCGTGGAAAGCACCGAGTATATCACTTACCATTTTTGTTAGCAACTCGTGCAAAGACAAGGTTACGTTCCTTGTCAACCACAACGTCCCTCATGCCGTGGCGACGCCACTCCCTCAGCAAAAAGACGATTTCTTGTCTTACACGGTGACGGGGAATAGAGAAGCAAAGATATCTAGTTGCTGGCTTAACTCGGAACAGGCGAGCCAACCAATTCTGCTGCGGTTCAATGTTGCGGTTTCCAGAGGGTTTCTCTTGCGACGCCTTGGTCTGTAGTCGATGAGATGAACGACTGGATGCTCGAGGAGTCTCAGGGTTAGAATGATCCTCGATCTCGGGACCTATACTTGCAATTAGTTTACACGGTAGAGTCAAGTTAAACAAAAAAGCATACCTGCAAGCGAGACTTTAAACTGAGGTTGCTCTTTGTTTCCACGCCAGAAAGCGAAGGGAAAGCTCCTCTTCTTCGTTGGCGGTGCAATTGCAGGAGCCGATGAATTGGTTTCTGCGTGGTCGGGACCATCAATGTTCCCGCAAGTCGAGCCATCGGCTGATTCAGGTTTCTCTTTAGAGCTGCGCTTGAACCAGGAAGATTTCTTCTTAATCGTGGACGTAGAATCTGTTCTAGCTGGTCCAGTCGGCATGGTGGACTCGTTGGTGTTCGGCGCTTTCATTTCATCTTCTACATATTGCTCGCGGAGAGTAAGTCCTTGTCGCGCCTGTGGAATCTCCTTCACGATATTAGACAACTCCTTGCGGTTGTTAGGAAAGGTGGGAACCACGATTTTATGTGGCCGATTAGATGGAGAATCGACCAGGCGTATCGTGTCCACAGTTTGGGCCAAATTTTCCAACTCAGCCCCTTCCTCAGCTGGCGCATAATGAGCCGACGAGACTTCTGCAGGTGCGGAAACAACTCTCATCTTATCCCCATCTCCAAACGAGTCATCTTCCTTTACACCCTCGTTAATAGCTGGTAAGGGTATTCTATCTTTACCCCATTGCGTGCTGTACTGCGAGTAGATTGGAGCCGATACGATTCTACGCTCTGCTCCTACCTGCTCAAAGGGTCTAACAGACTGACCAAGTCGCTTGAATTGGGAATCAATCTTGTTTACCTCTCCTGCAGATTCGGGCATACTCTCCTGGACTCGGTCGGTCTTCAGCGTTGCATACCCACGGATGTCTAACCCTTTCGAAGTCGTAGGTAGTGGCCAGGATTCTCGTGGCTGTGCGTTACCTCTTATTTCTCCAGTTACTTGAGAGATTGGGGTAGGTGTGCTGGTGGAAGTCAAGATAGTTTGTGTCTCTGGTAACGAAGACTCGCCCAGGTATGACTCTCGACTTAGCAGGGTACTGTTGAAGGCCTCGTCGCAGTCCTTCGCAATAGTATTGCTGAAGTGGCGTAGCTCTTCGTTCCAGCATAAGCCTTCGTCTTTAGTCTTGGAACCTTCGTGGGGTTGTGTGCCTGATCGAATTCCCTCACGGTTCTTCGATAGCCTATTCCTCTTCTTAGGACCGGTAGGGGTTGAAGGCATTTGCTCATTCGGTGTGCTGTGTACCATGATATTGGTGCGGCTACTTTCTATATCGCTCTGACTGGCCAATTGCTTATGAGCCCGCGAGAAGTCGACCCCACGCTTGCGACGCGAAGCTGACCGTTTGTAAGAAATCTCCTCGCCACTTTGGATCGAATTCAAAGAACGCCGTGAGCCACGTAGAGTAGGGTGGGCTTTTGCGTGCTTCCCACCTGTACCACGTCGTGAATATGTAGAGTTGGTTCTGACTGACCTACTACGTACGCTTGGAGCTTGGGAGTTCCGAGTAGACGTAGTACCATTGCGGTGGACGACAATCTTTGCCTGACTGGCCACTACATCGTCCAGAATACGGGATGATTTATACGGATCGTAACTTTGAATGGTAGAACCGCAATCTGTAGAAGCTCTCTCGAGAGGCTCGCCATTCTCATCAGTCGCAATATTAGAGATGACGGTGAAGCGCGACATAGATCGTCCATTCTTGGCAGGGAAGTCTAGGGTTGTGTACTTTTTTGTCCAGTTTGGAGGCTGCAAGTGATGGTAGTCGCTTGCGGAATGCGTCAATTCATTCCCGTAGTTCTCCAGTCTCTTTTCCCTGTAACTGTAAAGGAGCCAATAAAACGTCTTGAACTCATTGGGCCTGTTGACCAAGTTAGTAGAGCGAATATGATCAGTATTAATTGAACTTACTCGGGGCTCACTAGTTTTGATGCTAGTTGCTTTTCGTCAAACGTATGCCACACAGACTTCAATTGTCTCAAAGTCTGCATATCGAGCTCCTCAACTGGTACCGGATCATACCGAGTATCCCGTGAATAGACATGTGCACGGTCCCCTTTATTCAGGTTATCTAGATAATCATACCGACGAAGTAAAGGGTGCTGCCAAATCTCTCGTATGGATATGCGCTGGTCTGGGTTTACTGTCAATAGTCTCCCGATCAGGTTCCGGGCTTCACGGCCGATGAAAGAAGGCACATGATACTGGCCTCTTTTGATTTTCGCCAGCAGTTGATGAACATTGTCGTCCTCGAAAGGGTGAACGTTGCACATGCAAGCATACAGTATGACTCCAAGGCTCCACAGATCAGTCTTGTCACCTCGATAGTAGCTTCGGTTCATAAGTTCAGGAGCAGCGTAATGCGGGCTTCCACAGGCCGTCTTCAGTAGGTGATTAGGTCCTTGATGCATAGCCGACATGCCGAAGTCGGTGACCTTGATCCGGTAGTCCTTGGTGAGAAGAATGTTCTCCGGCTTCAGATCACGGTGGCATATGTTGAAAGAGTGGACATATTCCAAAGCGTCGAGTATCTGCCGGAAGAAGTACATTGTCTCATCTTCAGCTAGAGGGCCAGCTCTAGTAAGGTAGCTGTAGAGGTCCCCTTGCTCTACGTACTCGAGGACAAGGTAACTGCGTCTAATATCAGTAACTGAACCTTGAAGGATTTGGAACTTTACATACATTTCCGATCGGTTTTCCCAAATATCATAAAGCTTCACTATATTCGGGTGTTCGATAAGCTTCATGATAGCTACTTCCCTTTCGATCACGAAGGGAATGCGATTCTCCGACTTGAACTCAGCGCGGGTGCGATCCCATCTGTCGAGAGCGGCTATGCTTCCCGGCTGCATCATCGGATTGCCGTTCCTTGAGAGGATCTTTACGGCGGCTAACTGATTGGTAACATTGTGTCTAACCAACCGAACCCGAGCAGCCGAACCGTTGCCCAAAGTCTTTCCGAGCTTCCAGGGCCCAATATGGGTTTTACGGCGCTCGCCGTTAGAGGTTGTCACCGTAATTGTTGAAGCTTGGGAGTTGCGCTTGTTGTCTGTGGGGTTCTGCAGAATGATCGGAGCGCGAGACTTGGTCTTAGCAGGCGCTCGCGGGTTGTCATGCTTTGAAGTAGCGCTTGCGTCTAAGCTGGTATGTTGACGCGCCGAATTGGTGGGGTGAGCTCTCAGAGGGTTAGGTTGGGGAGCCTGAGCCTGAACTTGAGTTTGTTTGGTTGAATGCGTCGATGATGTATTGTTTATGCGAGAAGTGGCATCACCTAGCGGAGCGCGGGAGGGCCGGGAAGGCCGAGAGGCCCGAGAGGTCGGTCTACGATAATCGGCCATGTCGAAGAAATACTCAGATCATATTTTTCCTAATTGGATTACAAGTAACCAACTGGAAAGATAATGAACATGAAATAATAGTATGCTACAGTGAGTAGGTCGCCTTGGAGCACAACAAAGTGTGGACAGAGAACGACTTTGACGATGTAGTAATGCGCATGAAGATGAGAGAATACGCGACGAGAAAAGACACCTATGAGGATGCGAAGTGATATGCACAAGTTCGCGCCAGGCGGACCAAAAACAAGCGTGTCAAGTTCTGCCAAATGGATGCAAATATCATAAAGCCTTGAAACCTTGGAAGGTGGCGAGAGACTTCATGCAGTTCGGTGCAGGCTGCAGCAGCACTTGGAAGAACAAAGTTGTATGAATGTAATTTGGTAGAAGAAAATGAGCCGCGGGTCAGTTGGCAGGGTGGAATATGCTGCTCAAGCTGAGGGATGGGAATGTTTGATGCGCGAAGTGTAGGAAAGATGAATGTGATTTGATTACTAGGTTAGGTATTTTAAAGAAAAGGCGACGAAAGCCCTTAGGTACCTCTAATGTATCTATCTCTAAGACATAAGAATAAGACACTGTGGGATACCGTAGTGATGCGTTCACTTATCACCCAGGTTACCTGTACTTTAGGTATATATGTACTAGGTAACAGGTATCGATATAAGTGTTGCCCTAGCGCCCTTCTACCAAGTCTACAATTCTACACATGTGCAGGTGCTCAACTCCGTACCTGACTTATGTGCCTATTTCCACAACTTATCTCCCCCACCTGCCACCTTCCACATCGAAGTTGCATTAGGTATTCTCAACAAAGGCCGCATGGAGTGAATGCAATTCTTATCGAGCATCTCCTAGCAACTAGAAGATAAAACATCAGACTAATCTAAGATAAGGTACGATACAAAGGGGAATAAATACATAAACTTACCTTAGGTAGGTACCTAAGGTACATGTTGCTATTAGCTGCATCTGGTAAAAACAGACTTGATACCATGAAATAACTGCTGCACAATTAAACTACGGAATACCTACTGACAAAATCAATTATACAAAAAAAATTAGTAAGAATATTCTTGGGACGATTATTTACTGTACATTAGATGACTTACCGAGATATAAGGTACGATATTAAAAGAAAAGAGAGAGGGAGAAAAGGGAGAGATTTCTCGTGGATTTAGGTACCTAAAGCTGACTACAAGATATGTCGTTGACAATCGCAAGGGATTGCAGGGATGAGTTTTGGTGGATAAATAAATTCGAGCCTCAGGGACCTAGCTTACCTACAGGCTACCCCCTCGTTAAGAAGTACCTTGTATATTGCCTAATTAGGTAATTTCTTATTTAAGTTTAAGTGCTCCCCACTAAGAGGAACGCGTCTACTTTTATGGTAGTACGTAAAGCAAACCGCGTCTTTTAGCTCACGGAATTTATCACACAAACGCATCAACTACCATTAATTCCCACCAAGTCAAAACCTATCCCCAGAATTAATAAATAACACTTACGCACGCAAAAGAGAGTCTCCACCCCAAGAGCTCACCTCTGAAATGACCTATTAAACCCGATCACTCTAACGTCCGCTCCAATCTACCCTCGGTTCCTGATTGTCTACCTACCTAGAGGTACCCACATCCAACCATGGCCTCTCTAGAACCCCGCCGTCGACCGAGAGCTCGGTTCGAAGAAGAGAACGACGAATCTTCACTATCGGAATCGCCGAAACGGCAACGGCTTGATACAAATGGAACCTTATCGGATGAGGACGGGAATGATCAAAGTGACGATGGTGATTTGCCGCGGGGACGGGTTAAGAGTTCACCTAGTAGCACAGGAGAATTTCAAACTGGTGCTATAGTCAGAGTTTTGGTCGAGGATTTCGTTACCTACGAACATGCCGAGTTCAATCCTGGCCCAAATCTCAACATGGTCATCGGCCCTAACGGCACTGGCAAGAGTTCCCTAGTATGCGCAATCTGCCTTGGTTTAGGTTTCCACCCGAGACATCTCGGCCGGGCAAGCAACTTGGGAGAGTTTGTAAAACATGGGAAAGAGACTGCTATAGTGGAGATCGAATTACAAGGCCAACCAGGCGAGCTATCCAACCATGTAATTCGACTACAGATCCGTAAAGAAGACAACAAGACGAAGTGGTGGATTAATGGGAAAGAGAGTACACATAGTGCTGTTAAGGCCCTTACGAACAGTTTGCGCATTCAAATCGATAACCTATGCCAATTTCTGCCTCAGGATAGGGTTGCCGAATTTGCCGGTCTCACTCCTGTACAACTTCTCCACGAGACCCTACGAGCTGCTGCGCCCGAAGAGATGATCACTTGGCACAACCAACTGAAGGAGCTGCACAAGAAACATAAAGAGGTCAAAGGTAGACTTGATGCGTGCGCCGAGACTTTGAAAGGTCACGAGACACGCCAACAAGGATCGCAGGCCGACGTAGATAGATTGCGGGAAAGAGAAGCAATCCAGAAGAAGATACAAGACCTCCAGAGCGCCCGCGCTATTGCTGAATATAACCATCTTCGTCGCATGGTAACCGAAGCGAAGGAAAAAACCAGAGAGGCTACAAACAGGCTGCAAGAGCTGGAACAAGCCTGTGGACCTGCCTTGCAGGCTGTTAATCGAAAGCAAGAGTATCGGCAACGGATCGAGGCCGTAGTCGCAGAGCGAAAGAACGCGCTGAAGCATGCCGAGAGCGCATGTGACCGACTTATGCAAAATCTCGAAGCACAGGAAGAACAAATCAAGCATCTCCAAAATAAGAAGAATGCGGAGGAAGGATCTCATAGCTCCAAGAGAGCTGATCTTGGGAAAATTCGCAGAACAATCACGGATCTCGAGGCTAAACTGCAGAATAAGCCACCCGAGTTTGTTGCTTCTGATTGGAATCAGAGAATCGTAAGTGACAGCACCGTTATCTTTCACAATTCTCTATTGCTGATACTTGCCAACCTAGCGGCAACAAGAGCATATAATGCGCGAGAATGAAGCAGAGAGGCGTACATTGCGCGAGCAGTTTGACGAGCTGAAGACTCGAAGTAATAGGCAGAGACAAGAGAAGGAGCAGCGTGAGAAGGACTTAGCAGCACTAAACTCCCAAGAGGGTCAGAAGCTTGTTCATCTAAGAAAGGTCCACCCAGATGCCGCAAAGGGCTGGGAATGGCTCCAGGAAAATCAAAATGAATTCGAGAAAGAAGTCTTTGGTCCGCCGATGCTCAACTGCTCCATCACAAACCAGCAGTACTCGGACCAAATCCAGGCTCTCCTAGCTACGGAAGACTTCTTTTGCTTTACCTGTCAAACCCGTAACGACCACAAGAAACTGAGCGCACAGTTTTTTGGGAAGCTAGGCATTTCGGTGACGATCAGGACTTGTGGTAGCGATTTCTCTTCGTTTCGACCGGTCATCCCTACAGAACAAATTCGGGCGATGGGTCTTGACGCATATGCTATCGAGTATCTAGAAGGTCCGGAGCCCGTCCTCGCGATGCTCTGTTCCGAAAAGAGATTACATACATCCGGGGTTGCTCTTCGGGATATCAGTAATGACCAATATGAGCTTATAGCAAGCCGTGACGGGATACATAGTTGGGCTTGTGGCCCACTGATGTATCGAATTACGAGACGCAAAGAATATGGCAACGCAGTCTCAACCACCACAAGAAAAATTCAACCGGGTCGCTTCTGGACAGATCAGCCTGTGGATCAAGCTGAAAGAACCGCACTGCAAAGGCGTATTGACGAAGCGAATGAAGAGTACGAGGAGATTCAAAGACAAGGGTCACAAATCAAGACACGTATCGCAGAAATAGGGGAGTCTGAAAAGCCGATCCGTGACAAGATAGTGAGTCATTCATCTCTTCTAACTTAAAGATATATAGTCTACAACTCTAACAACTCTAAAGGAATTATTGAGGAAAGAGAAGAACGAGTTGCAGAAAGCTGCCACACAATATGCAACTCTTGGAGATAAAATCGGTAAGTAGATTCCATCTGACGTATAGCAGCGCTAGCTAATGAAAATCGTAGCAACCGAGAAGAGAGCCCTAGAGAGCACACAGAAAGACCTTGCGGATTGCCGGAAGCGGATATTCGAGTATAGCGCCCAAGAGGATCAGCTTATCCTCGAAAAGGCTCGGTCTGCTCTAAAACACAAGGAGCAGCTTTCTCAGATTCGCGACGCCCACCAAGCGCTGCTAGAGGCTCAGATCCGCCTCATTGAAGCCCAATCGGACGTGAAGGGTTTAGAAGAGCAGAACGCCAGCATCAAACGACAGCTCGATGAAAAGAAGGACGAGATTGCCAATGCTAAAGCCGAAGCGGAAAGGATGAGAGCCGCAGCAGCAGTTGCAAGAGCTAAAGTGGTAGAGGCCGTCGGTGAGGGTGGTTCTGAGCGGCTTGCTTATCTGACTAGTTTGGTGGAGGATAAAACCACAGAAGATGTCGAACATGAGATCGGTGCCGAGTCTACTAAACTCGAACTGATCCATGGGGTCGACCCGGCGATCCTTCGGCAGTACGAGAAGCGTGCGCAGGAAATCGAGGACCTGACGCGCAAGAAGGAAGAACTAAACGCGAAGCTCGAGTCGTACGTAAGGAGGATCACGCATATCATGGAACAATGGGAGCCCGGCGTGGATGGCGTCATCGGCAAGATCAACGACGCTTTTAGCTACAACTTCGAGCAGATCAACTGCGCGGGCGAGGTCAACATTCACAAGGACGAGGACTTTGAACAGTGGGCCATCGAGATCAAGGTCAAATTCCGGTAAGTTCTTTTTCCATGTTCAAGACAACCTCTATCCATTTTTCTTTGCATTTCATTACCATCCAGAAAAGAAAATTGTAAGCTATGCTAACATCCTCCCAGCGAAAACGAAACCCTCCAACAACTAAACCAGCACCGTCAATCGGGCGGCGAGCGAGCCGTGTCGACGATATTCTACCTGATGGCGCTGCAGAGCATGGCACAGGCGCCGTTCCGGGTGGTGGACGAGATTAATCAGGGCATGGACCCGCGCAACGAGCGCATGGTGCACGAGCGCATGGTCGAGATCGCCTGCCGCGAGCACACGAGCCAGTACTTCCTCATCACTCCCAAGCTGCTCACCGGCCTGCGCTACGACGAGCGCATGCGCGTCCTGTGCATCGCCTCCGGCGAACACATGCCCCCCGCCGAGGATGCCAAGAAGCTCGACTTCGCGAACTTGGTTAAGATTCAGAGGAGGTTGGTCGCTTCTGCAGCGTAGATCACGAGGGCCTTGAGAAGAAGCGAGAGGGTTCGAGTTGGGCTGTGTTTGTTCTGGGTATTTTACCTGAGGTTAGGCTAGGTACCTAGAATATCCCCCCAACACTTAATTACGGTCGTGATTTAGGTGTTACGTACCAGGTACCCAAGGTACTCAACATGTATTCTGTGTATTTCCGAGGCACCTTGCCCAGCATATGGAAGAAGAAACACATGAAAAGTACCTAGTACCTCTTAATCCACCAATGTCATTGTAGGAGTTTTCTCTAGGACGGATACCTAGATGGTAATGGTAGGCATAGGTCAGGTAATTAAAAGCCAAAGGAGTAATGAGTGAGTGAGCAAAACAAAAAGGAGGAAGGTTGGCGAAAGGAATAGATGGATTCATGTTATGAATGTATTCCCCCGGGATAGGCTACATTTCCCCAGGTAGCTTAACTACCTCGTTTCGTACCTAACTAAACTAAAGATACCAATGCACTTGTTTACTTAGTATACAGGTATGTAAGCGAGAGGGAGCGGGGGAGTGATGCTTCTGCTTGGACTAGGTATGTAATAAATGCTTACAGAACTTGATATTGTACTATCCCTTCCTCCCGTAGCATGATCTAGAAGGATCAAAGTCAGCAAAATACAACTGGAAGGGATAAATACCTAATATAACAGATATGTGTTCAAATTATACGATTAATATTATATATACGTCAGGTACTCGGGGGTATCTAAGTATGCAGATACAGTCACTTTCACACTGCCTTCATACAAAATCCCCTCGATCACATCTCCGTTTTCCCATCCTACATATTCCTCAGAATATCCAAGACGCCTTTCACCTTCCCCGCGAGCGTAAGCGCGTACCCGACGCCCACGACGCCCTTAGCGAATCTCCACCCGCGCTCCTGGCTCCCGACGGGGTACCGCACGGGCGGCGGGATCGAAGTCCGTATCCCTAAGAACGCGAACCGGTCCTCGCATACGCTCTTCAGATTGCAGAGGCCCCGAAGACCCTCCTCGGCCGCGAAGCGTCCGTATCCGGACCCGCCGACGCCGCCGAACGGGAGCTGCACGGCGTAGAACACCGCGAAGTCGTTAACGGCGACACCGCCTGCGCGCACGCCGCGGACGACTTCCTTGAGTACCGGGTCCGAATCGCGTCCGTAGACGGAGGCACCCAGACCGAAGTCTGGCGCGTTAGCCAATCGTAGGAGATCAGTGGCGCTGGACGAAGGGGACCGGAGGATGGTCATGATCGGCCCGAAACACTCTTCCTTCGCGATTGACATGTCGGGCGTCACGTCTACAAGAAGCGTCGGTTGGAAGTAGAAGCCCTTCGGGTGATCGGGATGTACGTATCGGGTACCACCAGCAAGGAGTCGCGCACCATTCTCTACGGCGTCTTTGACTAAATTTTCAAGTCTAGTGAAAGAGGCGTCTGAGACCATAGCGCCAACATCTTTATCGAGACCGAGACGTAGGGCTTTAACGCGAGGTTCGAGCATAGCCACAAGTTGGTCGTAAACACCGGGTGCAGCGATGATTCGCTCAATACCAATGCAATTCTGTCCCGAAGCTTGGAAAGTTCCACGCAATAGTGTCTCCACAATCCGCTTGAGGTCGGATTTAGCTGAGTCGAGGATAATGGCAGCATCTTTGCCGCCGAGTTCCGCGACCAAAGGGATAAGACTTTTGGCTGCGCTTGAGGCAACATGATGACATACAGGCCGGCTACCAATGAAGGTAAGGTGACTGATACCAGGATGGCTCGTTAGATGTCCAGCGGTTTGGGGCCAGCATACAACGCTCTGTATTAACTGGGGATCATGACCATGTGCTACTAACGCACCCCTTGCAATGCTTGTGTAGTATGCGGCACTCCAGCATGTCTGCTCGCTAACTTTCACAACAATACCGTTCCCAGCAAAGATAGCACTGATGATGGGACCCATCAGATTGTGAAAGGGGTAATTCCAGCTGACCAGAGCCGCCACGACACCCAAGGGTTCGTACTGAACCGTGTTTTTCTTATATGCCATAAGCAAGTTTGTCGGGCGTCGGCTCGGACGCAGAGCCTTCTCGCCATGCTTGATGGTCCATTCCAATTTCTCAGCTGTGACCATAATCTCACCTAGCTGTGCATCCAGCATAGTCTTGCCCGAATCCAGAGAGCTTACTTGGCATATCTGTTCCTGATTGTCGAGTACATGCTGCAGCATAGTTCGCAACACTTTCCTCCGTTCGCTAAACGTAGTCTTGGCCCATTGCTCCTGTGCCGCTGCTGACTGGGCAATGGCACGATCGATGCCGTCGGGCGTAGAAGGGTTCACGAAGCCGAGGAATTGGCCTGTCGCCGGGGCGTAGCATTGGATGGCGGTTGTGCCGGAGACTTTGACGGTGGGATTGTCGAGGATCTTTATTTCATCTGACTTCTTCGGGGCCGGGACGGTGTACCGCTTTGGTTTATCCCAATAGTCCGTATGAGTGTTATAGAGGATAAGGCCACCAACAATAGCGAAGATGATGGGGAAAGCGGCGAAGGTGAATTCTTTAATGCTGTGTATGAATTATTTATGAGCTGACCGCCAGTGAGAAGGACAGTGAGAAGGACATTATCAGAATAGTTTAAGTAAGTAAGAGAGACGTACGGGAACCCTCGTATGAGAGTACTGAATTCGTTGACCCATTGAGCGAGGTCTTTTGCCGCCATTTTTCATATACCGTGTCCTACCACTTCCTGGTCGAGTGAAGATATCATCATATAGTTGGTATGTGACTTATCCAAGTGACATTTGACATGATCTCCCCGGGGCCTAGGGGAAGTTGTTCAATTACAAGATAGAATCGTACCACCTGGTCAACGAACTGAAGCTCCGTTTTATTTATTTGTTAGTTATCGATAACCCCTGGTTCCTGCATTCGATCAATTCGACAGGGATAAGAGCTATCCACACTAACCTTAGGTACCTAGGTACGTACAGAGTATAGCTTATCGATATAAGATACGTCCTTGGTTGTCACATGATAACTGTATAACCCCACGTTTTAGTGAGGTAGCTCTTATTGAGTCATTCCTCAATTAACACTCTTTTTTTTTCGGGCTGAACGCGGGGCACCAAGGCAATGCTGCGTGCGCTCTATAGAGGAAACAGGCTAATAATAACTTCAACTTTTCTCAGGGCATCATTGTTTACCACCAGAACATTGTTCACCCCTTCAAGCCCTCTATTTCAATTACAATCGTCTGTTCACCAAGATCGCCCCTCTGCCGAAATTGGCGACATGGCTTCCAAAGAGGCCAAGATATCCTTGAAGGCGCCCAAGGGTACACGCGACTGGTCTGGCGCAGATCTTCTCCTCCGAGATCATGTCTTGTACGTTTCGGCCGTTGCTATTTGCGCCAACCGTCTATTAATATAGTATGCAGCGAGACTATTAGCAATATCTTTAAACTCCACGGTGGCACCCCCCTCGACACTCCGGTATTCGAATTAAAGGAAATTTTAGCTGGCAAATATGGCGAGGAGGCCCGTCTGATATATAACCTCGAAGATCAAGGAGGCGAATTATGCGCTCTACGTTACGATTTAACCGTACCTTTCGCCCGTTGGCTGGCCATGAACAATGTTCAGCAGATCAAGCGCTACCAGATCGCTAAGGTCTACCGTCGCGACCAACCGGCCATCGCCCGAGGAAGGATGCGCGAGTTCTACCAGTGCGATTTTGATATCGCCGGATCTTACGACCCTATAATCCCCGACGCGGAGATCCTACGTGTCATCGTCGAAACCTTCGATGCCCTCGGGCTCGACATCACCATCAAGACCAATCACAGACGAATCCTCGACGGCATATTCTCCGTCGCAGGTGTTCCCGCAGATAAGATACGCCCGATTAGTTCAGCGGTAGATAAGCTGGATAAGGAACCGTGGGAGGCCGTTAAGAAGGAGATGGTGGAACAAAAGGGTCTCCCCGAAGAAGTTGCCGATAAAATTGGTGTGTTCGTGCTAAATCGCGGTACTATCGACGAGATGATAGAATTTATCAAGGCCGACCCGAACCTCTCGTCCAACGAGGAGATAAAGGCAGGTCTTGCCGACATGGATCTCCTCTCTACTTATTCCAAAGAACTAGGCACCTTTGACAAAGTCTCCTTCGACCTATCACTTGCGCGAGGCCTAGACTACTACACGGGTTTGATCTTCGAGGTTATTCAAAAACCCGCCGAGACGAAGGACAAGGACGGCACGCGATATCCGGAGAAGTCGTCCAAGAACGACGATGCTTCAGCCGTAGGTAGCATTGCTGCGGGTGGCCGATACGACAACCTAGTCGGCATGTACGGCAAGAAGCAGATCCCCTGCGTGGGTATCTCTTTCGGCGTCGACCGAATCTTCACCATACTAAAGGCGCGGCGCGGGGATAAAGAAAACCGATCGCGCCAAGTCGACGTATACATCATGGCGTTCGGCGGTAAGGAGTTCAACGGCCTGCTTCTCGAGCGCATGTCGGTCGCGCGGCAGCTCTGGGAGGCCGGCATCCGCGCCGAGTTCAGCGCCAAGGTCAAGCCCCGTCTGCCGCAACAGTTCAAGGCTTCCGAGGACGTACCACTAGGTGTTATCCTAGGCCAGGACGAGATTGCGGAGGGCAAAGTGCGACTGAAGGTTCTGGGAACTGGTAAGGGTGGAAAGGGGGACGAGAAGGATGAGAAGGACCAGGGCCAGCTGGTCTCGAGAGAGAATCTGGTCGAGGAGGTCAAGAAGTTATTGCAGACGCAGACTCACATCCTTCCGATAAGGTGAATTTTGGGAGGTACTTAATATGCCCCTGCCCACACAAACGGTAAAAAATTAGAACAAGTTAAAAAAGAAAAAGAAATTGCCTGGAATTGGTTGGTTTTAGAGCTCACTGGTGAAATGAAATGATTGTATGGGGGGTTTGGGACTTGAATCGAGAGTAATGCCAAGGAGCTGTCACCGGATTTATCGCCAGGTGGTCGAATAGTAAGTTTATTAGATCAATTACCCTTGCTAATGGGTCTGCTATGAATTAGTCGCCGAATATCTCGAGTCGTATATACCATCTCACCGCTCGTCGCTATACTATATGCACCAACTGTATTGCTTTCCCCTCGTCGATATGTACTCTATTTACCGTCTCCACGGAGCACCAAAACAATGTCCAAGACGCCTAGCTGACTATTCATTACCTTAGGTACCTGATATACAACACATACAATAAAAGTACATCCCAAGTGCCCTCTTCTCGTCATTAGGTTATTACCTGCGCAGTTCGCTGTTAGCACAGAAGGTCTGATAGGGTGTGAGCGTGACTTACAAAGTCCGTGATGTGCATACCATCCATAATTATATTAACACGTTAAATGGATCATATGTAAAAGTAAAATCCGGCACATAAAGCTCGAGAGCCCCCCGCAAGTCATCTTGTTCTGTGATTCGAGAAACCCCGATCATTCTGTACTTCCTTATAGTGATGAGAATGGGGTTTGTAACGAAAGTTGTAAGTTCCTGGCATGTTTCCGTTTTTTCGTCTGTCACGCCCAAAGTAACCCCCCCCCCCAATATATCGTGGCTCGAATATACTCTTTCTCACGGCGGAAGCGAGGCTTTCGGTTGCGGTGCCCCTTCCGACTCGGCCGGCTGGGTAATAGGAAGGTCGAGAACGGGGATATCCGCAATAGAAGCAGCATCGAGATCATGCGAAATGACAATTGCGGGGGAGCCCTGGCTGTTCGTTATGGTGGTAATAGACGCGGCCGGCGAAGCCGGCTGCACAGCGCGCGAAGAGCCGGGGTGGAATACAGGGACTTCGAGGGTATCCCGTCGTTGTCGTGTCCTGCCTCTCGTCTGCCCGGCTGATGAGGATGCTTCTGAAGATTGTACGTCGAACGAACTCTGGCCAGCTGGTAGCGTGTCCGAGTGCCGGACCCCGACTCCGTGGATAGAAGGCGACGGAGACGAGGACCGCGACGGCAGCGCGTGGGGTGCTGATATCGCGCGGGTCATGGTCGGGCTTCCTCCTTCCGTACTGCGTCTGGAAGCGGAAACAGAAATAATACTTCCGACGAAGCTACCCGCTCTCGACGGGCGTATACTAGCATCCTCGTCCTCGTCGTGGTGCTGATTATACGCTTTCCGCACCTGGGACAGGTTCGGGTTGCGCTTGTCTTCCGCCGGGATCTCGGGGAAGTCCGTCGCCTTCCCGTGCTTGAACTCGGAGTAGTCGAACCGGTCTTCGGACGCCGTGCCGAGGTATTCCGCCGCGGATAGGAGCGCGTTGTACACTTTGCGCCTGTTGCCTATGTCGGTTTCCGATGGCCGGGTTTCTGTGGGTGCAAGATCGGTGGGGGTTTCTTTTCTGCTGTTGCAAGAGCTGCTTCGAATGTGGGCTAGACTCGGGGGCGCGGTAGAGTGGGAGGAATTAATGACCATGCCACCATTCATACTCTCTTGCATGGAGGATGAGCTTATTGAAATATGCTCCGAATGGGCAATGGTATCATCGTTTGTGCGTTCGGCAACCTCACTATCTGGAAAAGAGCTGGACCCAAGCCTAGTAGGCGAATTTGAATCTTGATCATTATTAAAATGATGACGGGAACAATTGCAATGGTGAGTAGAGGTTTTCATGTTCGCATCCCTTTTCACAGCTTCTAAATCCACCGCCATAAGCATGTAAAGAGATCCCAATGCCGCAAGCAAGGTACCGACAAGGGGTGCCCACTATTCGGAATGTCCCAGTTAGTAAAATGTCTTTAGTTTAGGTAAATATGCAAACTCAGGTTGAGCTTGTAAACAGAGTGGCAGAGGAATTTGTGATTTGGGTGATAAATTCCGACTTGAAGTAAAGAGAATTTCGTCACTAACCTGTCCTATGCTATTTATTGGTTCAGTTTGGTATTGGACTTGCGGAGTGAAGAAGTTCCATTCGCCAAAGATAATGATTGCAACTACTGCAGCGCTAAACAGAGGGATCTCTAGAGTGCTTAGGAAAAGCCTCACCACGGAATTGACTTTACTCATTCCCTCGTCTGTGGCGCCGTTCGTGCTATTAGAAACGCTTCGTATTAGTAACAGACGTCTTTGAGTGAAAGAAGTTCCTATAGATAGTCTAAGTCGATAATAGCTACTTGTGTTATAAGGCTATGATACTACGAGGAGTAACACGGGGGTAGCAGTTTGGGGGGGGGGGGAGGGGGTTCTAACCCTTCAATCAGCTCATCTGCTTTTGCTGAACCGAATCTTGACTTCCAGTTAATCTCAAGGATCTTGTTCCACATGGATACGAGCGAGAGGACAGCGGGGATGCAGCAAGCTGCTGCAAGTAGTGTAACGGCGTCGAATGCAAGTCTATTCGGTGCTGGTATGACATAAATCTCATCTGTAGCATCTTTCCGTAGAGGGGACCAAGGTCCCTTCTCGATGGAGCAGGTGAGGTTACAAGAGGCATTGTCGTAAGGGAAGTTTCTGTAATCACCAATAGGAATAGGGTTACCTGACTCGTCGTGCGTGCAAGGTGATGTTGTAGTCCGGAAGAATTCGACTGTTAAGCTGAGCAGTCCTTCTTCTGTAAGCATAATCCAGACTTGGGAGTTTAAAGGGGGGTACGTGGTACTTACCGGCGAGAACGATCCCGGTCCAGAGAAAGATTATGTTTCGACCCGGATTTTCAAAATACGTCCGGGATATCCTGACTGACAATGGAGCCGCTAGTATTCCAATCGAGCAAAACTGGAAGGCCCCATAGATGTCCATATCTACGGCATCTAAGGTAGCACACTGTTAGTTACTTGGTATGGGGCTCTGATTCGATATGCTGAATACTCACTATCCACATGTACTGCAGCAAGAACGATGCCATGAATAGCAGCGACGGCGGGGAAAACCACTATAGCACGTCGTGTTAGTTATTGTCGATAGCATGCTTGAAGTCGTATAAGTGCTTCGGTTACTAGAAGTGGATCTTCTTAAGAATCTCCGATATGTGGATTGACAAAGGACTAGAGGTGAAAACACATACATGCGGCGGCTAGGCAAGCGTTCCTGAGCCATTCTGCTTTCCGAGCAAAGACGCAGGCTGCTACAAGAACATAGTACCTACAAAGGAATTGTCAATTAGTTTGAAGCTACAGTTAAATGATGATGATAATGCTATAGACATCTCCGCTCAAGTTGGATATAACTTACAGGACCCTCGACCCCGGGCCATACTGCCCTGACACTGGCCAGGCGCAGACAACCCGAACAACATTTTCTACGTTCGTACTATTGGTAGTATTGGAGGCTAGGGCAACGGTAGATTCGAGCGTTACATTCCGACTAGCAATAGTTTCCAACAGTGAAGTCGGAGGAAGCGCTGGCATGACCTAGGAAAGACGGCTCCGAACGGAGTAAGGAGTAAATCGACTTGTTAATCACATTCGTGTTATCTGAGTTCCGGAGGTATTGCAGAGGAGAAATGTTCCATCTTGAACTTTTAAAAGCGTGATTTTGTAGATAGGTAATTTAGCTGAGAGCTAGGACAGATGGAAGCAAAGCATGTAAGCGAAGGGGCAGAGTAGGCCTTCAAATGAATCGAACGTCCTGCAGATTCAAAGGTAACTAACCTAGGAAACATAAAAGTAGGGCTAACGTAACGACGCGTAAACGATCACAATTCCAAGTTAATCCTGCAAGTAAAAGTAAGCAAACGGCTCCCGTCAGCTGGATTGACATGGCCAGCATGGCCAGCCATATACTTATTAGGTAGTCGCCCATAATCAGACTCCAACCAGCACCGCCCCTCGATCGGATCTGGGCACCGAAGGCAATTTGTTCAGCCTCAATCCCATCTCATTTCGATTGCCCCGTCCTTCGTCCTGGCCAGGTGTGAATACGAATGAAGAAGTTAGGAGGTACTTTATCAATCGGCAGCAACTAGGTGGTAGATGTTTGTACTCTGCTGGGATTCTTAAGGCTTAGGGGCCGCTGAGAAGAATGAGACACCTGACTGCGGAATGACGCATCTCCAATACCGAACCACAGATTAGGGATAATAAATCGGGTCTATCCCCGGAATCCATATTACTTCGTGACTTTTATTGGATGAGGTCTTCTCCGCATCCTTCCCTTCTCGGATACCACTAGTCGCGTTACACCAATCACCTTCACTTTTCGCTTCCGATTGGGAGTTTGTGATTTGTGACCGGTCGAAATGTTAAGTGTAGGATATTGCATAAAACTTGATTTATACAACACTAGAATTGCATAGTATAATAATCATCTGCTACATGTATAATGCTTTATGTCGGTACCTAATTCAACACAGCCACCGTAAACGAAAAACCTGTCAGAGCCTGATGAAGCGGTCTGTCAGAGGTATCATAGCTTTTCTTGTTAATGTTCAACTTTTTTTTTTGTTTTTTTTTTGTTTTCTTTTACTAGTATCATGAGTACGAACAATGCCAATTGACTTCATTCACTTTATGGAGGTCCAAGTACGATTTTATTTTGTTACCGAGTCTCTCGGCCAACTCTCAGCCTCTAAATAGTATTCTGCCGTCTGACCCCTACCGCTTTAAGATATCTGATTCTGATCTCATCACTTCAAATCTTCGTCACCGCAGCATACAGCCATGCATACTTTAATAAGGATTGTTCTCTGAAATCATTATAAACACCTACCTAGGTAGGAACTTATATATAATAAGCTACGTCTGCCGGAAATTACACCATTTATTTCTTGTTGGGAATCGTCCTGGTTAGTATCGCTTTTCTGGAAGAGTCGATCGATATCGCGAGACAAAAAATTTGCCAAGAAAATTCAATTGGCGCAGTTGGAAAACTGGCAAAAATGGCGGAGGACCTTGGTGATATCGACATCGACCTCGACACGAGTATAATCCGAGAGTGGAAATCAATTGTCACGCTCGTGGTTTTTGTTATTACTAGTAAGTATGAGTTCTAACTATACGATACTTCATCGGATCTACTAACACTACCACGCAGATATCATTGTCCTTTTCCCCTTTCATATACCATTGTATATCCCTCGGGGAGTTGCCAATGGCATAGTGGATGCTTTAGCTGCTCTGCGGGTGATAGGCCCTCGGCATAAGGACCTTCAACATGAGGCTGCTATTGGGCATGGTCACAACGGATGGCAGCGAATCGTAGCTGAGCATTTCGTACGACTAAGGTTTCCAATGAACTTGATAACGGCACCCCTGATAGCAGATCTCTTCCTGCTAGCTATTGTAGCAATTGGCCGAGAGGAGGTGTACGGTGGTACGATCGGTGCTAATCACATCTCGCCCATCGACATTATGGCCTTTTTCATAACGCTAGCATATATCGCTATCTCTATCGATGCCTCTGGTCTCATCAGATACCTCGCATTTAAGGTACTTCAAAAAGGTGGGAGGTTTGGCCACAGGCTCTTCTTCTACCTGTACGCCCTTTTCTTCAGTCTGGGTACCTTCATCGGTAACGACCCCATCATCCTATCCGGAACGGCCTTTCTCGCCTACATGACCCGGGTCTCGAGCAATATCATACACCCTAGGGCCTGGATTTTCGCCCAGTTCGCAGTAGCGAACATTGCATCGGCGATTCTAGTGTCCTCTAATCCTACCAACCTTGTTCTCGCAGGCGCTTTCAATATCAGATTCATCGATTACACTGCCAATATGATCGTTCCTGTCGTTATCACGGCAATTGTACTTTTTCCCTTCCTGCTGTACATTGTGTTTGCGGATGAGACCCTTATCCCGCTTTCAATTCAGATGCACGAGCTCTCAGAGGAGGCAAAAGCTAAGAAACCTGTCAATCCCAACATTCCTCATGCCAGGGGAAATGCCGAGGAACAAGAGGACGATCCGACAAATAGCGATCAAAGCAAATTGCTGTCCTTGGAAGAGATCATGAATCCTTTCTTGGATAAGGGGGGTGCAGGATTCGGAGCCGTCATCATGACTGCGACACTGGTCACAATACTTGCGATCAATGCCGCTAGTCAGAGCACTGGCGAACATCCGGTCTTTTATATAACGCTACCGGCTGCATTCGTTATGTTCTGTTGGGACATTACGTTTGGATGGATTCACCGGGAAGAGACGCGAAGGATCTCCCGGGATGGCCGACGTGAAATTGAACAAGCTCGTGCTGAACGACTTGCTAGGGAGCTGAGAGAATTTGAAGGAATTAACTCAAGTCAGAAGCAGGGGCAAGCACAGCAAACTGGCGACGTTGATACACAGCCTAGTACTTCACATAGCCATCCGTTGGATGCCAAGTCTCAGAATCAGAATGATGCTACTAGTGGTATCGAACCCCGCCTCAGTCTCGCCAACTCAAATACGGACGACGATAACACCCTAGGAGCCGACAAAGCTAGTATAAAACCTTCCAGTGACGATGTGCAATTACATGACGGCCGCTCCACCAGCGCGACGAACACGCCTGGCGAGGTCCACGTAGGCCCAGAGAAGTCATCGGGGGGAGTATTGGCTGGAGGTTTAGACGAAAAGAGTCGGATCCCATTTGAACGAGAGATGGATGCTGAAAAACAACCCCGTTCTGGCGTTCCGGCCCACCAAAGGAGTGAGAAGGCGACACTCGTATCACTAACTATCGACTTTTATAGATGGGCACAGGAGACATTCCCAACAGCAGCGGTAGTTATGAGCCATCTACCTTTCGCCCTCGTCCCCTTTGCCTTCGCGATGTTTGTCCTTGTACAGGCTTTGGTTACCAAAGGTTGGGTGCCAGTGTTTGCCTACGGTTGGGACCATTGGGTAAATAGGACGGGAACAATTGGGAGCGTCGGCGGCATGGCGTTTCTTTCCGTGATTCTCTGCAATGTAAGTTTCGCACGAATAAACCGGCGTATTCGAGTATTCTTGACTAACCCTTAAACCAATAATAGTTTGCAGGAACGAATATTGGCACTACGATTCTTCTCTCCCGCGTGATCCAGGCCTGGCAAAAGATTCACGAAGCCAATAATACCCCAATCTCCAACCGAACGTTTTGGGCGACAGTTTATAGGTATGTTATATTATCTCAGGAAGCGGTTGATCTGGTGCTCATATTCACTTGTCATACACTGAAATAAATCCAACCCCTATTTGAATTTAACTTGTGCTGAACTTCCAACTAACACTTAACAGCATGGCGCTTGGCGTCAACTACGGCGCATTTAGCACAGCGTTTAGTGCATCTCTAGCCGGCCTCCTCTGGCGCGATATCCTAGCTAGAAAGCACATCCGCGTGCGAAGGCTCGACTTTGCGCGTGTCAACCTCCCGATCATCACGATCGCCATGGTCGTCGGTTGTGCCGTTCTTGTTGGCGAAGTCTACATCATCAGGCCCGATACCCCTTACGACGCATGATTAAAGCATTTACCAAGCCTGCATGGATTTTTGACATGATTAATGATATCTGATAGCGCTTTTATACTAATAATAATATTTGATGGTATTCTAAGCTGTACGATCTGAGGATCATTCCTGTAAGTGTGAGTTCGTACTTACCTCGGTGGCGAAAAGGCCTGAACTTGATAAGGGTTTTGAACGAATCCCGGTAGCCCTCGTACATTTGCAGCATCTGAACGTAGATTTAACTGGCGTTTGAAATCGGGCGCGATTTTGGAATATCATAGGACCTGGATTAAGAGCCTTTGCCGTGGAATGCCCATGCCTAATCGCTGAAGAGATTAAGATCCTATCTTAGGATGGCCGACACGCATTTTTTATAGCCGTGATTTGGGTAGTCTTAGGATGACTTGAACTATGACTTATACTTGTAAAGGTGCTTGAATATTCCCTCCAATAATACATGCCTAACGCTGCTATATCCGATGCCATTCAATCCCCAATGCTCCTATCGTCTATCTGCGGGGCTTCTGAGCTTCCCTCCTGTGGCTATCATACAACCTACATGCCCGTACATTTCGCCAACCCATCTTATAGGTATATAGTATAGTTGCTAGTATACGTAAGATGTCGGCCAAAACAGGAGCAGAGGCAGAAAGTACTCTTCTCAAAGAGTTAGTTTCAAGCAAGTTGCGCTATATCGCACCCGGACACGTGCCTCAGACTAGCCCACACAACCTCCATCTACCGTCGCTCACTGAGTTTGGAGACGAGCGTATTCTCCCGCTTCACCCTATTAATCCCATTCCAAATATATCAGAGCTTTCGCACCTCGACGACCATGTGCAGCTTCATACCCACGGTTTCACTGCCATTCACCATACCACTCCATTGCATGCACCGCCCCACAATCCCGATTCATTCAAGGATCCCGAGCTCCTCAAGCAGTATATCGCGCCGGATACAGTGGACCTTATGAAGAAAGTCACGGGGTGCAAAAGCGTCATAATCGAATCCTTTTTGCTCAGAGCCTCTGTCTGGACGGAAATTGATTCTCTCGCGACCCACGGAAACAACGCCACAGACGGCACTTCCGCTTCCGCTTCCGCTTCCGCCTCCGACCTGGAAACCAGCTTCCCCCAGTTCATCGGGTTCAACCCGAACCACGGCGCCGCGAGCCCAGCCTCCAAGATCCACCTCGACTACTCGGCGACGGGCGCGCGGACGCACATCCGGCATTACCATCCCGGGATCGCTGGCGCCGCGGCGGGTATCATACGCCACGAAGACGCGCTCCGGAGAGCGGGCCGGGACTACTTGGGCGACGCGTACAGAGACAGCGGCGGGCCGCGATGGGCGCTGTACTCCGTCTGGCGGCCGCTGAGGACCGTGACGCGGGACCCGCTGGTGGTGCTGGGCTGCGGGACTGTGGGGGGCCGGGATTGTGTGCCTGTTGATGTGCGGACGCCGTATTTGGGAACGGGGTTGGAAGGAACGTATCTTGCTGAAGGGCTTGTGGCGAGGTATTCCGAGGCGCATAAGTGGTATTGGATAGAAGAGCAGAAACCGGAGGAGGTGTTGGTCTTGAGGTTCTTTGATAGCGATGCGGAGGCCGAGGGACGTGTTGCGTCGGGAGGGGCGTTTCATTCGAGCGTGGAGGTGCCGGGTACGCAGGATGAGCCGGCTAGGGAGTCCTTGGAGGTTAGGTGTTTGTGTATATGGTAGGTAATGTTGGGCGATATATATGGGTGGTGGGTATTGTCATTTTATTCATATCTTCTAGTCTAGGTACATGTCATGTTAAAGGCCAATCTGACCAACATAAATGTTTTCAAGGCTTAGACCATATTCCCTGGAGAATTGAGCGTTTTAGAATAGTCCACTTGAATCGTCTTATCTAACTGAATAACGGCTGGGTTCTCAACCCACTCGCTATGATCGTTCGGTCTTTGGAGAGCCGATATCGATGTCCTGTAGCTGCTAAAAGGGCCGCTGACGGCGGAGTCATAACCCTTACGCCCCATCGGCCGAGGGGGTGGACGTGGGTCGCCGTGAGGCTCTTCAGCGTTATTTCTAGTCGACACGAACTTTCTATAAAGCCCGCGCACCAGAGGTCGCATCCCAGGCAAGCAGGGACAGATGAAGTAAGCATCTGGCTCGATAATTCCGAGGGCTAAAGACCTGACGGTCCCGTACGTCGGATCCTATGTCCAGTCCTCGCGCATGTACTCGACGAATCGAATGATAGCGCAGAAAATTCCACTGCGCGAGGTCTTTGTAAGTACCTAACTTAACCTAACATGAAGAAGATACCTCTCTTTGTTATAAGCCACGCATGTACATGCAGCTAGGCAGAATTGAGAAAAGGTAGGTACTTACAGCCCCCCTGCCAGGAAGGTGACGAACAACCCGACTTTGCGTTCTCTGCTTACTTGCAATTTGTAAAGCATAGGGAAAGGTATGGCTACAATAGCTACGTCCGTGACGATATTCGGTAAGCTAACATAGCGAAAAACGTCCATCATGTTCACGCAATGGCCATCTATCGTCTTGTCCCAGTTGTAGGCGAACGGCCGACAGAGAACGACGATGGTGGGGATGGAGACGATGTAGTTGGTGATTACGACTCCCATCGTGATCTTGGTGATGAGCTTGACTTTGCCATCCACGATCCGGAGGTACAGGATTAGGAGACAGATTTTGGGAAATGCGACATTGGCCATGTAAATGAACTCTAACGCCGTCTGCAGCTTAAGGTATGTGTCGAAGACGGGTGGGTCGTTGAGTTCCCAGTACGCTCGGTGCCTTCCTACGCCCCCTATGCAAATCATCACTAAAGCCGGCCGCATAGTTAGTACCCTAGGGAGCTAAGTTGGACCGGTATGGGATATAGTTTTGGAGAGAGAGAGAGAGGTGAAGATATCCTTACAAAAAGTCTGGATACAGATGCCCAGACAGCAGATGAATGAGAACGGGTATAATGTCCAGACTTCCCAGCCATTGCGACCTGCGTAGAACCCCCGAGATACATTGAATAAAATGTAGGTGACAGTTACGAGGACTGTGAACGTAATGTTTGTGTTTTGAAGTACCTCGTGATGGTCCTCGGCCAGATATTCTTGTGACAACCTCGAGAGCTCTTCGGGAGTGAAAGTGAGACTTCGGTTCATGTTGTCACATAATATGACCGCCCCCGTGGAATATAAAGCGTAAAACGCATGGAAGTCTCCAGATGAGGTATTCCATGTAAGTAGGGTTGGTGTGTAAAGGTAAAAATAAATGACATGACAATCCTTATATCAAAGGCCGTAGAAGGAATGTAATCATCATGGCTCTTTGTTACCTATCTTTGCTATTATACCTTAGATAGCTGGTACCTTACAATGGCCCCAACAACCAGCTCCAACTTCACATCAAGATATCAAATAAGGTACCTCTTTAAGTATGTAACTAAGTACCTAGATAAGGTAGGTAACCAAAGTATGTGAGACATATTTCCTGTATAATGAAAGGCATTCTGCAATCCTCTACTAGAGGTTTCCCAGGACCTCGGGATTGACATGAAGCTTGCATGGCCCGGGAACAATGCAACAACCCCATGTATCGCCTGAAAGCTGCCCTGAGGAATTGCCATTGCTTTCGGCGAGCCTGCCTCTGGCACAGTATCAAGGTTCCTTGTTCTCGGCCACATGGGTAAAATAGGTACTATTCACAAAAAGTGAAAACGAGCATGTAGCTTGTTACATGTTAACTATTCCAAACCAAAAACAACTTGCATACCATACATCAGTGCAACGAAATGTAAGTCTGCCACATCCTGGAAGTATTAGCTACCTCCTTATCTGAGGTTCAATTAAGCTATATATCTTTATCTATTGAGTACTGGTAAAATGAACATCACAACTTGGCCTGTATTGACTGACAACCTGAAGGCGTTAAGTAGACGTAAGCACCTGGTTTGATCTAAGACGCCTAACCTAGATTCATAACTCTTCGCTTGAGCTGAAAGATCTAACAGACACTTAACATGTAAATACTTATAATAAATAATATAATGAGCGACACTATTTGTAGATTACATTGACAGTCCTTATAATATTACTGCTTTGTCTTGAAAATCCTCAAAAGGAAAAAAGATTGCAATACTTGGCTAAGGGAGGGAATCTCGTTGATCGTTCAATTTCCTCTTCGTTCGACTTCGAGAAAAGGAATGCTGTAATAATTTCTGTTGCCTGAGTGTTGACGAAAAGAACGAGTCTGCGTTAGTTAGTTCCATTTCAATCTACTTCTCCTTCTATTCGCATCCGCATTCGAATTGCAGAAACTTGTTAATCCTATCTTTAGAAGCATTTCTTCAAGAAACAAATGCCCTCCTTTTGAACTGCACTTCTGGGCCTTGGCTGGCCGCACCAGAAATATCTTCCAGCTGTAGCTGGTTTATGTTTCTTGCTCCCCACCCCTTTTCAGGGCTTCCGCCTCCGAAGGTGGAACCGGGAACTCTTCTCATATCCAAATGATACAGTAGTCGGGCTACTGTGACGAAGATAATTGCTAAGGCCAAATTCTGCCCGAGACAACTGAACGATCCGGAGAGGAAGGGGTGGAAACAAGCTTTTGCCTGTGCGATGCCCTCTTGGGTCACGCCGGTCGATTCGTCCAGGATCCAACGCTCAGGTCTGAATACCTCAGGATCCCCATAGACTTCCTGGTTACGCATCATGGCCCAAGGGACACTTCCCACGACAGTTCCCTCAGGATAGTATTCCCCTTTAATTGTAAGACCGCCTGGAAGTACCCTCCGAGGAAGATCGCTTGGCACTGAGGGGCCAAGCCGCATGCCTTCGTCTATGCAAGCCTTCAGATACTTGCATCCCAGTAGTTTCGGACCGTACACGATATCCTCTGCCGATTCAAAAGTCGACAGGATCTCATCTACGAGTTTCTGGTACCGCCGAGGATCACCGGTAAGGTAGAACATGATGCTGCAGAGCGCAGTAGCAGTCGTATCAGTTCCTGCAATCATGAAAAAACCAGCTTCGCCTCGCAACGCGGCATCGTTATAAGCGGGACCACCCGTGTCAGGGTCCCGAGCCTCGTATAAGAAGTAGAACGTATCCTGGCGCCTATAGGCTTCAAGGTCTTTTGCTTGTTCTTTTTGCAGAGCAATACGATCAGTCATGCTATTATTGATGAACTGATAAAACTTCTGAACAGCTGGTGGGGCGAGGAAATCAAGAAAGTAATTGAATCCAAGAGGCTTGAGCCAAAGTAGAAATCCAGGAAAAGGGATACGGGCCATCTTGTCATATTGTTAGCACTGGCAATAAATGGCACGAAGTAGCATCAGGGGTTGGCCGGAAATGATTACCTTATAGTGAAATTTTAAATACTGATCGATATAGTATGGTATGAGTTTTAGAGGATTCTCCCCCGGCTCCTTAATGTCAGAAGATGCCCCAAAGTTTAGCTCACTCATAATGTCGAAAGTAAGAGCATGGGCCGGCTCCGAGAAGTCTATCGGAGAGGACCATTCGGTGGTTCTATCGTTATCTTTCATCATGAGCTGAATCCATCGTTCGACATGGCTGATAACAAACGTTGAAGCCGCACGTATGGACTTGTCTGTAAAAGCAAGCTTGACGATTTTACGTCTCCGCGCATGCTCAGCGACGTCGATGACAGTCGTAATCATGGACTCGTGCGAATTATTTTGAAACATTTCATAGAAAGGACCGCGTTTAACATTCGAATTCATACTATAGATATCGGCGTACGATTGAGAATCGCAAAACAACACCGTGTGAGGGTCGACGCGAACTCTATCGCCGTAAATTTGGAATTGCTGCCATAGCCAGATATGGCGGTTACCGCGGCACGTATGGTACCACGCAGGAAGCCCGCTTATTCGACTCCAGAATGGACCTGGAACGTGAGATAGGGGGTGGAAGAACAGGTTATAGAGGGTTTTCGTGAGTAACTAGAACCGCGTGACTCAGTCAGTCCTGCTAATGCTACCATAGCTAATGGTTTATATGGCAAGATCGATAGGACTAACCAGGAGAGACCCTAACGAGAGAAGTACCAGAAGCCACACTTCGATACTCGTACGTGTTAAATAGAGATCAAACATCATGAGTGTGATAAGGGCAATGGTTTTCGAGTCTGGTGAACTAGATCAGTTGATTCTTAGAAACACGAAAAGAGGTATTATAATCACATATAGTACCTAGGGAAGTAAATTCTATGAAGAACCAATAATTGTATCTACTATCTATTATTATAGTGATGAGAAGAGGGTAGAGATATCATATATCATATATTCATGTAAGTTGACGAATCGGCAGAGGGTGTCTCATACTCCCCCCTTATCTGCGGCCTTCTTCCGGGTGACACCGTAAATGCCCAATGACAATGATTGATTAGGTAGATATTGGGAGCCACAAAGCCATATACAGAAAATAAAAAGCAATTCCCAGTGATTGGAATAATTAAATCAGTGGCCTACCTCTTTGGTATCGCGGCATTTACTCTAGCAAATGACGACTTTGTATTCCAGAATAGAGGCCGCGATAGACGGAGGGGAATAAGAAGAATTAGGTACGCTCAATCATTATGTCCCGATCGGTACGGTATTAGATAGCATGGGTTTAAAGAGCTGAATAATTTGATGTTGCATTTTAAACAGCATAATTATTCCCTTCAGGATCGCAATGTAAACCTTTCGCATTACAATACCTCGGTTAGGTACATAAAGTATCTACCTAGGAGGTAGGTACCTAACCTAGCAAACGGGACTTACAAAACCAATACCTAATCCCGTTCGCGGTTGACTGGTTTGATGTTGTACGACGTTGCAGATGTATTGTACTGCAGAATCTGAAAGAAAAGGTAACTTACCTGGTACAAACGCAGGATCGTTACCTACAGCCGTAGCTACCCACTTGCAGTTCAACTTGCAACTTTGGTACCTAACCTTAGGTAAGGTACCTACCTACCTAACTTAAGGTAATACTTTTTAGGTAACTCACCACCTACCTACACACACCTAAAACATAACTTCCAATATGTATCTCCCCATGCACTTGGGCGCTCTCATTTATTTTGTTCGTCGCCTATCCTTTTCTTCGATATTCACATACGTCATTAGTTATGTCGTCGGACAGAAGTTATATTCCTCCCTTTCGCCGTGGCGATGCACAGGCGACGGGCGCCACGCCTGATACGCTAGAGTCATCTAACCTCCCTCCCGAACACTCATCATCATCATCATCATCATCATCATCTCATCATTCTTTCAATAATGGAGGTAATAGAGGTTACACGAACCGCCAAGGATTTCGCGGGGGGCGCGATCGTGGTTATGGCCGCGGAAGAGGTACCTATGGTAATCAGTTCTCCCGGAACCGTAACCAGCCGAATCGAGGCAAGTACCACAGTCAACGCGCAATCATAAGCTATTTCGCTGGTGAGGATGTAGGTAACCTTGACCAATCAAGCACCTTCCACGACTCTAAGGAGCATCCGGGCCAATTATCATTCATGCTACTTTTCCATAATGCCAATCCCCGCTGGCCTGACGACGGCATCGTATTTGCAAAATCCAGACTCAACTTATTGCCGGAATACAACGTAAAGACAGAGGAATATGGAGAATGGCCAACTGTTAAACAGCCAGAGACCTCTCAAGGCTCAGATGCAATTGTGGATGCCAATCCCAAGGAAAACATGTCCCAGTCCGCTGCTAAGGACGATGAAGCAGGCCACGTTGTGACCGCTATCAAATCCTTGTCTGTCACCGATGAAGAGAAAGCGGAAACTACTACACCTTCTGAGTCAGTCCAAGCAGATGAGACACCTGCTGAAGAAACATCGTTGGGCTCCAATATCCGTATGAAGTACAGTGACGTCCGCAATCTACCACTGGAAGAACAAGAGCGCCTGGTGGAGAAGCAGAAGCAGAAACGCTGGAGGCCACAAGAACTACCTCAATTCACGTACGCCCCCGTTCCGCCTATTGACTATGCTCCGTCTACACATGCGCCTATCGCCGCTTTCGAAGAGCGCCACTCTTTGGACTACGGAAATAATAGGTCCATGTTTATCTTTGTAGGCTGGTATCGTATCACACATATCAGCGTTCTGGCGCCATACTCGGAAGAGCTCGTTCGCATGCAGCAACAAAAGTGGGAGCGTCGCGACCGCTATGGAAACGTTCTTCCTGGAAAGGCTCGCGATGCCGCGGCGTGGAAGGAATCGCTCAAGACGTCGTGGGCAGTCGTTAAGTTCGAGAAGATTGGCGGCGACGAAGCCCCCGCTGTTCCCGACATAGAAACGCTACCCAAGGTTGGCTTTGGAAAATACCCTGAGATTGTTTGGGGCAGAGGTTGGGGGAAGAGAGAGGGGGCGGCTGAGAAAAACCTGCAGGGGATTGCGAAGGTGAAGGAAGACATGGGCGAAAGAGAGGAAGAAACGTCTGCCAGTGTAGAGGAGGACAAAAAGGCACCTGCTGACAACATTCGCCCAGAAGAACCAGGCAAGCAGCCAGAGCCAACCAAGGTAGAGACGGATAATAATGAAGGGAAGCAAGTTGAGATGTAAGATAAAAAAGAAAGGTGATCCTAACAGGACGAGGCGGCAGAGAGGGAGATGGAAAAATGCTTCTTCTGTTCAGCGCTCTCGGACTTATCACATACCTTCTATTCCGGCATCTGCATGCCAGGTAGGTAGGTACCTAGGAGGTAGGTAGGTGCCGATATCTCAAAACTGTGTGCAACAGAATTAGAGCCTAAAAGGGCCAGGTAGTCTGCCTTACATGAGCGATGGTTATCACAGGTCATGTGGCGAATATTTCTGCGCTATGAATTAATCTCAAATACTTTTACCTTTGACATGGTGGTGGCACTGTCATGATATTTAATTTAATTCATCATTGCTTTTATTAGAGGCGATCCTAGTATATCAAGCCTAGATACATCCGACCTTTCTTTTTATTTCTCGTGGCGTTTTTGTAAGATTCATTACTAGGAGAGATATCTACGTTAGGTAGGTGGTTTTACAGATACTTGGACAAGAACTTGAGGACAGTCTCGTAACCCCGAACGTATTCGGCCCTAACGCGCTCGTCGTCGAGGTTGGAGCGCGCGGCCATCCACCCGTGGATCTGGTCGCCGAAGATCTCGACGTACTTGGGAACCTTGAGGTTCTGCTCGAACTTCTTCACGTCCTCCGGGTTCTCGTCCTTAGAGGCCAGCAGCGCCAGGGGCACCTTGATGTTAGCGGCGTCGGCCGGGTCGACCATCGCCGGGTGCGCTTCCACGGCCGCTTTGAAGACCGTGTCGGGTTTGGACACCACGAGGGATACGACTTTGCCGCCCCAGCAGAACTGGAGGAAGGTGATATTAGTAAACGGAATAAAACACAAACACGAACAAGAACCCAAAAAAAAAGAAGAAAAGAAAGAAAAGAAAGCAGAACGAATTGAGGAATCAATGCTTACTCCAAGAATAGCCCAGGACTTGATCTGCGGGTACTTCGCGGCGACGGCGCTGACGTAGCCGGGGACCTTGTCGGCGACGCTAGGCGGGGAGTGCTTCTGGAAGAAGGCGCCGAGGTTCTTCTGCTTCTCCTCGGTGTCGGGGGGGAACCACTCGAGCGGGGCGGGCTCGCCGGCGAACCAGTCCGGGATGAAGACGCGGTACTTCTGGGAGTGGTCCGAGGTCGCGAGGATGTCGGCGCCCTGCAGCGTCTGCGGGTAGAACCCGAAGATGTCGAAGATGGTGATGATGCCCTTGGTGGCTTCCTGGGGGCCGGTGACGTCTTGGTTGCGTTTAGCAAGGTAGGTAGGTAGGAAATAAAGCAAGGCTAAGGTTAGGAAAGGAAGGATAGATAGGGAGGGAGGGAGGGAGAAGAGAGTGTGTATGTCCGTAGCTTTGGAAGCTTACATGAGTTTAAACCTCCGAGCTCCTCGTACGTGCCCTTCGGGGTGTAGCCCTTGGATACGACGGGGGGGATGTTGCAGCAGGCCTCGGAGTGGCCGTGTTGCGCCGGCATGGTGGACATCTTGCAGGCGTGTTTAAGAGTCAATTTATGTGGAATATCGCGACTTCGGATATTAGACTGCGAGGCGAAACTTCTCGGCTGGACAGGCTGCTGGAGTAGTGAAGCTGTCGATGTCGTGGAATTGGTGGTGGTGTTGGAATTGGGAAGGGAAGATGAAGATGGTGGTGGTGGAGGGGATACGAGGCCTGATGCAACGGCAACAGCTCTTCGGGATCCGGGAAGATGTCTTGATAGCGACATGTGAGGGGTTAAGGAAATAGGTATTATGATCGCTTCTACGGGTTTGAATTGCACGTATATGGAAATAGATCGAACCTACGGTTACTAAGGTTAGATACCGGGGTAAAATATTAATAAAATGAATTCTATTACCTAATGCTATAGGTATATCTCATGCAATACGACCATAACAATTCCTTAATTTTTACCTCACTTCTTACCTCTTTCACTGTTTTGTTTAAAGCTTGTGAGGGGTAGCTTTCAAACGATGATGCGGGGTAAGCGACGAGCCGTCTGGACCGTGTGTACCCTGAGCTGTCTAAGCTGATATATCTAGCTGTGATGTCATAAATCACAAATCATCTACCTGTCGGAAGCCACCGACTGTAAGACAAGCAGTCCATTCCGAAAATGGATCGGCCAGTTCCGTTTTTGGCCTTGCAACTCCTAGTACGTTCTAGCGTTTAAGTAGAATCCCGAATCCCACGTATTAGGTGTAGGTAGTAAGGTAAGGACCCATAGGGCTGAAGGTCGTCCCAAAATAATCCAGCAAGTCTCTCTCTCTCTCTTTTCCTGGCTTACCTCTGACATAACATTGTACCTATTATCTCTAACCTGAGGAAAGGGTCATCATCTGTATAATCTCTTCACCCTTCAAAATATTGCACTCGCGCATTTTTAAGATGCTGATAGCTGAGGTACCTCCTAAGGTATTATAAGGTATTATAAGACTCTAACTTACCTAGGAGGTACCTAACCTTAGGTACCTATGTACCTAGGTACATTTTTCTATCTTTACGAATTGCAAAATCAGCAGGGGTATGTGCCTGTGTATTACCCCCTATTCTCTTCAAACCAACTTGAATTTTAGCTTATATTAGGAAATCGTTAAATGGCCTAAATGCAAATAATAAATGCAAACACCGGTCCTTCCCGCTACTCTAATCAACTTGGAAATTTCACCTTTTCCTGCTCTCAAACGAACCAGTCCTAACCTTCGCCTATTCTTCATAATGCCTAAGGTCCCTATAATAAGGCACCTATAATTTACTTGCTCATCCTGCTTTCATCTCATTTATTTCTTAGCCCATCCCATCCCTCTTGTTCGTGGTTGCTAGCCCAGTCGCCCGCAGTCATGTTACGGATATAAGCGAATGTGACTCGAACCACTGCATTAAAGGAGTAAAGAATTAGCTATTCGCTCGATGCTTGGCCGACTTGGAGAAATGGGGGTTTCAAAACACAAGAGCAACAAATATGGTTTGAATAGTAGTAAGCCTACTACCTACTGCCGCGATAGAAGATTGGGTAGAATAACGTGGCGGAAATTTGCTTACTGAACTTCTCATCCTCTAGCTTGAGTCGGGAGATTGCCTCCGTCTCGGAAAACCAGAAAGTCGAAAATTTCTTTCGATCCTCTTCTTCCGTCATTCGGTTCTCGTCACGTTTTGTATCCCCCTGGGGTTTTGCCGCAAACCAGTAGATATGTCTCCAAGCGCCGGTAGCTGGGTCCGGATCTAGAAAACGAATTGGCATCCCGCTCTAAAGAAACGTGAATGTGGAATATAATTGTGCTAACTGGGGGTAGAAGGGGTATAGGAAATACAAGGAATTTTATGAACCGTCTGACAACGTACTGCCAATGGTAAGTTAGCAAACTCTAAACTAACACAGTACAACAGGTATAAAAAACCAGGAAAATGCGGGAGGTGTTATATAGCGCACCATTCACTGGAACCAATACTCTCATTGCTCAGTGCCTCTGTAATACCTGTGAGCTTGTCCTCTAGACAATACTTGGTTACCCGAGTAGTGGTCTGGAACGGGGCGAGCCGCGGTGGCGTCGATCTGGACCCAAACCTAAGCCGTAGCGGTTTGACGGCGACTCCGGTTTCTTCACATGTCTCACGTACCGCTGCGTCAAGGTATCCCTCGTCAAAGTTCTTGCGTCCTTTGGGTAATTGATATATGCCTATATTTTTGTTATACACCAACAACACCATTGGCCGCGTAGACTCCGCCTGATCAACTGTCACTGTTCCACAACTGACAAGCATCTCATCTGCCTGGTGGAAGCAGCCTTCATTTTTGATCTTCTCCCACACCCGTTCGTCTGTCCAATCGACGTTATGCTCAGGGTCGTCCTTCGTCCAGAGCTCCCGCCTCGCTAGCTCCTTGAATTTTCGCACGAATTTGGTAGTCCTCGTAGCTTCAACTTTCACCAGCCTTACAGCAACACTCTTGATAGTTGCTGGCCGGACTGGTTTCTCATAGGGACCGTGTGCCATTGGTAACTGCGGAAATATAAAACGTATGTTCTCTCTACTGATGTAGGTGGCTAGTGGGAGGAGTATAAAGTATACCAGAGACAATTCCTGAGTTTACTGAGGAATTTGACTTCAGCAGCTAGGAAGGAACCCTGGCATTTAATAGATTCTGGCCAGATCTTATTATCATACTACCCGTATTCTACCCATTACAAGGCAATTGGTCGTATCCGATGCGGCTCGCGCACCGTATCCACGATCAAGGTTAGTATCACCGCTAGACCCTCTGAACTCGCAAGTTTTGCTCCATTTGGAGGCCGGCCTTTGTATCTCCTATACTTCCTATCATATTGATCTGCAAATTCGGTCAAAGAAATGAGATAGGTCATCTCTTGTTCCCCATGGGGTTAAGCTATGGTGGGATTTCCGATCTGAGAGCAGGAATCTCCCGGTTCAATCGAGAATCCTCGGCGCGTCAAGTAACCAAGGACCTGGGATAGGCCTGCTACCTCGGGAGCTTATTCGTTGAAACCGAAGCCTCCAAATAAACACCCTACAAACCTGCCCCCGATGACTACCTAATCTTTGCCGAGCGGGATCCTTCATGCCATCAACGTCATGCATAACCCTTCCTGCATAACCCGTCAAAGGCGTTTTAGGTGAGTTGAATTTGCGATCACCGGTCAAGTTTGACGCACCCCACGCAAGGCAGCCATCATCGCCCACCCCTGCCGCAAGGGGAAGTAACTCAAGTGGCAGGTCCTTCTAACATGTGTGTATCTTTGGGCTAGCATCCACCTCGTTCCTGGAACTCCGAAGCACAGAAGAAGGCAACGCGTGACCGCCGCCGCTGCCTCTGGATGTGCCCCATCGACTTCTTGACCGACCTAGAAGATAAGAATACATGGACCATTATTCGACGCCGCATGTCCCGCAAGATGATCAGTTGTCCCCTTCTGCACAGTCCGAGTCGTACGAAGGTGAGGATGACACTGTTGCCAAAATATCGACCATTGGGCCGCTACAGTACCGGCCACCAACGCGGAATCAATAATTATTATGGAAATATGAGAATTCCCCTATTTCTAGCTCACTGTTGTGCGAGGCAGATAACTCCATTTAAGCAGGGGTGATTTAAGTCAATGGCGGTTGAACACCGTTTATATTAGCCAGTCTCTCTTGTCAGTATCCACTTTATGGCGTCGTCAGGATCCCGTCATCCTCTATCATGCTGGACTTCCCTGCATACGGTACCAGAAGCAACATGATTATGGCTCTCTGTTATGACACAACTCCCTCTACTTTCGTACCTTTTACGGAACCGCAACTTCGGAACCGCTGCAACACCGAAGAACTTGCCCCTTAGCTATGTATATTAACAGCGGAGCTCATAGGATGCACACTGGTGGTTGGCACATATCTTGGGCTCTACTTCTTCACATGCTGTATATGCCGGGGTTTGACGCCTAACCCGAACCGGGATCTGGACCAGTCAGCCGGGAACAAGAAGCTCTAGTCTCAGCCCTCTGTCAGAAGCTAGAAGAAAGATAAGACGATGCGCGAGGAGAGCCTCGTCGGTCTTGTGTGTTATTGGGAAGTTCAAATAACATTCTGATAACATAAACTTAAGGATCTGCGCATATCCAATCGCTTAGTACAGCGAAAGGCAACCCTAAGCGAATCCGGGGTACTCGACGACAAAAAAAAGCAAGATATAAATCCCAACAGAACAGATGGTTTGAGCTTTTGGTAGCCCGGTTTGTAGTAAGTTGTGATGTATCGCAGTATCGGAGCTATAGTTCTTCGTGTGGAGGATGGATCATCGCCGGGACACCCACACCGGTCAGTAAGCGGCTAGAATGCAGTTCCATCTGACGTGCCACAGCAGCGTGAGAGCCGGTGAACGGGATCCCGGGGTTAGATCGCCCCAACTTGTTATACTCTGCTAATGCAAACAATAAGCAGACAAACCGACGATCGCACCCGCTTAGCTGGCTACCCTAACTACCCTAGTGGCCCTACGCTTCTACCTCCCTAAACGATTATGTCGATCGTGGCTGCGGTGCAGGACAATGGAATGACCGTGTCGCGAACGGACTACATTCCTAGTCGATAAGGTCAAGAAGATGCACATAAGCCTAAACGATTTAGGTGACATCTCCTGTCTGTCCTGTCATCGTTGCTTCTTGACGGCCAAAGTGTTGGTGAGACTGGCGAAACAGGAATAATTTCCACTGGCAGCTTTGATGTAGATGGACTTGGATGCGTCCAGAGCGGGCGGCTGAATACGACCAATCCGTCCTCGGCACGTTTCCAGTGTAGGATCCCTTACATGTCCACCTACTGACCGCTAAGCAAACCGACAAGCAGTTTGCATGTGTTCGGGCCTAGATTACCAAAAGGTAGCATGGCCGGCATGGTTGTCCTGGGCTGCCTGGTACGCCCTGTAAAGTCGGCAGAATAGTCCGAGCCCAACGGAATCATGGCACAGCAGTGACATGTAGATTGAATGATCTGCTTTACCTCTTACAGACAAACAATTTTTTTGAGCAAGTAAGAAAACAACCTCGAAATCACGCCCAACGGTGTCTTTTAATTTATTTGTATACACCTAGGAGGTATGTATTTAGTAGTAAGGGGCAAAATGGTTTATGCTGGTATAAAGAGTGAAATCAAAAGATACAATCATAATACCTACCCCCTACAAGGTACCTCTTACGTATTACACATGTCAATACTTTTCCATTAGTCACATGATAAATCTCCTACCTTGGCATAAGTTGCGTCTTGGAAGTTTCTTTATCTTTCACTTACAACTTTCCAACCTACCTTCAAATCATTCTATCATTCTGTCGTTCTGCCATTCCATGCAAGTTTTAAGCCACCGTTTGAGCATCTGCCAGAGTGGGCAGTTTTTGAGACATTGTTTACGTTTTTGCCAATAGTCTACCTGTTTATTGGCTGTCGGGCTTATTCTGGATGCTGGTAAACTTGCCAGGTAGGTACCTAAGTAGGTGAGACATCATCAGCAGCAGTTCGTCTTGTAGCTCAATGGAGAAAAGAGTTGCATGAAACCGTTCAATTCAGGTTCTTACGCACTGATTCTCTCTCTCTCTCTTTTTTTTTTTTTTTTTTTTTTTGTGCGTTCCCGCTGTATGCGCTTTTGGCAGTCTTACCAATGCCGTTTCGAGCTACCTGCATAGCAGGTACCTACCTTGTCAGATTTACACGATGCCTTCTAATGGTAGGTCGATATTGGTGGCCTCGGTCTACATGACTACAAGCAGTAGCTGGCCTTCGACCAAGCTGCCATCGTTTAGATGATTGGTCAAATCACACCTGCATATCTCCAAGCCTAAGAGCTATCAATGTGGCGGGCAAGGCTCTCTCTCTCTCTCCACTTTGCTCACGGTAAGCATCTCCGTGGGTCCTGCAATTACGCAATATTGCCTCAATGCGGCTGCTAGACGTCGACACGCTTAAGCTACACGAGTTTATGGGCTACCATATACCAAAGTACCAATATGCTATCCTTTCACATACCTGGGCTGAAGGCGAAGTGAGCCTGCAAGAATTGGAAGCTGGCAGCGGCCCCTCCAAACAAGGCTACGAAAAGATTGTCCTCACCTGCGAGCAGGCGAAGCGGCATGGCTATAGATGGGCTTGGGTAGACACGTGCTGCATCGATAAGACAAGCAGCGCGGAACTTAGCGAAGCTATCAATTCGATGTATCAGTGGTATAAGGAGTCTGCCGTATGCTACGCGTATCTTACGGATGTGGATAATAGCGTATGAACCAACAAACCGTCTCGTTACGTAGGTGATACTTACCTAGCGATTCCAGTTCCCGTATGCCTCTCCTTCGAAAGAAGGCGGCTATGAACCATTAGTCTCGAGATGGTTCACTAGAGCTTGGACGTTGCAAGAACTAATTGCACCTTCAAATATTATTTTCTACGGTCCTGGATGGGTGAAGATTGGCGAACTGTCCGAAGAACGTATTCAAGATTCTCTCTTACAGATCACGAGAATCCCAAAGTCCGTTATATCCTCACAGAAGTCCTCTTTATCACATTATAGCGTTACCCAGAAAATGTCATGGGCAGCTGACAGATCGAGCACACGGACTGAAGATATAGCGTATTCTCTACTGGGGCTCTTCGATATTAACATGCCGCTCCTATACGGCGAGGGTCCCAAGGCTTTCGTGAGGCTACAGGAAGAGATTCTTAAAGAGACAGATGATCACTCGCTGCTATGCTGGACTGTTCCAAGATTTAGCCCTAGAGTAGGGACACTAGAAGGTGTATTCGCGAAATCTCCAGATGATTTCACAGAATCCGGGAATGTCGTGGGGAACCTTTACGACGCGGGCTCACCGTCTGTGATGACCAATAGAGGACTCCAGATTCATGTTCATCTGCGAAAATTAGAGTACGGCATACATTCTCATCTATATTTCGGGAATCCTGCCACAGCTTCATATCACGCAGGACTAAACGCTGGTTATTACGAAAATGATAAATGTGTAGCTCAGATGTCAATAGTCCTAATCAGGACACCCCCAGTGGCGCCGCGCTCTTCCCGGTTGACTAACAAGTACGCCAGATTAACTATGCCGACGCTTGAACGACGCAGCCTAGGGTGGTTTGATTCAGATGAAGCCATGGATCAAATATATATGAATAAAACCCTCCTCTCATGGGAACAGGATCGTTTCGGTTTTGGAGGTGTTCATCTACAAAATATACCGATTGCGGAAACCCTTGCGCCATTTTCTACATCAAAAAGAGACATTTGCGCGCCTGATATTATCGACGAGTCTTCTTTTCAAATCGAGAACGTCCGTTACTCCATATTATCTATGGAAAGAGGCAACACTTATCAAACTATCAAATCTCTTCCATGGGCTATGACATGGTCTCAAGTCTACGGCTGCGTCAAATTTGACGTTGAGCTTCCACAATTGCCCGAGTTTCCTTACTTCGTAGTGTTTGTTGCCAAACATAGTTATTCGACGAGGACATACTTTATCTCGCTAGTCTGGAATGGTGAATATTTTCACTTTAGTGTTCGCCCAGCTGAGACGCAAAGCAATGCATTTTTCCGGAGTTTGTTGGATCCGTCAGATCCTTCAACGCAGCAGGGAAATTGCTGGGACATGTACGGTGAGATAGCTATGGCATCAATGGTTATACACGGTGAAAACCCCTCTAAACTTGATTTCATCCTAGAACGCGAGGACCCCGATAATGATGAAGGAGAGGTGGCGGGAAATCGTTTACATTTCCTAATTCGCGCGGAAATAGACAAGGAAAGAAATAACATGCAAGTACGCAGAAGGGGGCCGTCGTAAGTGTTTTATGGTGTTTATAAAATTTACATTACGCACTTAGATGAGCGTATTCTTTATTGAACGCTCTTCCAATAACCATACGACGTATTTCCGATGTTCCCGCTCCTATCTCGTATAACTTGGCACTGTAGTAAGAATGATTAGCAATGCCATGAGAATGACGTATATCCGTGGTGTGAACTCACTCCCTTAATAATCTCGAAGCCGGCATCTCTTCTACGTAACCCATACCACCGAGTAATTGTATGCAATCCAGCGCAGACTCGGTAGCCCGCTCAGCCGCGTACAGGATGGCGCCCGCGCAATCCTGCGTCCTGATCTCCCCTTCCTCATCAACGGCTTTAGCGGTGGCGTAGGTATATGCCCTCGACGCTTGTAGCTTCGTGTACATGTCAGCAAGCTTACCCTGCACGAATTGATTGTGGGCAATCGGCACGCCGAACTGTTTCCGCTGGTGCGTGAACGGCAACGCAACATCAAGCGCCGCTTGCATGATACCCAGGGGTCCGGCGCTAAGCACGAGACGCTCGAGATCCAAGCCTTCCATCAGTACGCGCACACCCCCGTTGATGCGGCCTAGCACGTTCTCGTCTGGCACGAACACGTTGTCGAATACAAGCTCGCCCGTATTGCTTCCCCGCATGCCCATCTTGTCGAGCTTCCGCGCGCAGCTGAACCCCTCGGAGCGGGCCTCCACGATGAAGGCCGTGATGCCCTTGGACCCCTTGTCGGGCTCCGTCTTAGCGTACACGACGACGACGTCGGCGTCCGGCCCGTTCGTGATCCACATCTTGGTCCCGTCGAGCAGGTACCCGCCGTCGACCCTCTTGGCCGCGGTCCGCATGCTCACGACGTCGCTGCCCGCGCCCGACTCCGACATGGCCAGCGCGCCGACCTGGGTCCCCGCGATCAGGCCCGGCAGGTACCGCGCCTTCTGCTCGGGGCTCCCGTTGAGCTGCAGCTGGTTGACGCACAGCTGCGAGTGCGCCGCGTAACTGAGCCCGATGCTGCCGCTCGCCCGGGAGATCTCCTCCATCACCACGCAGTGCGCCTGGTAGCCCAGCGCCAAGCCCCCGACCTCCTCGTCCGCCGTCATCCCCAGGAACCCGGCTTCCCCGAGCTTAGGCCACATGTCCGCGGGAAAGGAGTTGCTCTTGTCCGTGTGCGCCGCTACTTCCGCCGTGATCTCCCGCCGCGTGAAATCCTGCACGCGGTCCCGCAGCTCAGCTAGGTCCGCCGCGCTGGGCGCCTCGAAGCCCTTAGGGTGCTTGGAGGACGCATATCGCCGGAGCTGGGATGATGATGATGGTAAATATGATAGTGGCGGTGATGATGAGAGGGGAGGTTTGGTGGGGAGTGTAAGTGAGTGTCGCACCGGGCGACGTAGAGTTCTGAATGCTTTCATATTTTTAAACAAATAAAAACAACAACAAAGAAAAAGGGAGGGGAAGTTGTTGTTATAAGTTAAAAAAGTACCTAAATTATTAAGATTTAGAAAAGGGAGAAAGAGGTACACATTAACGACGAATTGTTGATGACCCTCGGCTTATTCCTCCGCCCCAAGAAGCTGTAAACGGAAGACGAAGACGGTAAACCTCGGCATAGCGGCTATCAACGGGCGTCCCGCTTCGAAGCTTCCCCGGACCCCGGTTTCTCGACGTCAGCTCCCTTGACCTTTTGATTCTTAGCTCCTTGTTCTTTTTCAGACATTCCTCTCTAATTTACTTGGGCACCTATATAGATTCCTTTCTACCTAACGTAACGACTTGATTTTTCATTACAACAGTATGTAGCAGGACGCATAATCGTCATAAAAAACAAAAACAAAAAATGTCTATACCAAGATGTCCGAGGGGTATTATAGGCTTCTCACGCCAATTGACCCGACAATGCACCACACGATACCCCCTCTGCCGATCCCCTCACCACGTCCGTCTTCGTCTATACGCTCGAGCAATCGCGTCTTACACGGCTCCGCACCAAGCGAACGCCATATCGATAATCCAGAGCAACGTAGACTCGACCTCGGACGAGTTCAAGGAAAATGAAAGACTTATGAACGAAGCCATGGCTCGTCTGGAGCAGCTGACGCGCTCGGCGCAGCAGGGCGGCCCCGCGAAGGCCAGGGAGAAGCACTTGGCCAGAAAGAAGATGTTGCCGCGGGATCGGGTCACCGCGCTGGTGGATCCCGGGACGACGTTCATGGAATTATCGCCTCTCGCTGGTCATCAACTCTACCCGGAGGCGGACGTGCCCGCGGGAGGCATCATTACTGGGATTGGCGTTGTAGAGGGCGTCACATGTGTGATTGTTGCGAACGATAGCACGGTGAAAGGGGGCACTTATTACCCCATTACTGTGAAGAAGCATCTGAGAGCTCAGGCTGTGGCCCAGGAGAATAAATTACCGTAAGTGGAAGCTATTGTTAAAGGGACAAAATACTCCTGGGAGGAATAATAGTTTTGTCTAGTCTAGTCTAACATCAAAGTAGCTGCATATACTTGGTGGATTCCGGTGGTGCCAATCTTCCTCATCAGTCGGATGTATTTCCAGATCGGGATCATTTTGGACGAATATTTTATAACCAGGCCAGGATGAGCTCTCAAGGAATTCCCCAGATCTCTGTAGTTATGGGTTTATGTACAGCGGGCGGCGCCTACGTCCCCGCCATGAGCGACGAGAACATCATCGTGGAAGGGCAAGGCCACATCTTTCTAGCCGGGCCGCCTCTCGTCAAAGCCGCTACCGGCGAAGAGGTGTCAGCCGAAGAACTCGGCGGTGGTACTATGCACACTTCCGTATCCGGCGTATCGGACTACTTAGCCGTAGACGACGCACATGCCATCGTACTCGCCAGGAGATGTATCAGCAACCTAAACTGGCCACACAAAGCCGCGCCGCCCCAGACAAGCTATTCCGAGCCCCTGTACCCGGCCTCGGAACTCCTCGGCATCGCCTCGACGAACCTGCGCAAACCACTACCTATCCACGAGGTCATCGCGCGGATCGTCGACGGCTCGCACTTCGCCGAGTTCAAGCGCGACTACGGCAGCACGCTGGTCACCGGGTTCGCGAGCATCTACGGGCAGCGGGTGGGGATCGTGGCGAACAACGGGATCCTGTTCGGGACGTCGGCGCAGAAGGGCGCGCACTTCATCGAGCTGTGCGCGCAGCGCGGCATCCCGCTCGTCTTCCTGCAGAACATCAGCGGGTTCATGGTGGGCGCGCAGGCGGAGCGCGAGGGCATCGCCAAGCACGGCGCCAAGCTGGTGACGGCCGTCGCGTGCGCCGACGTGCCCAAGTTCACGGTCGTCGTGGGGGGCAGCTACGGCGCCGGGAACTACGGCATGTGCGGCCGCGCCTACGGCCCCCGCTTCCTCTGGATGTGGCCCAACGCGCGCGTCGGCGTCATGGGCGGCGAGCAGCTCGCTAGCGTCATGGAGACCGTCGGCCAGAAGGCGGACCCGGAGCTGAGGGAGAGGATCGAGCGCGAGAGCGACGCCGTGTATTCCTCGGCTAGGTTATGGGTAAGTACCACGCCGTACCTATCTTTCCCAGTAGTAATGATTGTGAAATCCTCCAAGGGTCACGCGCCAAATCCTAATACCCTTACCCCGTCATCGCTTACGTATTTTTTTTTTATTTTTTGGTTGCCTAACTACCTACACCTAACTAACACAATTTCTTCTCTTTTTATTCCGATAGGACGACGGTGTGATTCCGCCGCAGCACACGCGGCGCTACCTTGGCTTGGGGCTGAGAGCCGCGCTGTCGGGTAAGAACGAGATCCAGCCTGGCGATACCAGGTTTGGGGTGTTCCGGATGTAACGAGCAGCTCCCGACCAGAGCTGAAAATTTTATCATCATCATCATCATCATTATCGTTATCATTATTAACATTACCATTATTACGGGGTGTTTTTTTACGAGCTGATACTGGCTGCTTCTAAACGGGTAGGGATGAGGAAATGATATTACAGGGCACAGTACGATGTGATGCGACGAGATGCGATGTGATGCGATTCGCTTCGCGGGCCTTCATAGATAGGAGGTAGGTCCCGGATGGGGATGGATGATGAGCAAGTTTCAAGGCGGTGAACCGGGCTTCAAAACAAACAGAGGAAGTAAAATGAAATATAGATAAAAAATTATAACTTTGACCGCTTGTACCACTAACTAACTAACTACCCCCTGGATCAAGTAAACGCCTTCTCTCTGCTCCAGTTGTCCGTTAGAGGTATCTTTCGGGCTTTGCTCATCGGTGTCCGTTCCTTCGTAACCGGTGTGGAACGGATAGGGGGATAGGAGGGTTCGAAACGAAAGCTCCGGCCAATGAGCCTTATGAAGCTCCTCTTAGCTGGGATCTGAGGCTTACGATTTTATTTTATTTTTTTCACGCTTTTATTATGATGTGACCGCTAGTGCATCGTTGTTTTGCGAGCTGACGAACACTTTTTTTTTTTTTTTTTTTTTCAAATGCCTTCGGGCAAAACAACAGAAAGGTTGCCTCGTGTAGATGTGGCTAACTATAAGCTTACTTCCTATGTACCTACCTAAGGTAAGCACTCTGTAAAATACGAGTAATAGATAGTCCAGCTCTATTCGTTAGGTAGATCGATATATTGATACGATGTCGCGGCGTACAAGTCCAGGTAGGTAAGATACCTTAGGTAGGTATGTGTATGTGCGTAGCCGTTGAAGGTACGACTCTGCGGGAGGCCTAAGCTAAGCCGACCCCCTCGTCATCGTCGTCATCGTTGTTGTTGTTGTTGTTGTTAGTTCGTCTGGGACCGTCGGGTATCATTCAAGCTGAAAGATCCGGAATAAGAGATTACTTATTGTCTTCGCCTTTTTCTGTTCCAATTGAAATAATATTTCTTTACTCTATGATCATCATCCGCCTCGGGTATCTCTCTGTAATATAGGAAACTCCCTATCCATGCCGCCGAAATGGGGTACCTACTCCTTACTTGTCAGGTACTATTATTTCGTATGTGATATCATTTTCGTCATTGCCGCTCACGGCTCCTTACATATACGCAGGTCGCACGTGGACAGGCCCATCTGGGCAGCCGAGTCTCGTGCGTAGAGCAATTGGACGCCTACCTAACCTAATACATACCTACTTCAAAGGTACTGCTATATCTACAGTCAATACAATTAATATAATATATAGCAGTGTAATATGCGTATGTGCACGTGTGCCCTACCTTAGGTACCTGATATAGATATAGTATAAGGGGTCGTTACACAGATGCGAATGACGTGGGGTTAATGCGGCCCCTCCCGCAAGCGACGGTTGGCTGAAGCCATTTATTTTTAATGCTGGCTATCTTACATATGGATGGGTGTGTGTGTGTGTGAGAGTGAGTGTTTCTATCATATCTGTACACAAAGCCGGTACTTACCTCAGGCTGGATCCCGGAAGTGATTTAGAATACAGCCCGACACCTTTGCTGTTCCTGAGAAAAGGAAATAAAGGGGGGGCATGCATGTGATATATCATTTCGCTCCCTCCTTTACGGATCTGACCATATGGGATATGGGCAGCGGGATTGACTACATCTGACATAGACGGCAAACACATATTTTGCGCTCATCGACATAAGTATACTGCGCCGCGCACATATAGATGATCTATACGCTAGGTACGTGTGTAGCGGTAGCGGTAATGCGGTGTGGTGCATCTAACCTGACAGTATGGGTGGCTGGTTGGGATTGAAATTCAACATGTACACGCGATGGGTGTATGAACCCTAGATAGCCTGCTGAGGGGGGGATTGGTTATGGTTGGATTTGGATTTGCCTTAGCTGAGCACCTACCTATTATAGACGCGCATCGTCATCTTCTTCGTCGTACTTAGTAAGAGTATAACGCAATAGCAACGGCAAAGTGCAACGGTAAAAGCCAAAACTCCAAAACACCAAGCCCACCCAAGCCAAAGCCAAGCTGCCATACCAGGAGAAAAAGAACATCGCGTGACTCCAACGTTTCTGAATCAGCAATCCTCCTATACGACTCTACCTAGCTAACCTAACCTATGTACCATCCGCATGTATGGGGATTTGCGCAAACGCGCCTATGACATAGTGACATATGCAAAGGTTTTTTTTTGCTCTTCCTTTTCCCCTGCCCCCTCCTTTAGGTTCTAACCCTTTCCCCCGCCCTGACGAATCGCGTCCCGGCATCTGAGGCGTCCGGATCTCTGTAAGATGGTAGGATTCCGCCTTATTGGCCCCCACAACCTCGGAACCACAGCAGTAGCAGCGGCGGCGGCAGCAGCGCGCAAAAACGAGATCTAACCTACACGACAATCTTGTCAAACCTCAGATATATGTTACGTACCTGATGTACATAAAAGTATGTCCCAACAGGTTCGGAATAGGTACATGTACGTACCTAATATTATCGAATACGTATCCCAAACCATCTGTGGAGGGTAAGAAGATCAAAAGGGGGAAAATATTTGGTTAGAAGAAAAAGAATCTCGGGGATCCATTTATACGCCACACCACCAACCCCGGCCTGCAGCGGGAATACTAGCAATCCCGTCGCCTTATGTCATGAATCCCACCTTGCGGGTTAGAAGACCGGATTTTATGATAGCCATCGCATTAGCGACTCTCAATTGCATCCATCTATCGCATGCGGAGAACCGGAGATGCGCAAATCGTCTAATGACTGGAGAATCTCGGATATAAAGAAAAAAAAAAGGTTTTATTCATCGCCTTCAAACCATCGCCTTTCACTGTACATTTTAACAGCCACCGCACATTGGCGGACGGACAAAGGGGATCAGACGGAGTATTCTGTTAGAAGTAACGCCGGTAAGTACAATGCATTTCGGCGTATCCGGACTTCGCCGCTGGCAAAGTAGCCCCAGCAGGTTATTATGCCGTAAACCACCTATACGGGAGGAAGCGAGACGAGACGAGACGAGATCTTGGCGTGTGATATAGTACCGGCACCTATTGATGGCGCAGTGTAAAGCGTCGTGGCTGTTCTATTTAGTTTGGGTACAACGTAGGTGAATACCCGTTCGTTTCTTCGTATTCCCGGTGCGGGTTACTATTTCTCTCCGCTCATTCCCCGGTAGGTACCGTTCCCCTATTCCCACTACATTAGACCAAAATACCAATACCCGCGTCTGCGCCGCATTTGTCATCGCGCAAAGCTTTTTATACATTTAGGTAGCTGGTATGGTTTATGTTAGAAATAACATCGACAATAGGCAGCGCATGGCTCCAGTTTATACGCGTAAGTTCATAAGCGAAGAGACCCGCCCGTGTGGGTAGATGTCGTCAAGAGCCGGTTCGACTGGACTGGACTTGACTCGACAGGGGCCGTTGACATCACGTTGCGCGGCTCCGGGCTGGGGTAGGTTGGTTTACGCCAGGGCCAGGGCTCTGTTTCGACCGGACAAAACAGATAGTAAATACCAAGACCCTGTTCCTGTTCCGGTGAGCGCTTTCGGGTGTACGCAGGGATGGAGGCACCGCAGAAACGTGGGGTGTGATTCTTTCGGTTCTGGAAGGACTTGGCGTCTCTTCTACCCACAGAATTCCGCGAATGTACAATACAATATTATACATACAGACGCCGCTGCAGTAAGTAGTGACGTATCCCCGAGCTAGATAGGAGGTAGGTAACTATCACAACCCACCAAGTTTAGTGGGTTGCTGGTAAGGTTAGCTTGTATCTCTGCGTATTGTGTGGTTCCGTAGTTTCGGAATGCAACCGCTACCACAATCAAGGCCACATGTTCGTAGATCAGGTACCTGATGTGAAATCAATTTTACGATGAGAAGCTCCGTGAGTAAAACCAGTTACTTAGCTAGGTACTTAGGTAGATTGCCTTACGTACCTGTCTACCATTTCTCCGCTTAAGATCATCAGTCCTTTTATTGTCTTGCCACCTAACTATCTTGCTGGCTGGCTGGCTTTTTTGCTTAGGTCAAGGTCTTTGGTCCATGTGGGTGGCATTACCGGATTGCTCGGGTTTTATTAGGGAGATATCGGTGAAATAACCCTTTCTTTGATAGCAATACCTGGCCTGTTACCTGTGCCCTGGTGAGGGTTTCTAGACCCGGCAGGTCAGATAAACGTAGGTATCCTTGTAGGCCGTATTCCTTTTCGGTTTGCGGCGGCATTTGCCCTTGCAGACCTGCCATGTAAGGTAGCAATTCTGTACATAGGTTAGGTACGTTAGGAGGCATGTATCTCCCATGCAGCTGCGCAATTACTGTAGCAAAACGTATGGCTCATAATCCATTGGGATCCATTCGCCTAGCCTGACCTTCTGACCAAAAGAGCCTGCCCATTCACAGCAGGGATTCTTGACAACGCAAAGGTACTCGGACATCATACCAGATTAATACAGATTTGAACCTGCAAGCCTTTACTTCACCTGCCAGTCCAGTGCTAGTATTCTAGGCGCCAGTAATGACGGAGAAAAGGAACTGGTTACCACTAAGGAGATGTGCGCTCAATTCCTTTCCCAGTTAGGCTTGCCTGAAAATCATCTCAGTGGCCGTTGATGCCATAAAGTAGAAGCATGGCTACCTCTACCTTGAGTCCTGAGCATTCGTCGATAACACCAGCTCAACATCAAACATTCTCGCATGGACACATCTATCCAACCAAATAGCCTGAATATGAACATGAATTCTAATGACATGTACATGGACGCTCCCATACAACGACTTTTACTATCATAACCGCCAAAGATAAAATAAAAAAAAGGCCTCCCTAACGCTGATCTGGATGATAAACTCGTAACGCCGATGCAATGCATTGTATGTAAATATCAATGCTTCTCGAAGCTCCTTTCCCACCTTTTAAAACACTCTTAAGAAAGATGTTTCTTTCATAAATATACACACGCTTGATAGCGCTTTTTAGACCCGATATAGTTGCTGCATAGTATTCTGTTAAACAAATAATCCTGACTGCGAAATGATGGAGCGGTGTACCAATAAAACTATTACCGGCGAGGTTTCTTTTCGCCCTTGCGCTCGAGGAGCAGGGTAAGTTGACTTTTAGATCGGCCGAGCGGTACAGGCGGTGCTGGATTTGGCAAGGTAGGAGTAAATCGCGAATCGAGCACGGAGCTACTAGATCGTCGGGAACTACTTTCGGTATCTTCTTCGCGTCCTTGCATTGCGCTTATGGCAATCTCGCTGAGCAGTGGATTTTCATCGAACTCTATAATCGTTCCTTGCGCTGTTGTGTTCGAGATAGTCGTTGTGCTCGATGATATTAAACTGCGAGGCGGGGCCAGGCCACTAACCAAATCATATGAACTACGTCGCGTAGAGCCCACATCTGATCTCGATCGACTCATAAGCGGGAGGGTATCTGGACGTTGCTGCTCTTGCGTGTCGCTCCGCCTATGGACCGACCCACTTCGACTCGCCCTCATAGTAGTAGCCTCCTCTGGAAAAGCGCTACTTGTGTTGTCTGCTGTAAAATTCAACTTAGTTGCATCAGCACGCTCGTCTTGGACTATCAACCGCTGGTTGTCAGTAGTACCTGTCTGCGAACTGCTTGGTTTCGAAGTATAAGGTAGATCACGCAAGAACGTTGCTGGTCGTTTTCCTGCGGCCTTTTCGCTCAGCTGCTCATTCTCCTGCTTTACGGTCGAAGATGGTCCCTTGCCTGATTTCTCTGGGACTATCGTAGCGGAACTGTGTGATCCAGATTGCTTCGAGCCGAGCGAAAAGCCTCCTTCTCTAGACCCAGCCTCGGCTACACTCACGGGGGCGGAAGACTGAGAACTAATCCGCCTAGGCATAGCAGGTCTCCTTCTAGAAGCAGTAGAAGCTACAAACGCAGTGGTCTTCTTTTTTGGTGTGGAATGGGTTGCCTTTCTCTTTTCTTCCTTTGCTGTTGAACTAGTGGAGCGTTTGGAATCACCACTATGATTTACTACCGTGCTCCCAGATGAAGCAAGCTCACTATCCTTGCTATCATTGCCTTCGCCATCGGATCCTGGTGGCGACACGAATCGAGCTGTAGGTCGCGGCCCGGAATGCGAAGGCCCCCTAGGTTTCTTCAAGATTGGATGTGGCCGTTTCACCGCAGATGATGGCGCACTCTTCATAGCTTCGGCCTTGTCTTTCAGCGCCGACTCAGAGGACCCTTTCCCAGGTGTCTCAGATTTGGCTTCAACCTTTGAGGGCAGGTCGACTTTCGAGTCGGGCGAAGGCTTTTGAACTCGTAGTCAGTAACAGATCGCATTTCAACGCTACAAAACTTACCGGTTCATATCGATTTGGTGGGCCTCGTAACTTGACGAAGCTTTCTTCCTCGGAGATACTTTTAAAGAGTCGTGCAATCACTGTTCCTGGAAGATAACGACGGTCACCGCCCAAGACACGAGTCCAAAAGTTTTCGAGCCGCCTCGCAGTAGGATCGAAAAGTTCCCGAGATGTTGTTGTAAAGACTGCTGTTCAATTAGTATTAATTACACCAAGCGTGGTTAGGAACTATCTTGACCATGGCAAGCCGCAAGTATCTGATTTAGCGGAACAACGTCGTACTTTGCTATTTCCTCGTAAACATCGTTTCTATTCAAGACAATGCCCTTGGGCAAAATCATGTCCGTCATCTTGATCGAATACAGCTAAGTTGTGTATCGTCGACCAGGAAGCTCACCTCTCCCACGAGCTTCCGGTAGCGACGGGTATTAAAGATTATGCAATCCGTAGTCCGTCGGACTCTACGATTCATAGTTGAGACGTCAAGGACTCGAGTGGGTAAGGCTGATCCGATCGCCTCATCAGCTTGGAGCCGCCGTGGAACTTGCCGCCCAATACTCGCCGAGCTAGTCCACGCTGAGAATTCAGCTTGTCCGAGGATGGGTACTGCTCCACACAAGTGGTCTCACTCTAATGCATCGAGTAGCCAGCAAACACGCTGGAACCTAGGCGGAACGCTGAGACACGAAAAAGAGCAACCGGGAACTGGTCATCTGTTTGCCCGTCTGCGGTAACACGTCAACAACTCTGAAGCAATTGGATACGGGACGCTCCCGAGCTTCCTATACAGCTATAGAGCGGACTTATAGGCGTCAAGAAAAACAGGTAGTTGTAATTATCCTCGAAATCAGGACAAAACTGTTGAATAGTTAAGTTGGCGAGTACCTAACTTAAGATAGGCAAACAGACTCGAGCGGTTCTGCCAGCGGGCGATGCGCTCTAGAGTCTGGACAGCGTTAGGTTCGAATCAAGGGAAGGGGGGAGGATAGTCGAATTTTGGAGAATAAGATAATAGCTAGTTTAAAAGGCAAAAATATGTATCATAGTTATTATTAGTATTCAGGACAGATCGTATCCGAGTATTTCTTGTTGAGGTCTCGAAAACAAGCGTATGTATTTGAAAGGAAATATGAAGTGTAGGAAGAGAAGGGGCGTAATTTTCACAAGCTTTGATGGAAAAAAAAAATTAAGTAAAAGATCAGGTAGGTACATGTATGAGCATACTTAGAGGTAAGCTACCTTAGGTTAGGTAGAAGGTAGGTACCTGTATCGGCGTACCTGCCTCTCAAGGGATGGCGATGGGATGGCGATGGCGATGGGATGTGAAGGTACCCGTGGCGGTACTACAGTGGCCTATGGCTCATGACCCTTATGACCCTTATGACCTACATGTACATACCTAACCTAACCTTTCTTTGCTATTTCCCTCTTTCTAGAGCCGTGAGCCTTGGAAGCGCCTTCCAGAGGTACCTAATGTACAATACAATTAGGTACAATACTATTAACCCCAGGCTTGTCCAGGCTTACCTAGGTTAGGTAGGTCCAGGTACTTAGACTAAAAATGCAAGCATGACCGGTAATACCTAGGTGCAGCAGGAGCAGAACTTTTAAACAACTTCAGTACCTAGAAAGCAAAGCACTAACGCTTTAGGGGTCTACCTACGGTGGATATGACCCGCTAAAGATCAAGGACCCAGGGGCCCTAGCAGACTTTATGAGGTCCCATCATCCTCGGCTTTTCCTCGCTGTTGTCACTCCATTCCATCATCTCCGTCCATTGTACAAGATTATACATACACACAGGTTCCTCGCAAATCCTCTGAAACCTCATTTCGTTAATGGTCGAGAAAGGGAGGAGTAGCCAGGTAAGGCATCCATGACCCATGACGCAAACTCAAAAGTAAAAAAATTCACACTTCTTTTGAAAAATACCTCGGCAGCTTCAGATGCTTCAGTTGCTTCACATTAACCTAATTCCCAAAAAGTCTATGGCGGTGCAGGTTAGCATAGGTCGAACAGAACTTATGGCAAGGCTATTTATTATTCATCGTCCACCTTATTAATTCTTGGCCTCAAAGACTAACAACCACCAGCAACAAGATGAGTGGTTGGACCGGGTTACAGAACCCGATCGCGCGCGCACATAAATACGAACAACTCTCATTAACCTAGTCTACAAGAAGCTCATAGGACCTCCGAAGATAAGAATATAACAGAGGCATACACTCATTCACTCATGCTCTAACGCAGCTTATTTGGGCCGACTATGAGTGCGGCCAAGGATCAACATGAGGAGATTATTCCTCCTCTCTACTGGATACAGCCGTGTACCCGTGCGGCTGCCAGCTCGTACAAATGTCTCGAGCCTATACCATTCTCAAATTGAAAATAATTCCGAATTTCTCGTGCGTAGTCTATCCAAGCAAGGGTTTTGGCGTCGACCTTGTCTCCCCCCCCCATGTCTTCGGCGAATCTAGCTTCTGCTACTAGAATTTTCAGGGTTCTAGAATGCCCAGAAACGCGCTATCTGGTCAGGGGAGGCTTCTATCTCATCTTTGACCATACGAAGATAAATATTTTTCTAATACTATTCACTATCCGATATGTGGATTAGACAGAATGTTGTTTGTCCTTGCGGAGAATGACGATGCAGCAGCGAAGAAGATAGGGCATACGACCGAACACCTTTCCAGAGAACATTGGCGATCATCATCATTCCTTGTCAACTGAACTAAATGTCGTCACTGACTCGCGAGATCCGCGGTTGCTTCCTCCAGCTCGGCACTTAATCATCATCCGACTCAATTTCGAAAAGGAAATTATTCTTTAAACACTATTAGGTGTGAGTTGTCTTTTCACCATCCGAAAGAATTGCGTTTCTCAACAAACGTCGCACTTGATAACTTGATATGTCGCCTACTTCTAGCCCTCTTCGCACACCGCTACCTCAGATTAAAGAACTTACCGAGTTTTGGGGAGCGGTCGACGGTGCTACTGCGGTCGCTGGTCCACTGGACGGCAACGCCTTTTTTTAAAAAAGGAAAACTCAGGTATCGAATCCGGCGCGCTAAATTTGGGGGCCATACGGGAGACTCCCCGTTGGAAGCGCTGCGAGATCAGAGTTACCTCTTACCTGCTAGGCCAAGTCGCTTAAGAGGTAAGTATTGTAAGTGTTGTACAATACATTTAGTTGGTCTCCCTCCCCAGACCAGCTGCCGTTTTTTGTCTTCGCGCAGTTCTGTTTTTTCTATCCCCGTTGCGCCATCGAAACCTCTCATTTCCTTTTGTAGATTTTTCCTCGTCTCCGGCTTTAAGATCTGCTCTCCTGCGGGGGACATTGTAGGGGTCGTGTGACCTGCCTACCTACAGTATTTTCCTTATACTCAGATATCAACCATTGGTTAGAATAGGTACAACACGCAAGCATCACCACAATATTACCCCGTGACCTCCTCACAGATACACAGATAGGGAGGCCAGCAACAACGGGGTTCATATGCCTTAGTGTCATGAGGGACCTGACGCAATTTGATGTTCGGGGGTCGAATTAAGAATCCCTCATAGAAGGGTCACATCCGGTTGAAGGTTATTAATAAGTCACTATTCCCCGCCCTTTCCTGCAAAAAGTGCTTCACCGATCTACAACACAAGCACGCTCCCAGGACTCGCTTGACAAGAGAGTGCTCGAAAGATGATAAGTACCGGACCATACAAGAACAACTCCACCTTTTCAGTAAAAGCCATGTGCACCACCACGCACACGGAATATCCACACCAACTGATCTCGTTTTGCTTTCTTCGAGAAAGCCAAGCCCCTGTGGATACTCAAACACTTGTTCGCAGTCCTCAAGATCCCGACAAGTAGTATTCTTTCGCTTTCGGGCTCGAAGTGCGCTGAACCACCAAAAAGACACCGGACCCTGGTATTGTATAGATTATTTCCCCACACCAGCCACATGGACTGTACTATGTGCACATGGCGGCGTCAAATTACGAGCAGTACCGAAAGGTTTCTCGGCGCCTATCTTTCGGATACATTTAACTCGTAGATTTAAAGTTCACGTGGATATTTTATCTCATTTTACGCTATTTTTTTTACTCTTAGGTACCTGTTATTCTATTTTCGTCTTCTCTAGTTTCCAAAGCTCCCTGGTTAAGAGATCGCCGTTCTTGATGTCCCGATTGGCTCAATCAAGTCGGAGGCCGGGTATGAGGCTCTCGGTGATAACATCTGCTTATGAACCTTCGTCCAAACCTTCGTCCAACGTTCATTCATTTTTTCCAAGTGCTCTCTTTTCCTCCTTTGAGTGTGCGAATTTTACGTCAGCTATCGTCATTCAAGTCGAGGTAGCTCGATATTCAAGGGCACGAATTATTCAGCATTTCCTACGCTGGACATAAGCCGAGCTGCATCAGTAGTGGCAACCCCCTGAGGTTCTTCCGCGCTATCAATTGCCGTCCATGTGTGATCATGTATTGAGCTTTCCGGTCGACCTGCAGGTACGTATGCGCGCTCCGCTCGGCCAGGCCAATCTCTTCTGAATTCACATACATCCAGTTCACCGGTGAACAGGACGTCGGTCAGAACCTCTCTTTCGTGACTGATGACTCCAAATCCTTTCGGAAGCGCCGCAGCGGCCCGGGCTAGTTATAGCATGCCTTATCATCCTTCCTTAAGGAGTGCAACTGTAACCCTAGTGTTAGTGACACCTCGGTTATTACGTTCCCCAGCTCAGAAAGACCCTTATACGGCGTTGACAGTATTGTTCAAGTGGCTGGTGATTCCGCCGTTTTGACCTGTGGCCCGGACGAGGCTGATTTCAGCTACGGTTACATTCGGTCATCGCACACGTAAACAGTCATCTGCTGAGGGAGGGTTACAACGTAAAATCTGTCGTTAACATCCTTATCATTGACCGCAAACTAATACCAACGCGGGATAGAGCCATTCCCTTCCATACTTGCTCGCCGAGTATTTTATGAAGCAATAACAACCCGAATAGTTATCACGGGCACTATTTCACGCTTTTCTTTGGTTGATGCAACTGTTTCTTTGAGCGAGTTTATTTCGCAATATCATGTAAATAGGTAGGGAATATTATAAAGAGAATACCTCCAGCAACAATTGCCCCTTGGAGAGGCTTAGCAACTAGATAATGTAATATACATTCGCTTAGTCAGCCGTGGGTATCACGACGTGGTCATCTCTGCGAGTTATTTCGCGAAGGCGAGATCGGTATGATAGATCCCGCCATTTTTACTTTGCCCTAGATGCCATGTGGCGTCTTATTTGTTTTCTACCCTCTTAATGGGGACGCATATCACCATACTGTTTTCTAAGTTGTGGATATTTTCTGTTGCGTTGATTAGAACGACAAATAAATGCTTATTGGTTAACTCTGTCTAACGTAACAAACGCGCATTGTTCTAGAGGTAGTTTATTAATAGAGTGTTTTATTGTAGTAATGTAATAATATTATCATTGTATTACCATGGAGGATTACAACGTAGGTATTACTCGATGTAACACAGCGAGGAAAAAAAAACCCTTTTTGCTACCTAGCAATATCTCAACGAATTTTTTATAGAATGTGAAGAGGCAAACTTCGTGAGGTACTAACTTATGTTGATCAGAAGGTGTTTCCCTCATAATGTACTTTTCTTGGTAGGATATATGTACCTCGAAAGACCTTCTTCTATTCTGGTAAAGAAAGGTTTTAGATAACGGGTACTTTATTCTTCTAAGTACAATATGTTATCTGGTCCCTTCGCAGTTGTAATTAGTATGCAAACTCTATAGAGAATAAGCCATTTACTCCTTGTTATGAATTGGTTAGAACGCTACATTCTAGGTACATGATTTGAAGTTTGGGTTGGCAAGGAGCTGTATCACATTTCTTAGCCAAGGCAATAGCGGACAAACACTAAAAACCTTGTATACTCTTTATTGATTTAAGCTATTATTTTTATTCATCTGTACCGGGCTCGATCTCTGCAAGACAGACGCCGAGCATATGACGTGGCAAATATAAGGTTGAATGGACAAGTGTTTATCTAACCCCTATATCCAACACGACTGGGGCAGAATTGCAATGTGGCCTTTGAATGTACCCAGGAATATCAACCTATAAAGCCAAGATTTCTGTAGCTATGCCCTTTCTTCGGAAACAGTTCCGAAATCACTCAACGTGTTATAGTTCCTATTACGAAGGAGAAGATAAATAACCAAGTTCATCTTGGCGTGTCATGATCTCTGATAGACCCAGCCCGCAAATACAATCGGTTGTCTAAGCGCCTTTATCTCGTTTAAAATGACTCTCTTAGAAGGTAGCTTAAGGTGAATGTTTATTTTTAGGAATAAATCCTCACTTCGATGGGGACATAGGAACGTGCGTATCTATGTCCCTATCAGCCCTTGTAACTGCCCATTTATCCCTTGGAACTATCACAATAGAACACCCATCCGACTTAATATCTCGTCCTCCACTGAGACTGCGGTGCTGAATGGCTTATTATCGAGGATACCGAGCTAATGGTACGAGTAAAGTAGCGTAGCACGGCCCTTCATTATATATCAACACTGGGATGTCCGCAACCTTTCAGTTTGGTCCAGCGTATAGGCAGCCCTAATTAAACGAGGCAACTAGATACTAGCATATGATCATTCGATGTCAGATGAGCATCATGAACAAACAAGTAACCTTAACGTAATTTGAACCTTTGGCAGCGGTGGCACAGACGATTCAAGGAGGCTTAAGGAGAACCTAGCTGGCCCGAGCATAAAGAATCACATTAATAAGGAAATCTGTCATTACGACGTAGGTCTGTATTGTTGTCAACGAATACACCAATATGATTGGCGCGGATTCGGTGAGGTTTATTTAGGGTAGATGGTACGAATAAAACTCGGAGACTTAGGCAAGGCTAAACCCGTGCGGAGATGTGCAAAAGCAAATATTGATTTTCCTGAGCTGAAGCAAAGTATATCGCCAGGTTTACCAAGCGTTAAGAAATTTACTATGGGCCGTCCCCTTATCCAAGCCACCGGCCCCCAAAGTGCGACTTCATGTTTACGTGAGCTGGAAAGATTTTATATGCTCAGGTCTGATAAGTAGTGGCGATATAAGATACTTAGGTATACACTCAAAGGAAGATCGGTGTGAGATTTTTTTTTATTTTTATAAAAAAAAGAATGCAGTTGTACAACCAGGGAGCGGAAGACGATAGATAAACTATCGTAGGGAGATCATACACTCCCGGTCGAGTTCGAGACAATACTCATGTTACATGTATGTAATTATTTCCAAGGGCAGAAAATCGAAGTTCTTTACGAAATAGAAACATTCCGGTGAGGCACAGATATCGTACTTCTCAGACGATTACTAGTTTTAAGTCATTGTTTATCTAAACAATGACAGACTAAAAATACTCAACAATGCCTTATTTATATATCCACCAAAGATCTAGGGGTACCTTGTTAGGTGAGCCAGGTTCTCGGGTCAACTCACCTCAAGTCTTCAACCCCTTTGACATATCTTGTGGTCGTAGGGCTCACCGAGGTGGACCTAAAAAATATTAGCACCGGCCCGAGCTTTTTAGTGTAGAACATTGAACGTGGGTGGCTCGGATATCGACCCGCTACCAAATATTCGTCTGCCTTGATTTTCGTTTCTATACACTATATCGTCTGTGCGGATGGACCGGCAGGTAATACCCACGAAGCCAGGGATTGTCACAACACTATCCCTGAAGCTTCCTAGGGCCAAACATGGCGTTGGGATTTGTGATGCCCAAAGTAAATGCCGACTACTGCCACTTCTTCACTACGGACCTGTTGCGTAGGAAGGCATTGTACAACTGGAGATCGAAATTGCAAAAGTCCAGGAAACAAGCAAGCTGAAAAGTGGGTTGGTTGACAGGAACGCTAACATCGTCCGTTCAGGGGAATGATGTGGCAGTGTGCAAGGCACTCGGCGCCGCTGAACGAAAATTCACGATCAGAATCGCCCCGTTCACGCTCTTGGCTCTTACACGCTGAGCGACAGGATCGCCTCGTGCTACCAATAATACATGCCTTAGGTACATATCAGCAAGGTTGGATAAAAGCAGTACAATATTTGCTCACGGATACGACATATCGTGTAAATCCTACGGAAGGCAACAACAAGGCGGCCGTAAGGCGACCTGCTCAACAGCAGCGACACGTCCTCTTGCTTACAATATCTCGTCCGGACAATTACTAACACCGAGTCGACCGTCCATCCATTCATCCGACGAAACCCACACCCGAAATCTAAACCCCGAAAACGAAAACGAAGCATACGTACACAGATACCCATACCTTGCATTTTAGCTACCTGGTATACACCTTCGCGTTCCTGTCATATGAGACCGCGAACGCCGTCTGCGGCCCTAGGCTCGCCACGTACTTGCCGAACTGCCGGCCGTTGGCGAAGAGCTAGACTCGGTGGTTGCGGCCCATCGGAGCGGTGGCAGCGGCAGCGGCAGCGGCAAAAGAAGGAGAAGAGAAAGAAGAGCATGAAGATGCATGCCGAACACGAAACTCAGCGGCGCGTCGTACCCCGCCGGCACGTTCGAGCGAGAACGTCGTCGTGAAGAACCCGACTACCGCAGAACGCACGCCCTGCGTGACGGGATTCCGCGACTCCCGATCTCGACTCCGCGGCGATGGTCGGTGGGTATCCTCGTCGTGCGGCGAACATGCCGCGCTCGTTGCGAGGCGCCCGCGCGAGGTCGCGGTACGACTCGCCGCCGAGGTTGCCCGTGGTCTTCCACGCTACCCCGACTTCTCGCGGCCGGCCAGGGCGAAGTTGAGGATGCCCATCGGGGCTTTGACGGCGTCCGTCCCGGGCGCTTCTTCGTCCTGGCCCCCATACGGTCGGTCAGTGCCGTGAGCACGCAGGACTTGCCGGCCACGAGGGAGTGGTGGGATGGCGATGTCAGCGAGATAGTGCCGTAGAGAGTAGACTTGCCGCTCGCCCCATCCCAGGAAGTGGTGACCAACTCGTCATTAAGCCAGAGCGAGTAGCCGATGCAGTTCCCGCCTGTTAGGTTGGGGAATAGACTGGACTCGTTCCCCTTGGCAGTGAAATAGCCGTGGTATAGGAGCGACCCGCTGTGGAAGCCATAGTCGCTCGCGTATAAAGGGGCGTCGGAGTAAGTAAAGGTTGCGGATTAATGGCCGACGGATTGTCGCATTTGACCTCAGGAAGGGAGTCGATGTATTTCCGCTCCAGAGAAGCGAAGTCGGGAAGAGTAATATTTGGCCGTTAGAAGTCCAGTCGTGCGGCGAGTTTTCCGTCGCCGTTATATTTTCGGTCAAGGGCCTCGTTATTGAACAGCAGGGAACTTACTTTACCGGTAGGTTCGTAGGTACCTAGTTCAATGTCGGTGGTGCTGTTAATATCTCTGGTAAGTCGGATTACTTCCCCGCTTAGAACGGCCGTACGGGCCAGATAGGAATCCCTGGCTATGTCGGTGGATTTAGATGGGGAGGAGTACCTGAATTTTCGATTGGAGCTTCTGCTGGTAGTTCCGTGATCCAATAGTTGTAAGCATCGTTACGCCATAATAACAGAACCTCCAGCTCGTCTCCTAGTCTAAGGATCTTTCGGTCTACAGAAACCTTCTATTATATCACTAGCGTGTTCGAATCGAATAATTGGGTCTTTACAACGGTATCATTCGGACTCGCCTGAGCAGTTTTTGTTGTCAAATTTGCTACACCAATAGCGAATTCATGAGTCTCCCCAGCTCCGCCGTAAAGGATCAGTGTTCTCTTGCACAGCCCGTTATGGGCCCATGCAGTAAATCAGATTTATCCCACCGACGTCGTAATCGGACAAATGGATCTTTGAGTCCCTTCTGGTCAAGACTAGGTCGCCGCCAAGCTGGGGGAGTTGAAATGTGCCCGAGGCTTGTTGTCATAATGAATTTGTAAGTTGTTATACCCGTAGACGTCCAATCGGCATGACGCACATCGTAAAATTTTGTCTCGGAGTCAATTCCGAATAACGGCGTCGTAGTGATTTCCTTGATCAAGACGTACGATCTGTTCGGCGCATTCCCTGCTACCGCAGTCAAGTATGCGGGGGAGACTTTGAAGAAATTAGCCTCTAGCTTCTCTGAATATTTTTCCCGCCATGTATGCCGATTCTCCTCAACGGCCGCGCCATAGTCGTATGAGCTATCGCAGCCTCTATACCCTAAGCTACCCCAGTTCGTTCCTCCATATGTCTACGGGAGATTTAGTTTGATATGACATGATGCAGGAGGGCGAATGGCTATGAGCCATACACACATTAAAGGTCTTGATAGCAAAGGTGCAATTGCTCTTCCACAAGATACGGACAGCTTCCTGGTTTATTAGCGCATTGCATTCATTTGCATTCACGCTTCCAAAGCCAGTTCCAGCTCCATCTTTAAATTCGGCTATGAAGAACGGAGTACTGGTACTGTATTCCCGGTGCATAATCTGCCAGTTCTCCGGCCATTGGGTCTTTGGCTACCTGTCAGGGTATGCACCCATTACCATTAAAAGCCATATATAATATTCAGTTATGCGTGGTCCTCGCAGTCGTATCTCAGACGATATGCATCAATGCCATAGACTGGAAGCCATGACTCCGCGGGAGCCCAATTCCCCTGGTAAAGATGATCATTAACTGTTGTTTGACATGTCCCATGTAGTTACTGTTTGTTTGAGCCGGTAAATCTGTGTTACTGACGTCTGGCCATGTGCCCTACTCGTTCTCAGGCTGCAACATCACGACCAATCCGCCATTCGTAATCCAAGTATTGGCAATCAACGTTCCTACGGTAGCCGCATATAGCTCAGTTGAATTAACATATTCCAGGTCGTTCCCTCGAAGGGGTGCTTCGATCCGCGCCGTCCAGCCTAGCAACTCTCCAAGACGGACTTCCACGTTGATATATGGCCCGGGTCGAGCTACTAGATAGATACCGGCGTACACGGCAGCTCTGAAGAACTCATCGAGGACAAAGACTCCGTCAAAGCGTATCCGTCCTGCCGTGCCTTCTACAAGGACCTAGCAGGTGTAAAACGACACCGCATAGGGGTGGAACTCTCTAGAGAATATAAATATTCGTTCCCCCCTAACGATCATAGAGTGTGTCCCATGTGACCTAGTTGAGTTTCAGTAGATAAAAATAAAGGAGAAACGTGACGATTTCTTTACTAATCCCTTCAAGGGGTCTCTCTGCCTAATCCAAGATATTTCATTGTGTGAAGGTATATTCAAGCCTCGTCCGTGTTCCGACAGGCAACGTAGGATAGAAAGGAAGACCCAAAACAGCATCATATTGAAGATCCCGCCACACTTGCAAAAAAGTGATAAAGTTAGTGGACAGAGACACCCTTAAGCTTATCACGGTACTGTTACTACTAACTCTGGGGCACGGGGGTTACATCTATTTCTAAGTCCGTATAGCAACAAGCAGACTTGAGAGGAGTTCGTGGTTAAGACTAACCTGAGGTGTGGGGAAGATAAAGAACCTTGAAGAAGTTGAAATGATCCTTGAAAATTACGCTTCCCCGACTTTACCCCAGATCTATCTGGGGATTGTGGGTCTTGAAGAATATAGAGTTTTGATAATTGGTGGGAAATCTTGTACGTGGCCGTCTGTCGTCATCGATTAGCTATGAAAATGGGGAACTATATATAGCAGGTTATCTATTACGAATGCCCTTAGTTAATATTAAAACGTTAAACATTCTCACTTACCGTTAATGTACTTAGACCAGTAGGAATAGATAAGTGCAGGAGAAATGAAAACGGCGATTCGTTCTGAACCTCGATGGTAATTACCAGCAGGTATTCAAAGCCATACTTAATGGGTCGCTAAGACTATATAGTGGTCAATTGATGAATAGGTACGTAAAGTATGTTGGATAATGATATTAACATAGAGCTACATAAACGAATAATGAATATGCTGCTTACCTTTTATATTCAGAGTATTACCCGATTAACTAAACTGAGGTTGTAAAAGGGGAAGGAAACATGTGTTCTAAGTAGGTTCCACCCATTTAGAAATTGTTCATAATAGGTTTCTCTTGGGACTACATTGCTTCTAGCGGAGTGTAAGACAAGGACAAGATTCGCAATACAACCTTGTATTATACAAGTTGGCATTGTCACATGACCCTAATAAACCGGGCGAGGCTCGCGGTGGTAAATATCGTGACGCTTAGCTAAGAAAAAGATACAGCAGCACCATCTACAATGGCACCTTTGTTAAACCATTGCGCTGTGGGCAGCAACTCGCTTGCTACCCATCTAGCTGTGGTAGTGTGCATTGACCCGTCTCCAAAGGGTTTATGTGTCTTATCCTTCATCATCTTTTTGTCAAGCTTTAAATCTTCAAGAGAAGTCTCCAAATCGCTTATGTCAGGGGCTCTATCTTCTAAATCGACCGGCGCGGCACTCCGAGGAAAGCTGGTTCGACCATCTGCCAACGCTTGAAAAACAACTAATTGATCTTGGAGGTACTCGTCAACTACTCCACGGATCTCAATCTCATCATGAAGGTCATGGCAGACTTTCCGCGACACTTCAACGCTCAGAGCTTCCGGCGTCTTATTCTTCCGGGACTTATCATATAGATAATCACGGCCCCAACGCAGACCAGTCTGCGAGTGAGCTACAAGCAAAGTATATATCCGAGAATCATGACCGCTGTCTTCCATGAGTAGGAAATTAATGTCCACGTTAGGGAATAGTTCACCCAGGTCACTCACGATCGCTCTCTGGAGCAGTCCTTGAAGAGCATATGGTACAAGTATGCTCACATCAATCTGCCTGAGCTTGAAATCTTCGGCGGTGATTGGTCTTTCCCACGACTCTTGAACTTTCAAGGTTCTTCCCGGTGGGAGAGGCTGCAGTCTTAGCCAAATAGACCCCTTTTTAAGAGGCCCTGCCGCCCAGGCTCGTTCCTTCAGCTGTCTCTCAATAGTGATGCCGAAGCGATCTTTGAGGGTAGGCAACAGGACTTGATCGAAATATTCATAGGACAGTGAGAAAGACACATTTGTCCCACCGTGGATCTCGAGCTCGATAGGCTCTTCGGTATCACTGCCCGCAAAAAGAAGGAATGGGAGGATCGCCTGAAAGACCAGTAAGGTACTCGACGCCGCGCTCTTAGCGACGATCTCAAATTTACGCCCCTGGAGAGTGGTGGGAGCCTGCAACGGGCAGAATTCAAGAGACGAACTCCCAACCTCTAGCCCTTCGACTTTTGCGCCCGTAATATCCGCTAACCATCGGATAGCAGCCACGTGCTGTGGTTTCAAACCTACGCTCAACTAATTAGACTCGATATATTTGCGAGGCGGAACTCGGAGTAAGCGCTGACCACCGCCTCGTTTTCCTGGACGATTCCCTCTCACATGGTCGATACGGATAGGTTGCGAGGTGACAGCAGAGAGACCACATGCAATCCTTACAAGCTGGCCACCACCCTCACCGGTTCTTCCATCCAATAGTAATGGTTTCTTTGATGCCATGCTGTTTAATCCTTGCGCGGTATTATCGGTTGGGGTGTTGATATCGATGAAGAGATCCGAGAGTGAGATCTTTTCGGGTAGGGCGCACTTTCTATTTAAGACATAGTGTACCTACCTCGTACCAGGTAAGCTTGAGAGGTTGGCTGTACGAGTGTGACTCATTCGGAACGTCGATGGTTGCATTACAAATATTCTATGAGTGGTTTTTTTGGGAGCGCTCAAGTTACATCCTATCACCAGGTACCTCTTTGCGACAACATTGGTCGAATCATACATACCTACCTCCTACCTCCTACATACCTGGTGAGCAGGGGAAATAACCTCCCAACTGCATACCAGGTGCTAGGTAATTTTATCCAGAAGTCGAAAAGGTAAGGTACTCGGCATCGAATTGCCTAATTTGAAAATTTACCTAACCTAACTTAACCTAAACAAACCAAACCTAATGCTCCAGATGAACTTTAGAGGGAATATTATGGGTCGGGGTTCTCCTGAAATGCCTTCATTTCCCCGCTGTCCTGGCTCTTGGTAACGGTAAGAAAGAATTATACAGATACAGTGTGTAAGTTGGGGATTCCTTGTCTCCCCACAAAAATGAAGCTCTTAAACAATTTATGCCTATTATTACAGACTCAAGTGAAGCGTCATAGTTAATAAGTGATTTTGTTATTATTAGCTTGACGGTTTTAATAAATTTTCATTCCATTTTGTTTTATAACCTATTTTATAACCCATTCCAATTTAACAACAAGTAAAGTTACTTGGTAAAGATACCTGAAGACAGTTCCCCTAATAAGATAGGATACGGCCGACACAGATTCTGTCATACATCAGCGACATAAAACGTGACGTATGGTGGCATGATGTCATTCTAGACATGTTCTTATACGTGCTAGGATCAATTCCTGATAGTTAATATACTGCGTGTAACTCCTACTTTTTACAATGACAATTAATCAATCACCAAGATCCAAGAATTGGACGCCTAGTCAGCGGCTATCACCCACTAGAGTCTCCGGAACGTGCGCTATTAATCAAACTCACGCCTCGCAAGCCTTCGGGAAGACACGGATCGATCGAGCCATGTAGCTGAGTCCTACGGATATAAACTTGCTTGTGATATGATGGACCTCAGTGCGAAGAAGGCAGTGCCAAATGTTAACGCTGCCCAGATCTGCAAGGTCGTGCAGGCCCTCTCGTTCTGATTCGACAAAAACGGGCGAGAACACGCGTTAAGCACCGCATTGAATTCTGATTCTTCGCCGGTGTAGTAAATCCAAGGACATAGTTGACGATCCTTGTGTTGCCCAGAGATACCTTCTTTATTTATCCCAGACTATTGATCACTCCGAAATGATCTACTATTAAAAAGCAACGTAAGCTTGGGTTCTCTTCGGAAGCCAATCAGGTAATAGGGAGAAAGATTATCGGTGGTAATGGAAGAGAAAATAACAAGATTCCGGGATGAGATTAACGGCGCTAAGACAGGCGGATGGTGAATTCAATTATCTCGCTCGTTGCGATTCGGTGCCAAATATCCTATTACCCCAATTTCTGACTCTGCCAATGGTGATAGGTACCTAGGCAGGTAGCAATCAAACTTACATTTCAGGAAAAGTATTTTGTTAATCCCGTACCCGTCGAACGGCCAGTCCTAGAGCGGACTAGGTATACAGTCTTTGAATACTCCGCTGGTTTCAATATCTGCGAAGGTGGCCATGGTAGAGATTATCATGCTGCGCTGATGGATCTTATCGACAGTGCCAGTCTCGCGAATCTTCCGTCGTACTCCCCTTGACTTTCGGAATCGCCTCGCTATCCTTGTTTACGAGATATGCCCCGCTACCGACTACCCCGTTCGTATCTTCGACCGACACAGCGCTATCCACGCTTCCCAACGACGTTTCCATTCCCTCCTATGTATCTTCAGACCTTCACGCCGGAAAACTCGCCGGGAACCTTGCCAGCGAAGCCAAGAACAAGGCGCGCTCCCCATATCCTTCGAACGGCATCCAAAATGGTCTGGACAAGAGATGACTAATATGGGTTATCAAGAACTTGAGCCACATGGGACGTTACTCTTCGATGCAAGATCGGTGGGTACGTAGCCCAAGGTAATCGTAACAGAGCTATCCTTGATACCTGAGTTGAGCACCCGAGACAGCGTGTCTGGCTTAGGGAACGCGGTTAGGAATAAAAGTAGCCGTTTGATGCAGCACGTCCGCAAACGGTATCACAACCTTTCCGCAAGACCTATTTCCATATTATCTCAGCCAACTTCCTATATTCATTCAATCTTCTTTGCAAGGGTTGGTGGGGCTCAAGGAGTGCCATACCCCCCCCCCCCCCCCCCCCTCCAGTTCACCAGAAAGTTGATTTCCGCAACCACTCCTCTTGCGTTGGCAACCTACTATTAGATTTCAGTAATATCGACACAGAAGTGAGCGGCCTTCTCAACCCATACGGACACCCTTCCAAGCTTCCGGCACAAGGTTCGTTCGAGAACCTTCTTGCGTATATGCCACTCCTAGTAACCTCAGCGTGGCGGGGTCTTGACTTGCTACTATGTATACACCGGTTGCGCATGCGCGTAGGCTTCCTCACGATTGAGTTAATGATAATATAGTAAGAGGTATAGATGGTGACAGTATGTTGAGATAAATTAATTACCTAGGTAGGTAGTCGCCGTAAAATTATGGCTATCATATAAGATTGGAATAACAAGTGAAGAGGTGTTCTGTAATGTGTAATACCCACGCAGTGGGTATTAGAAGTTTTGGAAGTTTAGAAGTTGTTCTAACTAGATCGATATGGTAACTGGTTAAATTTGAGATATTACGTCTTCAACGTCGTACAATGCTGACTTAAGCGATCATCGCAAATATCAGAAGTCGAATATTATTTGCCATTTTATTATTGTTTACATTGGTAGTGTATCAGGTAGACATGTTTACGTAGGTATCCATGAAATTAAACATTACATTAATTCTTTTCTCAACTATCTATAAGCTCTTCTACATGGAGCTTATGTCACAAGACTCGAGAGTGTCTCCGGATTCAAAGCCCGTTTTCCCTTCTCAAAACCCAAATATACATTTTGAAGTTATTTAGACCTATCAATGACTACTAGTAAAAGCTTAGCTTATAGTTAGTACGCCGACAGCACACTACAGAAGAAGTTGGACATAGAATACATATTCTATATGCCTTTCAATATTAGAATACAGCCTTGTCGCGGAATGATTGCTTGGAAGATAGATAATACCTACCGATATCGTTGTCTCTACCAACTAAGTCCTTCGATGAATTAGGACGACACGAATTTCACAAAGATTTATGTCGAACACGTCGAGAAATATACCACAGTGCTGAACTAAATTATTTTGTTGCTGTTGAAGTCATACTTAAGAGCTTCAATTTACACGTTGTGCCAGCTAAGGCATCACGGCCCAAGGAATGAGCCTGGTCCGGTTGCAATTTCGTCAGCAATATGACTTATTAGGCCCAGCTCGCATAATATTGACCAGCTTTTGGCATCGCAGCTCTGCAAAAAACCTCCAGCCTCGTTCGGTCTGCTGGTGTCTCTGCTGATCGCCTCGCAAGTGCTTACCTGATCTTCAGCCCGACGATGGGGTTGATGTCCCGCCAGGCGATCATGTTTTTATTGTGTACGCCCGGTGAAACGAAGATATTCATACTCGGTAGACTATTCTAGGCTCCCAGGTGGAAGCTGCCTTCTTCTCGTCGGCGCTACAACAGAAGTCGTATCAGTGTACCCAACGTCCCCCATCACGAGGCCTTGGCCCCGGATCGACAATACTGTCTTACCTAGGTAGGTACCATCCAGCCCCTCGAAAGTTTATTCGCAAATGGTACCGGAGGCTTAGTGTGACAGATACACAACATAGCCCAATCACCTGTAGAACGAGCTCTTTTTTTTTCGCAATTGGTTGCCGAGGTATTACTGCATTTTCTTCGGTATGAAAAAGGACCCTTACCTAAAACCAAGACTTCTGCTTCGGTTGTCCAACCACCTCCTTGCCACCTGTAGCCTAACTTCAGGAATTATCTTATGATGGCTGGAAATAGGAGTAGTTGTAGTAGTCTATTATCACCTCTTGTGATCCAACTGTTAGCTGCGAAGTGTCTTTATGTTGTGACTGTGATATGATCTTTTTAGGGATGGATGCTTCTTGGGCGAATAGGAAACATTTCACGGTTGTATCCATTCAAGAACCAGGATTTGTTGGTAAATGTAATGCGATCAGGCAATATAAGTGACAATTGGAGATAGGTACCTAAAGGAATACGTAACAAGGCGAGTAGGTAGTATCGGACGCATTTACCCAAAGTTTCTCTCGAGAACTTGGCTAGCACGTATACGATACGAAGATAACGTCAAAGATGGTTCGTATCAGGTTCCTACTCGCTTGTTCAAAAAAACCAACTGCGCCAGGTTTGCTTTTGCACTAAAATAACCCGACCTCGTGGGTATCAGGGGACCACTTTACACATAGCATCCTACTTAGGTAGTCTCCATATCTATTACCTCCCTAGTATTAATATTAGTGTATTAAAATCTTAAATTTAATCCACTTCGTTCTCGTTCTTGGTTCACATGTAGATTTATCTACCGGAGAATATTCCTATTTGTGCCCCTCCTGGTCGACAGAGCTTTCTTCGATCCTCAACCTGCCTAAACTAGGGCTTATCTATCCCTATTTTATCCATAACCTAGGTAGGGTACTACATACTGCAGCTTTCACTCCTCTGCGACAAAGTCCTACGAACGTCTTAAAAACATCACTTTGTCACCATACATTAGGTACCTAAGGTAGGTAGGTACGTAGTAGGCATCATCGCGATGGGGAAAAACAAACCCCATTAGGCCCCGTAATCCCCTCTTCCATTAGGCCGTTAGAGGTGGAGCTCAACGGAGGTTACTGTGCAATTATAGCTCGCCGTTGTCGTTTAGGTGCCCCAGATAGTGAAAGTTCCAGTAAGGCAACCGAAACTAAACAAGAACTTACATATAGGCGGCCATGCAACTTGCTATTCGCACCCACCGGCTTGTCTCGTGGTATTTGATCCTGTTTC